AACTTACACCGCAACAAAAAGAAAATAGACTCAATAGAGCTAAAGAGTTACTTCGCTTGGCTAAAAGTAGTGAACTGACGAATTTGGTTTTCTCCGATGAGAAAACATTCGTTGTCCAGCAGTTTGTAAACAAACAAAATGATCATGTTTACTTGCCAAAGAGGTCAGCTGAAAATGTGCATCTTCGGTTGGCCACACGAACTCAAGCGCCGGCCATGGTGATGGTTTGGACCACCTTAACAGCCACTCTTCGCTCGTATTAATCGATCGTGACATTAGAATAAATGCCGAATATTATCACGAAAATATTCTGGATTGTGTATTAAAGCCCTGGGAACGTAAAAATTTTGGCCGCAGACCTTGGACATTCCAACAGGACTCAGTACCATCGCACTCAGTACGCGCCACCCAAGAATGGTTACAAAATGAGGTACCTCGCTTCATTTCCAGCACACAATGGCCACCAAAATCTCCAAATACTAATCCGTTGGACTATTGTGTCTGGAGTATTTTGGAGAGCAAGGTTGGCACTAAAAAATAGCAAAGTGTCGATCACCTCAAGCAAGCGCTTCGCCGGGAATGGGCCAAAATACCGCAGAGCAACATTCGGGCAGCGTGTTCGTGTCAAAGGTGATCAATTCGAACAAATCTAAACTTATTCTAAAATTTGATGCTATTTCCGACAATTTTTGCTTTCATTCAATAAAATTTAAAAAATAATGTAAAATAATGTAAAAATGTTTACCTTGTTTAGAAATATTTAAAATAACTATACATGCTTTGTAATTTACATGTTTCAAATTGTAGGAATAATGTTCTATTCCAATACAAATTCTCAAACGGTCGAACAAATTTTTGGGTTATTGTGCACTCCTAATATCTACCTCTCATTGCTCTACTTTACCCCACTTTTTTGCATTAAAAGTTCGCGATTTTTGTTGGTAACGGTAAAACATCTAAAACACACACTTTTACTATCCATGTTAGTTATTTTCTATTCTCAGAAAATTTCCGAAATTAATATTTATGATAGAATTCCAAACAATAAAATGACTGCATATACAAATTTCTTTCAATTTCTTAAGGTTTTGTTTCTTAAAAAACCAAGCTAATTAAGAAACCGGGGATGATTTCATCTTCGAATTTCAATGAATTAATTTGTGGCGAACATTTGACACCTGTTGTCGCGTTGATCATGCTTGAATTTATTTGGCAACAACTTAATAGTATTATTAATATTTTTTCTCATTTTTTGAAAATGTTATTTGATTTCGCTTTAACACCTTACGGAAATTCCATTCTACCAAATAAGAAGAAGACGACCTAAAAACTGGTTGCTGGAGTAAAATTAAAATATTTTAAATGTATTTATGTATATTTCCAGATATCAATGAAATTATTTACCATTGTTGTTCGCACCCACTCACCCATTGCTTATCTGGTGCCAAGTGAATGCAAGTTATACATCAACAACAACAAATTAATAACACGTTTATGGGTACACCTTTAAACACGTTTATTATAAATGTACCAAGTTATCACTGTGGCAACAGCAGCTTCAAATTCCGCTAAAGAGTTATGGAGATTAATTGCGAAATCAGCTGGTTCTCTAACTGATAACTTGCGAAATCAGCTGAGTTGCTTCTTTTTTTGAGGTTATGAAACCTAATAAATATAGTTTATTTCCCGGTACATGCACATGGATAATTAAATAATTTTTTACAAGGTAAGTCTTGATGATGTCTCCAGACCTAATTTTTCCTATAAATTATCATTACTCTTTTTTATTTTCAAAAAAAAAAAAAAAAAAAACAAACAAAAATACTGGAACACAGCTTTTGTGTGCTGAAGCCTACTCATCCAACCTGTCCACTATTGGTTGCAGAAGTTTCATAATTAATCTCATTCAAGCTCAAAATTAATTATCTATTTAATTTGTTTTTGAAAACAATAATGTCTGAATCATTGACATTTGCAGTAGAGAAAAATTCCCGGTTAAATGACGTTAGACATAACTCAGTTGCATGACATTTGTTTTTTTATTTTTAATTAATCATAATTTCTGAATGGCTAAGTAATGGAGCTATTAACTGAGATAATAACTTTAGTGGAAAATAAACAAAGAAGACGGTACAACTAACCTTTTATATCCTCTAATATGGGGGAAAATCCAAAAACCCAGAAAATATTTCAATCAAATAGTTTTTAAGGTTATGTCAACAGGTTTGTCTGCTTACTTTTCATGTATGAATTGTCCAGCAACTTCTTTCAGAGAGAGAGAGAGAGAGAGAGAGTAAGGTAGTTTTATTCTCTTTTGCAAGAAAACTGTGAAAAGTAAACAGACGAAATCCCTGCAAAAGCTTGCTAGCAATAAGCAGATTTGTCAAAACAAAAAAGTCTAGCCGCCATAAAAAGAAATGAAAGCGAAAAAACAAAACAATTAGGCTTGGAATTTCCAAAATAAATATGTTTTAAAATTGCTTGCATGGTAGAAGAATATAGGTAGTTGCACCAACACAGCTGCTGGGACAATGAACTGTCAAACCAATTTTGAAACTGAAAATTTTGAATGAAAAATTCTTTAAAATTGTTGAAAAATGTACAGGGTGAGATGAAAAAACTGCAACCAACTTCAGACTGCTGTCATTTCTAAGCCACTCGTCCGACAGCTGTTAAAATTATTCTAGTGACAGCTAATTTTATTGTTTACAAGCGTACAAAAGCATTTTGGTGAGAATTTTCAGGAAGTTTTTCGTGATGAAATTCAAGCGTGATAGTGTGATTTCTTTATATTTGGCTGGATAACCACAAGTGGCTATCGTTAGAGCACTCCAGCATTTAAATGTGAATAAATCTTTCGCGTCTCGTACCATCGCTCGTTACCGTGATTCTGGTAGCATAGCCCGACATCAATGAAGTGGACGGATAAAAACAGCAACATCAGCAGAAATAATTCGAAAAGTAAACAAGTGACTTGATCGAAACTCGCGTCGCATTGGGCGAAAAATGGCTCGTGAGCTGAACACATCGCAATATTCCATTCGGCAAATATTGAAAAATGAGCTCAGGGTAAATCCATTGAAATTCCAAAAAGTCCATGAACTTACACCGCAACAGAAAGAAAATAGACTCAATAGAGCTAAAGAGTTGCTTCGCTTGGCCGAAAGTGGTGAACTGCCGAATTTGATTTCCTCCGATGAGAAAACATTTGTTGTCCAGCAGTTTGTAAACAAACAAAGTGATCGATTAATTGCCAGCTGAAAATGTGCACCTTCGGTTGGCCACCAGAACTCAAGCACCGGTCATGGTGATGGTGTGGGCCGCCATAACAGCCAATGATCGCTCGTATTAATCGACTGTGGTATCAGAATAAATGCCGAATATTATCGCGAAAATATTCTGGAGGGTGTATTAAAGCCTTGGGCACGCAAACATTTTGGCCGCAGACCTTGGACAATCCAACAGGACTCAGCACGTGCCACATGAGAACGGTTACAAAATGAGGTTCATTGCTTAATTTCCAGCGCACAATGGCCACCAAAATCTCCGGATACCAATCCGTTGTGTCTGGAGTATTTTGGAAAGCAAGGTTGGCACCAAAAATACCAAAGTGTCGATCACCTCAAGCAAGCGCTTCGCCGGGAATGGGCCAACAGCAACATTCGGGCAGCGTGTGACGGTTTCATTGGCCGTTTGAAGGCCATAATTCGTGCCAAAGGTGACCAATGCGAACAAATCTTAACTTTTTCTAAAATTTGATATTTTCGATATTTTTAGCTTTCATTCAATAAAATTTCAAAAAAACGTAAAAAATGTGGCGTTTGACTTTGTTGCAGTTTTTCATCTCACCCTGTATATTTCCTCCGTCCTCCTCCTAGGCGTCGTATTAGAAAACATAAAAATATACTTATTTTTGAAAATTTTATTTGCATCCAACTGTATTCTTCGTCTATGATTAGGTGTGTCTGGTTACCCTAAAATTTGTAACAATTGTTACAAATTGTTACTGGAAGTCGTCTGTTAACCCGAAAGTTCTGCAAAAGAGAGCGGTTGGAGAGAGAAATTTTAACAGTTCTTTCAGTGAGAGTTTGCAAATTCTTGCTGGACAAATTTCTTCTTGCAATCTCTTGCAATTCTTCTTCTTTTCATTCATCGACATTCAATCAGATGTTTTCTATTGTTTGTTTATTTATTTTTGTGCTTTCAATTTGAAAATATTTTTTTGGAATTAGCAAGACTAATTGTTTTTGGAGAACAACTTTACAAATTTGAAAAACATAAATATTAATACGTAATAAGAAAATAAAAGACTATTTCCAACATTTTTAGACAAATGCCATTAGCAACAGTTTTAAAGGATTCGGCGGGACACATCAAATCTATCTTCCTTTTATTGCTCATATTTTTATTTTATTGTCAATTTCCTTTTTATTTATAAAACTTGTGAAGTTGGTGGTGGTTCTTTTCGTTTAATTCTTTTAATGGGGGACAAATTGGTTTGTTTTGACAAATCAGCTGATTAGTTGCAAGCTTCTGCAGGAATACCGTCTGCTTGCTTTTCGCAATTTCCTTGCAAAAGAGAATAAAACTACCTTACTCTCTCAGAAAGGTGTTGCTGGACAATTCCTGCAGGAAAAAGTAACCAGACACACCTATTGCTTGCCCAAATATAAATCACCGGAAGGAGAAGAAGAAGAGTTGCAAGTGATTGGAAGAAGAAATTTCTCCAGCAATAATTTGCAAACTCTCAGTAAAATAACTGTCAAAATGTCTCTCTCGGACCGCTCTTTTTTGCACAAATTACGTGTTAACAAATGACTTCTAGTAACAAATTGCAAGGATTGTTAAAAAGTTTAGAGTAACCAGATACACCTAATGCTTTTAGCAATATAATTGGCATTATCTAAGCATTTTTTGAAGTTATGTCATGTTTCTATTTAATTTTTTTTTTATAAAATTTGAAGTTTTACTAATATATCAGATTTAAAGCTTTTTCTTACCTTTGAGTCCGTAATGTGCTTCAGCAAGATGTATAATCCAAAATATGTTTATTTTCTGTTAATTGTTTGTTCAATTTCGATTCCTTTTTCAATTAAAATGACACATAAAATTTCGAAATTTTAAAAATTTGAAATACGAAAGACAATAATTGACAAGCACCAAAAACTTTATTTGCAAAAAACTACTATTATTAACTTCTTTCCAGGTAGGTGTTCGACAAAAAAAAGACGTTACGTTCTATTGACTTTCAAGATTTGTTGTTGTATCTGGGCGAAAAGATATATTTCATGTATGTATTTTGTTGTTGTTAAACAATAAAGGTAATATAATTAACTAGAAACACATACACATAGAAAACTCTAGGAAATTAACACAAATACATAGACACACAGAGACGAATTTTTGTTTGAATCATCAAATGTTTTGCAAGCCACTGATTGTGAGGTGCCGGAGGGGGGACAAACACAAAAATTATTGCATTAGCTTATCAATTGTTGTTATTTTTTCAATTTAAATATTTTCAATGGCTTATTATCATTTCTTTTTTTTATATTTTCTTCTTTATATCTTTTTGATATAAGAAACTAACTTTTCTACTCATGATTTTTGTGCAATTATCTTAAAAATATTTAAATTTCATAGGTAGGTTGGTAGGTGTTTTGAATAATTTCTGTTTCGTTACAGTTGCTGTTTTATCTCTTTTATTTATTTTTTATTTGCATTTAAATGTGTTGTGCACTATGGTAGTAGAAGAGTTGTTGTTATGTGATTATTTGTTGCTAAACAACACAACAAACAAATAACCAACGATGATGCGACGTTATTAAAGATTTGATTGTGTTTTAAGCGACCGTGGCACCGACGCCTGTGCGTGTTGACATATTGAAATCAAAACCGCTACTAAAAACAGGTAACAAGTATAAACATTTGCTATATGTCGATTTACAGATCCCTACTACCATCTGGACTCTGCTGCGTTGCCGGACAACTATTGTGGTTGCATTGCCAATTTTTAATTATTTAACGGTTACCGTCGTAGAGAGACTTATAACAGGTGTGTATGACACTTTTCTAGTAAAAGCAATTCGTCCGTTCCCGTACAAAAAATGTAACAGTTTTCAAATTTATAAACCTAAGAAATCAACGATGTTAAGATATTCCGGACAAACGTTTTACATACTCGATTATAGGTATGCTAATGTGATATCGAATTGTTAATTTTCCTTATGAACCAAGAGGTTGAAAATTGTGCGAGATACTTTTAATAATAATTTTCTAGGTGGGTTATTGAAATCCTCTGAATAAAATTTGGTAAAAATATTCAAAATAATTTTGAAAATGCTCAAATTCTGTTGAATTAAATTTTAAATGTAATCAATCTGTTCTACCTTATAGTTATTTTATCATGGGTCTGTCAATGTTAATTTGTAATCACCCTACAGGTGGCAATCATGGCCCGATTCTGACGAAATTGAAAACAAAGGTCGTGTTATGGTCAGAATAGAAGCCTATTCCTTTTGGAGATGATCGCAAAATATTTAAAAATTTCTTGATTTTGCAGTTGCTCTACATGTATTAAAAATAGACCAATCGACGCGAAAGTGAGCATGAGGCTAGAGCTTAGGGCTGGACAGAAGCCTTCCAATTTGGATGTTCATCGGGTAATATTTATTGGGTGAAATATACCATAACATTTGTGTTAAATAAAAGTCAAATTTTCCATTAAACCGCGAATATTTTTAATCCCGGCGAAATCACAAATAGATGAAAAGGCCGTTGCGTTGCTGACCGTTGCGTAGAGGCCGTAAATCGATCAGATATGTATACATATATAGCGAAATATATACAAAGGAAGGAGATGTTAGCTAGAATGTGTATATCTGATGAATAGCTGGACCGATTTTGACATAAAAGTATAAAATCTGAAAAAATCGCATAAAAATGCCAATAAAAGTGTTAATATAGAGTTTGTAGTATTTTGTGATATTTTTTCCATATTTTCAGAAGGGCTATGCCCATGGTACTATAAGAAGGTAGAACAGCTTCGTCAAATTACAGAAATAAAGCTCTGAGACTATGCCCGCTTCCTGTCAGAATTATTCAAAATTATATCCAACAAGTTGTTTTCATTTATTTGATATTTTTTGTAAATTTCTAAAATGAGTCAAATAGCGCGAAATATGACTGAAATGTCTGGATGTTCTCTCATAAATATGATTCAAAGTGTCCAATCTTTCAATTCCATGGCAAATAAGGTTAATATTATTAACGTACGCCCGCAATTTAAGTTTCTTCCAATCATTTATTTTTCTATTGAAATATAAATATTTTGTTTTTATTTTTCAAAACAAAAAATATATCACAAAATTGGCAGAAGTCGGGCACACTTAGAAAAAAATTGTAATCAGCTGGGAGCTCTACTTAATCTTTTTATTGTACCATAGCTATGTCCATTGTTTTTAAAGATTTCCACCATATATTTAACGGACCAACAACTAAAAATGTTCTTGAATTTGCAGTCGAGAGAAAGGTCGCAAATAGAAACCAAAGGACACGAAATCTCGCATGAAGTTAGAGTTTGGGACAGCAAAAAGAATGGACCACTACATTTGTGTGAAAAAATATCAATATTTCAATCGAAACGTTGAAAATAACTCCCAAAATACACAAAAGGCGAACTTTCAGCTTTTTTATGCTGATTTCGTTGACGAATATAGCCAAATATCGTAGACAAGCAAATCATATAGGTGGAGATACAGAAAAACCTCTTGCATTTGGAGATGATCGCAAATTATTTATATTTTCGACATTAATCGACAATTGATTCTACAAATTTTGGATAAAATTGTATGGCCCTACTAATGGCTCAATAAGAAAAGTTGTTCAACTTCAAATCAACTAGAAAAAATGCAATTTGTCTGTTTATACATTTTACGATAAAACAATATTCAGAAAAAAATGTTTGCTGGCAGCTAACCTTTTATGGTACTATAAGTAAAATGCAATGACTACTTTATTTTGATCGCTATTTTATTCATTATTTATTATTTATTCATTTCCATTTTACGTTTTTAGTTGGAAATTCCAAAAATGAGTTAGAGAACCCCACAACTGCGACTGGATTCTATGAAAACATGCTAAAGCTATAGAGGTAGTCGAATATGGTTTAATAAAATTTAAGATCATTGATCCCGTCTTGAAAGAGAAATAAATAAATAAAATCAAAATCACATCAGCTTATCTAAAATCTTTTTTTTTTGCGAACACACTTCTCATTATTTTGCAGCAAACGAATTTATGCATAAAAATTTCAAATATGTCACATTCAATTCCACGCTGCCAAAAGTGGATTTAACAAAAATGGCAAACCAATGTAAAACTCAGGGTATTACATCTGACAATGAGAATACGTAAAACCAGTAGCGTTATGACTAGCTGGCGTAGATGTCGATTTGACCACTTTTATCGCCACAGAATCTATTGCAATTCGCGCGTCCTATCTTTCTCTTGCTTTTTAAAAAACACATTACAAATCAATTCACAAATGGCGTGGGAGTTTTCAATGAAGCTTTATTCATTCAAAACTTGAATTCATTCATGTTTACGCGAAATGCTGCAATGGCATTAATTAAATGGACGCTGAATGGAACAACAAAATACGCGTCATTCTTTAAATGGTAGTAACTGCTTTTTTGGAAGAAGTGAAGTCCACAATATTTATTGTCGTAAGATTGAGGATTAATGGTATTTAAACATTTTTGCAATGAAGGTAAGTTAAATGTGATAGTGGACGTTTTTAAATGGAAGGAATATTGTGATCGCAGTGATGCAGGAAACCAAGCCCAATGAAAACTGCAGCATACAATTTTGTTTTGGTTACAACGCATTGAGGATTACTGTCCCTGTTGTACCATTCTGTACAAATATATCTCGTTTGACCTAGTCTCTAGTGACGGGTACTTGGTAAATAGCTATGAAGAGCGTTATTTGGCAAACATGAAGCTGCTTTTGAAAGGTAATAACTACCCGTTGTTTGGGAAGTTCTTTTCCCACCACAACTTTGTAATTTAATGACCGAAGTTTAGCCTCGTTGATAGAGCAACTTAATCGCTCCACATTCTGTATTGCAAATAAGGATGCTCCCACCCGACTAAGAGAAGAGTGTTACAATTCGCCAGACTTAGCCTTGCTCCTGGATCGTCTCCATAAGCATGTCCCATAATTTCCACAACAATGGTAAAGCTCACCTCCTAGTATTCAGAGAGTTTACGAAACGTCGCTTCAGCAAACTGTCCAACTCTTTTGATATACGGAAAGCTGAAATAGACCGAGTTGCAGCTACTCGCTTTGTTTATTATCTCCTATCAAAGGCAGCGGAACTATTAGTGTGTTCAGCTCCGTCGATCCAACCCCACAGTCAGTGAATGAAAAATAGTTCGAGTGGTCCCACGGCCGAAGCCAGGCAAGAATGCCAGCAAAGGCAAGTCAAAGAACCAGGCCACGTCCTGCAATAGAAAAATTCTGGTAGGCATATTAAATACCATTGACAAAGTCAATCACGCAATGCTGTTTGGGGACGTCAATTCAAGTGCAATTCTTCTGATAAGTTTGAAACGTTTGACTACACGCGTGGACGCCAGACGTACGCAGACTCCCGAAAGAAACCTGTAGAATGAAATAGGGAGTTCCCCAAGGTGGTTTGCTATCTTCAGAACTGTTTATTCTCCAGACGGCATGTTGATCGTTACCTATGGCGATCTTATTGCCTTCTTTCACGTAAGGTATATGGAAATATCTGGCACCAAGTCAATGGACAAGATTGTATGGGACAAAGTTAACAGCATGTTTAGGTAGTACGCGCAAGCCACAGCTATCTGCGATAAATTAAAAAGTAGAAACGAGGTCTTCTCGAGGTAATAGTCGGCAGCAGTTGAGACTTTTTAACCTCTAATGACGCGATATGTCCGTCTGTGATGATATATTCGGTATTCAAACCGATGTCAGTAGCGGTTAAAACAGAGCAAAGCTTATATGTCGGTCCGTAGTCCAACCCTATTCTCAATTCGTATTGGTGGCTATTTGATGAAGATGTGGAAAACATCTGCCCAGCGTGTGATACAAGATCACAAACTGCGCTACATATTTATTAATGCCTTGCCAAACATACCCAACCTAATCCTAGGGCTAAATTCACTCGGTCGTTATCGAACTAAATTTTAATATGTCAACGAAAAAGTCTGAATATCAAACTCTATAGTTGAACACCAGTTGATTCTACCAAAATTTGGTAATCACACAGACCTTCGTTTCGATCGAAATATGTCGATACAGCCTTTGAAAGTTGATGTTTTAAACCTGAATTTAAAACCTGATTACCAGAAATACGCTGATACAAAAAAACCTCTCCCATCGCTTTATATATATATATATATATATATATATATATATATATATATATATATATATATATATATATATATATATATATATATATATATATATATATATATATATATATATATATATATATATATATATTATATTTTAGAAAAATATATCGTATATTTATTTAACAATCTTCTCAAAATACAAAAATAATAAACACTTAAATACATTTAAGTAGTAAATAACAGAAAATAAACTAATAATTTTCTTTTATAAAAAAATATATGTTTGTGTTCCTTTGCTTTTCCTATGAATGACCATATGTTAATTGATCACAATGTCACAATGTTTTGTCGCCATCATTTCTTTGAGGGAATGGAATACATGCTGTTGATATAGCAACGTGTAACTTCGCCAACAATCGAACGATCGGGAATAGCTTGGGCCATACCATATAATGCCATTTTGCCGGAAACTGGCTGACCGGGATCTTTCATAATTTCGGCAACAGCTTCGCGCACGTCGGCAATGAAACGATCTGCAACACCAGGTGCTGTATGCATATCGGTAATGCAGATGTGAATACTGGAAAGATTTGGGAAAGCAAATGTTTATTAGGGTGAAATAAATAATTTCTTATAACTAAAAACAAAGTGGGCCTTTTAGATTATATTGGGAATGTCAAATCTTAAAAAAATCGGTAAACATTAAAAAATGAGATTTGCGGAAAATTGAAATTCTCGAAAAATAGTTTTTAAGAATCAAAAACGAATAAATAATGTTCTTTTGCAAATTTTTAGCCTGAGAGTAATAAAACAATTGATCCAAATTTATTCATCCGATAATTTATAGATATAGATAGACATACGATAGAAATTCCCTTTAAATCGTTGTTATAATTCTTTTCCCTCTTCCAAATTAAGGAGGAATACAATGGACCAGCAGGCCTCCGAGTGGAGCGGTTACCATAGGGCGACCGCGCGTCCTTTTGTACCTCAAAAACATTTATTCAAATATTCACTTCTATTGGAGTGATAGCATCTATAAAAAATATTTTCACGTCTGCAGCAGTGACTAGCGCCCTAAACATGTTTTTTAATCCTTGTTCATTGCAGTAATAGGCCGTCAAATGAGTTTCTAAAAAATCCATGTTTAACAGGCGAAAGTCTCTCTCATCTATGTTTAGTAGTATTTCCTTAAATATAGTATTAATCTCCCAATGTATATCTTACCCTGAAGGAAATTGCAGTGTATTTAAATTCCAACCCTTTTTGCACAAAGCATCCGACAAACGGAAGATATCAAATACATTTGAGCCCATGGCAACAACAGAGGTAGCGGGTTTGCCGAAAATGAAAATGCCATCAACTTTACGTAGACTAAAAAAGGAAAGAGAATATATTTTAAGAGGAAGGTAACTAAATATTTATTCAGCTATTTTGCTTTACTTACGCTGTTTCCACATAACGTGATGTATCCAAGATACGTTTGGTAGCCTCCAAATAGCCATTGAAACCGAAATTCATCATTGTTGCCCAACAGGCGGCAATAATACCACCAGCTCTGGAACCATTTACGGTGGGTGAGCCATAAACACCGCCGGGCCAATCTGTGGTAACGGTGTATTGATGATTCAGGTATTTAACATCAGAATATAATACTAATGATGAGCCCTTGGGAGCAAAGCCGTACTAAAGAGAATGGAATGTGTTTTCATAAATTTTGATTATTTAGTTTCTGCAAAAATTCGCCATACTTTGTGTGTGTCCGCCGAGATACTGGTAACACCTTTGACGGAGAAATTAAATGGCTTAACCCTATAGCCAGCTGTGCGGGCCAAGGCAACCACAAAACTACCCAGACAAGCATCAACATGTACTGGAATGTCATATTTCAAACCCAACTCGGCAATGGCCTCAATGTCATCCATGGTGCCATAGGGAAAATTGGGGGCTGATCCAGCGAGCTAAACAAAATACAATGGACCATCAAAAAGAGACATAGAAATGCATTGCTAAAGCAAATCGTAAACGTACCATAATTGTATTTTTATTAATGGCCTTCTTGAAGGCCTTCATGTCAACTTCCAAGGTCTTGGGATCAACATCCACATAATTTACATGAATATTGAAATATTGTCCGGCCTTATCAAAGGCAGCATGGATTGTTTTAGGTACAACCATATTAGGTTGGGTAATACCCTTATGCTCACGGGCGTAATCACGATATGCCTTGCAGGCCATCACAATGGATTCCGTGCCTCCAGTGGTCATCTAGAACAGGGAAACATCAATGAATAATATATTAAATTAATATAATATTAATTGTTTGTTTGTTAATTGTTAATACTTACAGTGCCACAGCATTTCTCATCACCCTGGAATAGAGCCAATGCCATTTTCACAACTTCAGCTTCCATTTTACATACACCGGGGAAAATATCCGGATGCAGGGGATTCGTATAGGATGCTTTGCCATAGACCTGAGTCACAAGTTCAGCCAAATCTTCTTTGTAACCATAGACAGCCCCGGAGACGCGGCCATCACGCCAATCGTAGTGACCCAATTTTAAATGCTCATCCATTAGTTCTAAGATTTCTTCTTTGCTCAAACCATTTTCGGGCAATTGCAAACAATACTCCAGGGTTCCGGTTAACTTGGCTATTTCACCCTTAAAATCTTGATTGGCTTTTGATAATTCCGATTCGATTTTACGTCGAACGGCAGGAACTTTTTTCAAATAACGAAAGAATTGCCTTTTGCCGCGGGTATAAATGCCTGGAAAGGGAACAAAAGAAAGAATTAAAAAAAAAAAGAATTTAAACGAATTAAACGATTTTAAGGTTTAGGATAAATGAGAAAAGCATTAGAGTTTTCCTTTTCCACACATACGAGTAAATAAACTTTTCGTTTTTACAAGAACACCAATTATGAGATTTCCTACAGGAAAAGTAATCAGAAAACGTGCGAGAGCCATGTATTAAAGCCTTGGCCACGCAAACATTTTGGCCGCACACCTTGGACATTCCAACAGGACTCAGCACCATCGCACTCAGCACGCGCCACCCAAGAATGATTAAAAAATGAGGTTCCTCGCTTTATTTCCAGCGCACAATGGCCACTAAAATCCCCGGATACCAATCCCTTGGACTATTGTGTCTGGAGTATTTTGGAAAGCAATGTTGGCACTAAAAAATTCCAAAGTGTCGAACACCTCAAGCAAGCGCTTCGCCGGGAATGGACCAAAATACCGCAGAGCAACATTCGGGAAGCGTGTGACGATTTCGTTTGCCGTTTGAAGGCAATATTTCATGCCAAAGGTGGCCAATTCTAAACTTATTCTAAAATTTGATGTTATTTTCGACATTTTTTATCTCACCCTATGTTCTTTCCCATGCTCCTTTCCTTTTTGCATTCTTAATTTTCTCACAGACTGCTAGTCCGTCTCTGAAGCGAAGGTTGGTGAACTCTCTGAATTCTGGCCAGTGAGCTTTTCCATGATTAAGGAAAGTGCGGCGTTCAGAGGTTATCGAGACGATTTTTGGGAGATAGTCTGACCCGAGAGAAATGACGGTTTGCCAAGTCACGTTGAAAACTCTGGAGAACCTAATAGATATTGAAATCAGATCTCTACTACCCTTGACTTCGATCCGAACTGTGTAGTGGATTTTGTGGTGAAGAACCTAAACGACTCGTGCTTCACTTTTGCAGCCTTTCTCAATATAAAAGGGGCCTTCAACAATGTTACACTTGAGGCAATTCATGGTTCCCTTACAAAATTTACTTTACAACCACTCCTAATTGAACGGATTGATGTTATGCTCAGTAGCAGAATCATCAACTCATGCATTGGGGGGTGCTCTGTCAGGAAATAGGTTACAAGGGGTACCCACAAGGAGGGGTTCTGTCACCATTACTCTGGCTTCTGGCGATAAACCATGTACTAAAGGGCCTGGAACATGACGAAACAAAGGTAGTGGCTTACGCTGACGATGTGGTTCTGCTGATTGCGGGTAAATTCTGCAAACTTATTAAGATCTCATTCAGTTAATTCTCTTAAAACTCTCTGGATGCGCACGATGCCACGGACTCGACGTGAACCTATATATAACTGAGCTCGTAATTTTTTACAAGAAGGCGGAATATCCCAGATTTTTCGCTACCTATGCTGGATGAAGTTAGGTTAAGTCTGTCAACGGAAGCTAAGTACCTCGGTACTGTCCTTGATCAAAAATTAAATTGGAAAAAGAACATCGAGGAGCGAGCAAAGAGAGGTTTAATCGCACTCTATACTTGTAGAAACTCTATAGGGGGTAGTCGGGGACTTAAGCCACATATAAGCAAATGGTTATATGAATCAGTTGTTCGACCAATACTGACTTAGGGAGGGTTAGTATGGTGCAAGCTTAATTATGGTAAAATCAAATCTATGGCTGTTCTGGAATGTAGATGCTTTGGAAAAGTTGAAGATGTCTTTCAAACTTTGTTGGGTCCCTGGTCATTGTAGCATATCCGAACGGAGATAAACGTCACTCATCTCCTTGACGAAATTGGACCTAAAGTTTATGGTGGGCCTAATTACAGGTCACTGCAACGTGAGGACCATGACTTCCAAATGGGAGAGTGCGACGACACCGAATACTGCAGGCTCTGTCAGGACGAGGAGGAAACTGAGACGGTGGAGAACTTGCTCTGTCACTGTCCACCTCTCTATGGAGTCAGACAGAGGCTACTGGGTATCCAACTTTTCCTCGTGTTAGCATTTGTGCTTCAATTAGCCAGAAGATTAAAATGGCTAAAGACAGCACGCTGATCAGAACGTGGATACACTTTCACACTATTCGTTTCCTCCTTTCATTCTTCTAACTTTCCCTTCTGCTATATTTTCTTATTTTCCCCTTACTCTACCTTAAACTTCTTCTCCAAATAGGATGAACACAAGGGGCCAGCAAGTCACCGAGTGGAGTGGTTGTGTTCTAAACAACCACGCATCCTTTAACCTAACCTAAGTCAGACGGGGTGGCACTATGTATGGCGATCTGTGGCGCAATTTCCACGGTGGGGGCTCGTTTACGGTGCATAATGTGAAGCAGTCAATCTGCCCTGTTATCGCTGAAAGCCTCTGGTCATTACCAAGAACAGAATGCAACACGTCGTGGTGGACATTAAGATCCACTGGTTACCGTCTACAAACAGTGGGCTTATACCTGGTATATAACGCAGTTCACAGATATTAACTGGCGGTTCACAGCTACCTCGGCAAGAAGGACTGTTAAGTCATTTGTTTTGTCTTTAGAACTGTGTAATTGAAGACTTCCTAGACATTTTGGTAGGAGGCACTGATCTTTCCGTGTTTCTAAAATATTCAGAGACCAGTTTGAAATCAATGCTTATAATATTGTTTAAAACAACTAGGGATTTGATTATATAGATTCTTTAAAAAAAATCGCAAAAATGAATCCAAAGTAACTACCTCTGAATGCCTTTGGAATAACTGTTAAACATTTCTTTTAGTTCTTCAAACTCGTTTTGTGCCGTATTTTCTGCGAAAAAAAACTGATAAAGAATACTTTTCGCTCTGTCACTCTGTTGCCATTGGAGGTATTTGCCAATTTGTTGTCAAATTTTCTAATCTTAAATTAATTTCAATGCACTTCAAGAATTCAGAAACTATGCGGCATTCTTATCAGTAACGGTCATTGTATTTTCACTTAGCTTAAAATAAGTTTTCATAAAAACGGACCACAGAGATAATAATAGGGGGGTTTTAATTACCTTATCTATGGATAGGTGTGATTAGGGCAATTTTTTTCTATACCGGTTTAGTATTTTACAAAAAAAGAACAAAAAAGTTAATTTTTTGAAGGGAGAAATAAGAAAAGAAAGCATTTATCTTCTCAGTCACTGGTGTTAGGGAAAAATCTATTTTGGTAGTAATTATGATTCATTTATTCGAAACTTGGACTCGGAAACAGGTATACAAAATTTCCTTTTGGTGATCCCGTGACAATTGTTATCGGTAAATTTGTTTTATCTAAACTAAATTGTCCAACTTTCATATTATCTATAGTTTTTATGCAATATGGTCCCAGGTTGAGACATATTATTTTTTTAGTTAAAAAGTTGAGGCAATTTGCCAGAGAAAGAAATTACTTCGTCATTCCTTGTTATATTCTGGTGAATGGTGGCGACCTTTGAAATGTCATTTCGTCAACAATGGCTTTTATCTTTCCCTCAGTATGAACTATATGAGGAAATTCTTCCGTTCGCCTCGATAAAAAAATAACATGACTGGACTTCATTTTTTGGCTTCATATCACCGCCAGAATCATAAATCATTCGATTATTATTCAGATTTGTTGCTATTGCATGTACCCCAATTCATGTTAGTCTGATTGATTAGATTTTATGGCTCACAGCACTAAAACTGCTGATCGGATATGGCAATGCTAAGCAACTTAAGCTGCTTTAATATTTTTACGATTTTTTTCCATTGATATAGTTTTATTTCTTGCTAAAGTATAAACTTTAAGAGTTTCTCGTGCTCTGAAAGTCACAAGAGAATGTTCGTTGAATGACAATCGGTGTTATAATGGTAGAGGTTTAAACAATTGTTCTGTTCCAGAACCTGCAAGAATCTACTGGTTTTGCAATTTCTCCGATTTCATAAAGCGAAAATCGTTTTTTTACATTCTTGTAGTTCTGGAACAGACCAAATATTCTCTGAGCAACATTCAGCACCTTTTAAGATATTTGAATTCTTGGTTATTAAACATTACTTTTAAATGCCAAAATTCTTTCAGCTTTTTGAAATTCTCTTAAAAATGATTTTACCGATTATTTGGTAAGAGATTAGTCATCAATTTGTTTTTGGAAATTTAATTTCAATTGCCAAGGTTTCATTTGTTTATTTCCACCTGAAATTTCATCAAAAAGCTAAAATATTTTTTCATTTTATATACAGGGTGAGATGAAAAAACTGCAAACAACTTCAGACTGTTGTCATTTTGAAGCCACTCGTCCGACAGCTGTTAAAAAAAAATTATTCCAGTGACAGCTCATTATATTAGGTGTGTCTGGTTACTTTTCCTGCAGGAATTGTCCAGCAACATCTTTCTGAGAGAGTAAGGTAGTTTTACTCTCTTTTGCAAGGAAATTACGAAAAGTAAACAGACGGTATTCTTGCAGAAGCTTGCAACTAATCAGCTGATTTGTCAAAACAAACCAATTTGTCCCCATTAAAAGAATTAAACGAAAGGAACCACCACCAATTTTACAAGTTTTATAAATAAAAAGGAGATTGACAATAAAATAAAAATATAATGTGTTCCGCGGAATCCTTTAAACCTGTTGCTAATGGCATTTGTCTAAAAATGTTGGAAATAGTCTTTTATTTTCTTATTACATATTAATATTTATTTTTCTTACATTTTGTAAAGTTGTTCTCCAAAAACAATTAGTCTTGCTAATTCCAAAACAATATTTTCAAATTTAAATCACAAAAAGAAATAAATAAACAATAGAAAACATCTGATTGAATATCGATGAATGAGAAGAAGAAGAGTTGCAAGAGATTGCAAGAAGAAATTTGTCCAGCAAGAATTTGCAAACTCTCACTGAAAGAACTGTTAAAATTTCTCTCTCCGACCGCTCTCTTTTGCAGAACTTTCGGGTTAACAGACGACTTCCAGTAACAATTTGTAACAAATTTTAGGGTAACCAGACACACCTATTGTTTGCAAGCATACAAAAGCATTTTGGTGAGAATTTTCCAGAAAAAAAGTTGTTCGTGATGGAATTCAAGCGTGATAGTGTGATTTCTTTATATTTGGCTGGAAAGCCACGAGACACAAAAGATTTATTCACATTTAAATGCTGGAGTGCTCTACTCCAGCATTTAAATGTGAATAAATCTTTTGTGTCTCGTACCATCGCTCGTTACCGTGATACTGGTAGCGTAGCCCGACGTCAAAGAAGTAGACGGAAGAAAACAGCAACATCAGCAGAAATGGTTCGAAAAGTAAAGAAGCGCCTTGATCGTCGCGGTGGCCGAAAATAGCTCGTGAGCTGAACATATCGCAATATTCCATTCGGCAAATATTGAAAAATGAGCTCGGGGTAAAGCCATTGAAATTCCAAAAAGTGCAAGAACTTACACTGCAACAGAAAGAAAATAGACTCAAAAGAGCTAAAGAGTTGCTTCGCTTGGCCGAAAGTGGTGAATTGATGAATTTGTTTTTCTCCAGCAGTTTGAAACAAACAAAATGATCGTGTTTACTTGCCAAAGAGGTCAGCTGAAAATGTGCACCTTCGGTTGGCCCCCAGAACTCAAGCGCCCGCCATGGTGGTGGTGTGGGCCGCCATAACAGCCGATGGTCGCACTCCACTCAGAATAAATGCCGAATATTATCGCGAAAATATTCTGGAGGGTGTATTAAAGCCTTGGCCACGCAAACATTTTGGCCGCAGACCTTGGACATTCCAACAGGACTCAGCACGCGCCACCCAAGAATGGTTACAAAATGAGGGTCCTCGCTACATTTCCAGCGCACAATGACCACCAAAATCTCCGGTTACCAATCCATTGGACTATGTCTGGAGTATTTTGGAAAGCAAGGTGGGCACTAAAAAATATCAAAGTGTCGATCACCTCAAGCAAGCGCTTCGCCGGGAATGGGCAAAAATACCGCAAAGCAACATTCGGGCAGCGTGTGACGATTTATGGCCGTTTGAAGTCTACAATTCGTGCCAAAGTTGACCAATTCGAACAAATCTAAACTTATTCTAAAATTTGATGCTATTTCCGAATTTTTTTGCTTCCATTCAATAAAATTTAAAAAAATGTAAAAAATATGGCTTTTGACTTTATTGCATTTTTTTATCTCACCCTGTATTTAATATTCCGACTATCGCCTTTATTTCATAAAGATAAAATTTCATTATTTCTCCAGCTACCGCATTTCGATAAACTTTATCTAAAATAATGGCGCTGACTTTATTCTTTTGTTCCACAACAAAGACTTGTACATTTCAATATTATTCCTTATCATAGCTTCAATGTGTATTGGAAAACACACTTTGATGCTCGAAAAAAAGCAGGAGTTTATTACAAAAACCTCTTGTCTCGAAGTCAACACACATTCTGGCCAGAATTGCTAACATTTTAGAATTGTTGTTCAACACATTTGAAAGCTTATTGACCTCTGAAGTGTAAAAAATAATAACACGAATATGCTAATGAATCACAAAGAGTGTGTTTAAGTATATCTTTGTATTAAAGTGGTTTCAAAAAGCAATTTGTAACAAATAAAAAAACTAATAACAAAACAATTTTGATATACAAGGTGAGATAAAAACACAACAACAAAGCCTAACGCCATTTTTTTTACTTTTATTTTTTTTTTTAATTTTATTGAATGAAAGTAAAAAATGTTGGAAATAGCATCAAATTTTAGCACAAGTTTAGATTTGTTCGAATGGGTCACCTTTGGCACGAATTATGGACTTCAAACGGCCGGATCGACACTTTGGTATTTTTTAGTGCACCATCACTATGGCCGGCGCTTGTGTTCTAGTGGCCAACCGAAGGTGTACATTTTCAGCTGACCTCATTGGCAAGTAAACTCGATCATTTTGTTTGTTTACAAACTACTGGACAACGAATGTTTCTCATTGGAGAAACCCAAATTAGACAGTTCACCACTTTCAGCCAAGCGAAGCAACTTTTAAGCTCTTTTGAGTCTATTTTTTCCCGTTGCGGTGTAAGTTCTTGCACTTTTTGGAATTTCAATGGCTTTACCCCGAGCTCATTTTTCAATAATTTCCGAATGGAATATTGCGATATGTTCAGCTCACAAGCTATTTTTCTGTTAATGGTGCTGTTTTCTTCCGTCCACTTCCTTGACGTCGGGCTACGCTGCCAGTGTCATGGTAACGAGCGATGGTACGGCACACAAAAGATTTATTCACATTTAAATGCTGGAGTGCTCTAACGATAGCCACTTGTGGTTTTCCACTTCCGCTTGAATTCCATCACGACTAATTTTTTTCTGGAAGATTCTCACCAAAATGCTTTTGTACACTTGTAAACAATACAATGAGCTGTCACTGAACAAATTTTAACAGCTGTCGGACGAGTGGCTTATAAATGACAGCAGTCTGAAGTTGGTTGCAGTTTTTTTTTATCTCACCCTGTATTTATAGATATCACTCTGCGTTCGAGAAAAAAAATTAAGGAAATCAAGGAAAAATCTCTTCGGCTAGTATGAAAAATTGCCTGCCATTTTTAAATTGACTTCTCGAGTCCGGGATGTAAAACGTGACACTATAGAACTCACGGAAGAAATTAATTATGATGACTCTGTAAACAATACCACCAAAACATTTGATTGGGGACCATGAGAGTAAACGTCGACTTTTGGGGCCGCTTTTTTTGATTCACGAAATTTGGATTTAAAACCTTGACGAACATAAAAGGTCAATTGATACAATGTTCAGCAGTAGATTCACAAATGCCAGCACTTCTGAGGTATTCATTGGGAAAACAGTAACCTGAGGGGCATCGCGAAGAGTTTTATCGCTGCTGCTGTGGCTTCTCGTGGTAAATAATATGCTATGGGACCTTGGAAAAACAGGCACAAAAGTTGTTGCTTATGCTAATGACGTTGTGCTGTTAATTAAGGGGAAATTCCTGTCCACTATATCAGAGCTTATGCAGTGTGCACTCTGAAGCTACCACTATGGGTAAGCAATAACGGCTTAGAGGACAACCCAACAATGGCAGAGTTGGTACTGTTCACACTTAAATGCAAGACAGATCAATTCATTCTAACAGGAGTGGAAGAAGTGTCCTTAAACCTCTCTTCTGTTCACTGACAACTAAGATGGAACAAAAAAGTTGCGGAATGGGTTAATAAACGCTTTATTGCACTCTACTCCTGCAAGAATTCAATAGGAAAGAACTGGGGATTCTCTCCCGCTAACATACAATGAATGAATAAAGCTGTAGTATGGCCCATCCTTTCTTATGGAATTAGTCAAGTGTACAGCGACTAGATTCAATTCTAATCACATACGCATCAAAAAGTACACCTCAAACAGCCTTAAATGTAATGCTAAACACGGCTGCAGTCAAACTTAGTATACAGTCCCCGGCTGCACAAAGTGTGATAAGACTTCTAATCGATCTGCCGATATCAAATATTGAATAAGACAAGGGGACCGGAGTCTCCTGTGAGCAAGTAGGAGTGACTTAATCCCACAAGTTGGATAGATATCAGGCAGTGATCTTTGCGATCATGAAAGCGACAGAATTGATTAATACTATGGAGAATGAAATAACTTTTTATGTGGACAATTAAGGGGCCCTTGCAGCTGTTGAATCTTCTACAATCAATGCCGATGCAGTCCTGAGAAATCTGCACACTACTCGCCAGTTTTGCTGGGTACTTTGTCAACGAAATGAAAAAGCCATTGGCTCTGGCGCCGGATTAAAACACAACTCTTTTCGGCGCTTTTATCCATTCCATCTACTTCTCTTAACCGTTTTTAATTGTATTCCCTCTTTTCTTTCTCACGCAGGATGACCACAATGGACCAAAGATGATGGACCAGTGAGATAGTTACAACCTCAATTGTAACTTCACATCCTCTCACCATCCCAGACACAATGCAAACTATCATGCCAAATGGCAAAGTTCTACGTTAAATAATATGGGCGGCATCATGCAGCCGACTTAGAATTTGACACCGTTCACGAATATATATAGCCTTTTGTAAAACCTTATTAAAAATCCATTTATTGATTTATTTTTAAAAGTTTTATCAATCTACTTCATTTCGTTTGGAAGCTAGAGTGATTTCCACAGACGGATAAACGGACGGACATCAATAAATCGCTGATCAAGAATATATACACTGTGTGGGGTCTAAGATGTATATTTCGAAGTGTTACAAACGGAATGACAAACTTAATATACCCTCCATACTATTGTGGAGAGTATAATAACGGTCACTGAGCTAATCGTAATATAAAAAATATTTTTCACTTTTACAGCTAAGATAGTCATTTATAAATCCAAAAAAAGAGTGTTAGCAGGATAGCCCCCGATAACATTATTCATAAATAAGTTCTACAACGCAACACTAAGAGTAAAAAATACATTTGTCATTTCTATTACAAACTAAATTTTTAAGGATTATCATTGGCGATAAATTGAGTTCCCATTGCATTTTCTCTAAACCTGTCAAGCGGAAAACCAAAAAAAACATAATAACTTACTTTCATCCTGATTAATAAAACTCCACAGCCATACCGAACTGAGTACAGCTGTGGTTGTTATTGTGGCAACTTGCCAAGGTTCACGATTGGCAAATAAGCGATTGATATTTTCCGTAATAAGTTTACTACATTCCAAGCTGCCACCGCCAGCACCGCCAACCGCGAAAGGTTTCATTTTCGTTTAAATGCTATATTTGTGTCTCAGGTACAAATGAACTGGAAAAAATCACGAAAATTGTCGACAATGTTTGACACACACTCAAATATCGCTGCACTGAACACCGTGATGGAAGGAAAACAACTGAAACGATAATTAAATACGAAAATATTGAAAGGGGTTAATATTCAACGCACTGTAGGTCTGTTTGTATGTCACTTTGTAATCTGGCTTGCTTTCAGATTACGTTTCTTATCAATGAAACTGATAAAACTAAACAACAGACTTTGAAAGAAAATGAAAATTTCTATTGACCGATTATTGTAATCAACTTTTTCAGTTAATATCCTTACATAAAACAAAAGGTTGTGGGGATTATTCCCTATCATATCAGTGATTATTTTGTATATTTCGTTACAACTTTCGCCTTCATTAATTATTGTTTATTCATTTTACTAGGGGTCGTTATTGAAAGTCTCCGTTTATTGTATGTTGAAAATAATAGAAAGCATTTAGTCTTTGGGTTTTAATCTCTTATTTGCAAGGAGGATAATCAACAAATTGGTAAATATTAATCTTTACTCTGTGTATGCTTTAAGAGAGTTTTTTTCTATTTTTAACTAAAAACAATTGTATAAATTATAATTTTTAATAAAGAGCTAATGCTAATGTGTAACAACGACCCTGAATGCCTCTATAACAGCTGTTCTTGTTATGACATGACATTCTTTTAAGGTTGCTTTACAATTTGTGATTTGATTATCGCAAAATAATCAAAAGACTGAAAACCATCATGAGATACCGTTGGAAAAATACTGATTATAAAGAAAACTTCCAGTCATATATTCAATATATATAAGTTTATTTACGAGGTAAATATGAATTTAAGTTGCATCTAAATTTGGAATCATTTTTTTTTTTTAAAGGTAGGCGCATCGACGATGCTGGGACAATGAACTGCCAAACCAATTTTGGAATGGAAAATGTTAAATGAAAAATTATTTAAATTTGTAAAAATTGTTGAAAAACGCGTATTATAATAATCTCCGAATGACGTCGTATAAGAAAACATAAAAATTTAATTATATTTGAAAAAACATTTAAAATTTTTTGGCATATCAATGTTCCCAAGCGTTGATGCATCAACCTGTATTCTCTTACCAGGAGCCATGGCATAATTACAGAAGGTAGAACAAAGCTACCCCAAAAATACAATTTTTTTCTTTTTGTGCCCTTATTCTGTCAAAACATACACACATTTTGTGTATGTGTGTGTATTGCTTTGAATAAAAAATATAATAATTTAAGATTATTTCAAATTTGGCTGCAAAATAAATGCACATTCTCGACGAAAGGTGTTACAAATTGTACAATTTTGTGATAAAACTGCATTGTACTACTATTTTATATTTAATCTTGTGGAACAACCCCGAAAATCGATTCTTGTTTCGCTTTTTTCCCAATATAAGAATATCAAAAAAATATATATAAGAAAGCACAGCCAACTGTTGCATATATAAAAGTCTATTTGACACTATAAGACTCCAGCACAAAGTTGCATTTTTCTTGTTTCTCTGAAATTGAGCAACCTTTCTTATTGAGCCATGGAAGTAGCTTTGTTCTACCTTCTGTTTTCGTGCTAGAATAATTGTGATATTGCTGTGAGAATATATAATTGTAATATGAAATGCAAAGTTAAATCACAACAGTGTAAAAACTACTGAGTTAATTGACGAATTGTTATTAATTATGTGTTTGCGTTGTGTTTTTTAACTAGTGTGGTGAAATCATAGACAAATTTGGTATAGACTAAAAAGTTGACTCATCTGTTATCTCTGAAAAAAGTGCTTCAATAGATGTCGTTCATGCTGTGAGAGAGTTTCAGTAGACTCACTCAATTCTCTCAAAATACAAAATATTGAATATTTTTATGATATACTATTATTTATCGATAAAAACGAAACAGTGACTTTGTTTACATTTGCATTACCCAGCTATGTAGTGAAATATAAAAATATAAAGCTTAAATTGCAGAAATATGAATAAATTGTTTTCGAAGTCGAGTGACTTCACTAGCCCTGAGTGACTTGACTGGCCCAAGATCAACAATATTGACATCTGCCGGAAGGGGAAATTTTAAAACTTTTTAGTCTATAAATTTATTTGTCTATGGTGAAATACTTCGTCGGAGTACGCCTAATTTTAGGTAACGCTCTTATGAGTTTGTATTGTGTTTTCCTTTTCTTGTCCAAGAATAAAAAATTCAACAACAGTTCTATAGAATATTCTTCGAAGTAAAAAGACTGGATGATTTTTTATTTAATTTGTCTCACATTTTTATGATTGTATCATGTGACTACCTCGCTTATTGTCTAGTTCTTTTGCTTTTGACCATTTTCAATGCTTTACTATCGCAATTAGTTTCTAATGCGAATAATTGTTGATGATAGTAAAATATAAAGAATTAAATTTGATTTAGCCGCACTTTCTGAATATATAAATTAAAAAATTCCACTCGTGTCTAAAACTGCGAAGCATACGCTTTTAATTAGTTAATCTCCCCACTGTTGTGAGATCATCTGTTCTTTGTTGTGCTGGAGTACTGTAATGGCAAGATGTTACAGAGTGTGATGAAAAACTTTGACAAAGAAAACAGTAAATATGTACACAATTTATTAATAAATATAATACATCGGACTAAAATGTTTAATTCATACCATATTTTATTTCCAATAAATGTTGCAAGTTCTGAAAATGTTGTTTTTCAACTAGAAGAGGTCTCTTCGCACCTCTCTCGCTCTCACACTCACTCTCACTTCTGTCCAACTACAAACTAATCTATCTACCTGTTGAAGAAATGTTCACAGCAATATTTACATATTCATATTTTCAATTAAAGTGATAAGACTTTAAACACTGGATAAAAAATGCTGCGTCACCTGTTTTTATGGAATAAAGTAATTAATTTGAAAAAAATATATTGGTTCAGCAAGGACTCTGCGCAAAAATCTGTGTGATATAACTGTGGCCTTGAAAAAAGGCAAAACAAAAAGAAATGAAAACAAATGCTGTCCCTGCTCTGGCCCTCAGAGAAGTTTTGTTTAGTATCAGAACGAAATTATTTAGAAAATATTTATGTGTTTTTGTTGTTTTTTTCAGATTCCAGTGTTAAGTGCAATAACTCAGAATGCATGTGCCTTAAATGCAACAATGTCCACCACCACGTCTGCAACAACTCGACAATTTTGTCAAATTTCCGAAGCAAATGGGGTACGTGAAATTTGTCTCAACGAACCCAAGACCCGTAATGCCTTGTCCCTTGGCATGATGAACGAGATCCTTAATGCCCTCAAACAGACATGGGAGGATACAAATCTGCGTTGTATTATAATTTCTTCAACAGGTCCAATTTGGTCATCTGGTCATGATCTTAAGGAACTAGTGCCCGAAAGAAGCGAAGAGCAGCAAAGAGCTGTTTTCGAAAAATTAACAGAAATTATTTACAATATACGGAAAGCACCTGTTCCAGTATTGGCCAAAGTTAATGGCGTTGTAGCGGCTGGAGGTGTCCAATTAGTAGCCTCCTGTGATATTATTGTTTGCTCCGAGAAAAGCTCATTCATAACACCAAGGTAAGCAAACGATAATGATGACGTGTAATGTTTTATCTCCAAATTTTCACTGTTGTGGTAACCTATTAGTGCAAACTTTGGTGTCTTTGCCTCCACTCCAGCCGTTGCCATGACCCGTGTAATGTCACATTCTAAATGTTTGGATATGTTAATGACAGGTCATCCCATTAGTGCCAGAGAAGCTTATGTACAGGGCATGGTTAGTCGTGTGGTGCCCAACGAAGAATTGGATGCTGAAATAGTGAAAATTGTCGATGCCATTAAACACAAAAGCCGCTCAGTATTGGCATTGGGCAAAGAGTTTTTCTATCAACAATTGGAACTGACTCTGGACGAGGCTTATAAACAAGGTGCCAAGGTAAGAAATATTGATAATTTCAGTTTAAAAAAATATTGATGTGCTTTCGTTTTTGTAGAAAATGACTGAAAATCTTAAATTAAATGATTCGAAAGAAGGCCTCCGTAGTTTCATGGAAAAACGTAAACCTGTGTGGTCTCACCTGTAAATATGTAACATTTGCTGCATAATTTTATAGAAACTTATCTATGAGACTTTGTTATTCTTTTAATTATGGTTACGGAGATTATTGCATTTAAGTTGGTAATTTTGGCCAATAATACTATATTTTTATATAAACTACATTTGAAAATGGTGTATTTTCAATAAAGACATTTTTTCTGAAAAAAAGACACACATATATACATTTTTGGATTGATTGTTATATATAGACTCATAATATTGCTGCATTCTGATTTATTGTTGCTTTGTTCCAGCACCTGTATGAATTTACTTGTTTTGCATTTTTTTTTTTATATCTTAAATGAAAAATCAGTTACCATTATAAAAACTTTACATTTTCGCAGGTTCTGGAACAGCACTTTTATATTAAAAATATTATATGTATATTTAATAGCTATGTGGCCATATTCATTAGCTCTTTAAAATATATGAAACTATTTTCAATTTGAATTTGTTATTCAAAGCACTTCTTTCAAATAATCAACCAGTCTTAGGTGTCATGGGGCTGCATCACCCGACGTTGATTCTGATTAATTCTTTTTGTTGGAAATCCGTTCTAATAGTTTATTTAAACAAAGTCTATTTACATATTGTTTTGTTTGGCAACATATAATGGAATTTGATAACATTTGACAACATCAAATGACACCAGAACGTAATTATTGACATGACTAAGATGCAAATTAATGTTTACATTTTATTAAAAAATTCTCAATTTCCAGTTATATTTTTGGTAACAGTGGTTCAACACTTACATTTAAAAATTAATGACAGATGTTTTCCCTATTGGCAATAATCTGAATACACTAGTAGGTATATACTAACTGACAGTGTTGTTGTTGTTGCAGCAGTTTTAACGTGCTCCGTTGTTTATATTCTGACTAATCCGGCTCTTCCTCAATGTCCAGGTTTAGGAATTCAATTTAGGATATCAGCTGCAATGGTTGGGTGTGAACTCCGAGGACAGCATTCATGGTATAATTGTTAATGGCATCTCTGGCTGCTTCCGTATGAATGCCTCTCAGACCTGCCTGATAGACTTCTTGATTTAAGGTGTCTCTCTTGTAGCGTTGGACCTACCTCTCTAGGGGGAAAGGTAGAAGTTTAACAGCTCCGGTGATATCACCTCTTGGGGAACTCCCTGCTTCACTCTACTGGATTTGGACTTCGTATTCCGACAACATAGTTGATTATCCAACATTTTTAATTTGGCCGGAGAGTAGTTCCCTCTACATCCTCAAACAGTGTGGTGGTTCACGTTATCAAATGCCTTTGATAGGTCAAGGTCTACTAAGACGGTTCTATGACAAGGCTTATTCTTGTTCAATCCCCGACTGATATGTGTGGATATGGCGTGCAATTCTGTTTTGGTTGTTGTTGTTGTAGCAGTTTTACACGTTCTGTTGTTTTTTCCGACTAATCTGGTTCTTCCTCAATGTCCAGGTTTAGGAATTCTGCTACCTTTATGGGCTGTAGCCATAGATCCTCTGGACGGAGTTGGGTAGGCTTGGCAGGACAATTAAACAAATGCAGCGTGTTGTGCGGGCCTGTATCACACGCTGGGCAGGCGTTCCGCACATCCTCATCAATTCGTGCCCAATACGAATTGAGACGGCTGCACCATCCTGAACGTAGTTGGGCCAAAACTACCCTGGTTTGCCTAGGCAGCCGACGTTCTTCAGCTGCAATGGATGGGGGGTGGACTCCGAGTATGGCATTCATACTGTAATTATTGACTACCTCTGCGACTGCATCAGTATGAATGCTATTCAATCCTGCTTGATAGGCTTCATGATCTAGAGGCTCTCTCTTATATCGCTGGACCTCTCTCTCTAGATCGTGCAGGTCCTTCCTGACACGCCTGGGTGGGGGAGTTCTATCCACCATATGGTGGTTAGGGTGACTCCCGCGATAACACCCAAGCAGGTACTGCAACGAAAGCATATGATTATGCTGACGTAAGGGAAGAACCTTCGTCTCCTCATGTAAGTGGTCCACAGGCGTCATGAGGAGGCACCCTGTTGCAGTTCTCAGGGCGGCATTCTGGCAGGTCTGAATACATTTCCACTGCGTTGCACTTGTATTCGCCGACCACACTGGAGCCGCATAGCTAACCACAGACCGACCTATCGCTTTATAAGAGGTCAACAAGGTTTCTTTATCCGCACCCCAAGTGCTGCCGGCTAGCGCCTTGAGGACCTTGTTCCTACTTTTCATTTTATCGCAAATAGCTGTGGCTTGCGCGGAAGACTTGAACATGCTATCGAATGTGACCCCAAGAATTTTGGGGTAGTTGGTGGTCGGAATTATATGCCCCTCGACCTGCACATTCAGCTGTGTTCTCATCTCCGCAGTCCATGTGGTAAATAGTGTGGCCGTCGATTTAGTGGCGGATATTTTCATATTCCTCGCGTGGAAGAAGGCGTCAAGCTCCGCGAGATAATTATTCACCCTGACACATATGTCATCAACTACAGGACCCGACGCCATGATCGTACAATCATCCGCATAAGTTACGATCTCGATGCCGTCTGGAGGGCGCGGAATTCCGGAAAGGTAGAGGTTAAACAGTTCCGGAGATATCACCCCACCTTGGGGAACTCCCTGTTTCACTCTACGAGGCTTGGACTTCTTATTCCGGAATTCCACGAACGACTGGCGTCCACACATATAGTTGACTATCCAACGTTTCAAACTTGGCCGGAGGGTAGTGTTCTCAACGTCCTCGAACAGCGTGGCATGGTTGACCGTATCAAAGGCCTTTGATAGGTCGAGAGCCACCACTACTGTTCTGTGGCACGGCCTGTTCTGGTTGAGTCCTCGACTGATATGTGTGGATATGGCGTGCAATGCTGTTGTAGTGCTATGTAGTGGACGGAAACCGTGTTGATGGTTAGCAACTGAATAGCTTCCTCTGATACTGGGGAGGAGTAAGGCCTCGAGAGTCTTTGCTACTGGCGACAAAAGCGAAATTGGCCTGTATGATTCGCCTTTGCTGGCATCCTTGCCAGGCTTCAGTAGCGGGACCACCCTGCCCATTTTCCAGGCTTCGGGAACTATGTGGGTGGCTAACGACAAGTTAAGGACTTTGGTTAAATACTCAACTCCCGGCGTATCCAGTTGCTTCAACATTACCATTGATATTCCGTCCGGGCCCAACGCTTTAGATGACTTAGCGTTTCGGATGACATTCGCAACATCACCCATCGTAAACTGTGGAGGTACATCCTCGGCGGGAAGAGCTCTTATACGACGTAGTACTCTTCGCCTCGCCCTATCACTCTCGGGGTGCTCGACAAATTGGCGGTTAAAACAGCCAGCGCACCTCTTCGGATCAGTCACAGTTACGTCGTTAAATGTGACTGCTGTCCTATCATCCTTTTTCCCAGGGTTCGAGAGTGACTTTACCGTTACCCACAGTTTACTCAAATCGGTTCCGATGTTGCAACACTTCAGATGGTCTAGCCACTTTTTCCGCTTATGCTCCTGTACCAACCGGTTGACTTCCACTGTCAGTTCACTGACTCTGGGATCAGTAGGGTTGGTACGTCGGAGCTCATCACGCTCATTCGCTAATCCCGCTGCCTCTGCTGGGAAATTTGGTCTTACTTCGGGTATTCGACCAGCAGGTATATAGCGAGCGGCTGCAGCTTTGATGATGTCCCGGAAAATCCTTTCAGCTACCCGAACATCAGAAGGATTGGGCAGTTCTCTGAAGCGAAGGTTGGTGAACTCTCTGAACTCGGGCCAGTGGGCTTTCCCATGGTTAAGGAAAGTGCGGCGTTCAGAGGTTATGAAATCGGGCGATCTGCTGATGGAGACGATTATCGGGAGATGGTCTGAGCCAAGAGAAATGACGGGTTGCCAAGTCACGTCATTTATCAGACCGGGTGACACGATGGTTAAGTCTGGCGAACTGTGACACTCTCCTCTTATTCGGGTGGGGGCATCCTCGTTTACCGTGCAAAATGTGGAGCAGTCAATCTGCTCTGCCAACGCTGATCCCCTCTGGTCATTACCTAGGACGGAATGCCACAACTCATGGTGGGCATTGAAGTCCCCTAGTACCAGGCGGTTATTGCCTTCCAAAAGTGGGCTTATATTAGGCAAGTAACGCGGTTCACAGCTATTAACCGGCGGGATATACACATTAAGCACCTCTACCTCGGCAGTACCACACTTGACTGCTACCCCCATACACTCCATGTACGGGTCACTAGAGGCTAGCTCAAGCGAGATAGGTCTGTATTGAACAGAATGGTGTATCAGGAACGCTAATCCCCCACCTCCACTTCTGGTGCGATCTTTCCTCAATACGTTGTAACCATTGCAACGTTGTAAGCTACAATTTTCATTGAGCTTGGTTTCCTGCACCGCTGCGATCTTGATATTCCTCCGATTCATAAAATCCACTATCTCATCAATTTTACCTCGGAGTCCGTTGCAATTGAACTGCAAGAACGATGCATTGTCCGGAATTGGAACAGCAACATGTGGCGTTAAGTGCTGCGGTAAAGGTTGCTGTTCTGGAGACTGCGGGGGAGTTCCATACTCCGACGACGACTCGGAAGTTGACGACGAGGTCGTGGACTCACTGGGGACTACGTTGGTGCAGCACGAAGCAACATAGTCCCTATCGCTATAGTCTCGCAACCGGGTTAAACCGGAACAATTTCTAAAATGCACCCATCCTCTGCATCCATTACATCGCACCGAGACTGATCTATGGTGGATGGTGTTTTGGCAAACCGTACAGAACCATGGTCCGGGGTTTTCCTCAAGCCCGGCACGGACCAAAAGAATCCGGAGCAAGCATTCCGGGATGTGCTGCTCCCAAAACAGAAAAATAAACAAACACGAACATGTATACACTGGGTTGGCAGCCGCTGGCCGAAACTGGAGTGTTGTTGTTTCGGGTCAATCCGGTGTCGTAGAACCGGCTGCCGTGGGATTGCTGTGTTGTGGATGGAATCCATTTTGATGGAGGAGTAAAGCCTCAAGAGCCTTTTCTACTGGCGACAAAAGCGAAATTGGCCTGTATGATTCGCCTTTGCGGCATCCTTGCCTGGCTTTAGTAGCGGGACATAGTGCATTTTTGAAGGACTATTAAAAGTCTATAATCATTTTTTTTTTTCTTTAAGAACAATTTTTGAAGAATTATCGAGGATAAAATAGTTGGTGTTTTAAATACATTTTTGCAGCGCTTCCATGACATTGACGGCATAAATTCTATCGGTTGCGATGATCATTATTGGCAAATTTATAGACAATTTCAAGTCCTGGCAAAGTTTCAACTGTAGTCAATTTTATCGAACCATCCATATTCTATCTATTTCCCTCAACTGTTGTCTTTCCTTTATGATGTCGAAAAATATTGTGAAACTAGTAGATTCTTGTAGTTTCTGGAACAAAGCAAATGCTGTTTGAAATAACATAACTAAAAAGCACTGCCTAAAAGAACGATTTTTCCTTCATGATATCGAGAAAAATTGCAAAACTAGTAGATTCTTGCAGGATCTGGAACAGAATAAGTGTTAACTATTGATATTACATCTAGCATCATTATTTCCATATAGTAAAATTAATCAATTGCATATTTATTACAAATTTTTAATTTTTATTAAGTTTATAAAATTTTTAATTTTTATTAAAAATTTGTATATTCTTGAAGTTCTGGAACAGACCATATGATGTTTGTGACTCTAGGGTATATATGTATATACCAAAATAATAGATTTTTACAGGTTCTGAAAACAAAAATTACTGCTCCACGTCTGAAACGTTCCAAAAAATAGAAGAATTGAAAAAAAAAAAAAATAAGAATATATTTGCTATGAAGTTTCCTTTCGTATCGACAAACAAAAGCAGGGCCAGATGCCAACGAGTCTATACTAGGCACATGAGTGAACGAAAATCTAAAATCCAGTAAACGAGACTAAATTGAAAGAATTTACTAGTTTTGTAATTTTCTCCGATATCATAAAGGGAAAATCGGTTATCGTGGTAAAAACTTTTACATTCTTTCAGTTCTGGAACATGCCAGTACGCAGAAGCAACAAATCGCGCAAAGATAGCATGAATAGGTCAATCAGAAATAGTTTACCGGCATACCATGTTTTCTAAAATTAGAGTTGAAAGTTGTATTGTATTTAACAAAATTCAAGTCCGTTTGGTCGTATAGTATACAGGACTGGGGCACAGCTAGTGCCTCGAACGTAAGTAAACTACATATCGATCAATTAAAGGCTCACATTGGTACACAACGAAATTTAGATACTGACAAGATCATGAACATGCCTACTGTTGGACACTCAACTGAGAAGCTTTGCCGAAACTGCTTAGGCAAACAATCTGTGCACCCAAATACTCCTGGCATTACGGATCCCTCATAGAGACAAGTTCATATTTTATTTTATATTTCTATTTTGAAATCATCGATTGACATTCTTATTCGAATGCCTGTAACGTGGCACGTATAAATGGAAGCCGCATATGAGAATCGAACAGACATTTCCCGTAATCCGCGACAGAGTTTAATAAAACTGCCTTTAATGCCATGTTTACGTTAGAACTTTTTGTAGGGTTAACCTACTTTGAGAGGATTTATTTGAAGTAAAAGTAATGGATATGACAATTTAAATCCAAATCCAGTGGGTTAACGCTCATATATATAAACGTACTTTAAGAATAGTAAAATTATTACATTACATACTAGAAAAGACTATTCCGGCATCTAAAAATAAAGTTTATTAACCAAAAAAGATCTTTCAATAACTTAAAAACCGAAAAAAAAAACATGGCAAATATAGGGCAAGTTTTATTAACGAATAAATAACATTAATATATAGACCAAAGTATATTGTTTAACGTTTTAAAATAAATTCACGATTTTATTCCGAAATAAAGCTTATTTTTGAAAATCTATTTAATTTATTGTATTGTATTTAATTTTAAAAATAACGGCCATAAGATTCATAACCTTCAAACAGAGTTGATTTATGTTGTCGTCATTCTAATTAGATTAGAAAACAGCTGATCTTTAAATGTCCAATACTGGTGCCAAATTCATTGATAAGCAAAAAGTGCCAAGATATGTTGAATACCTTGAGAACATTTACAAAAGTAAGTAAATTATAAATCTTCGACATCAAATTATCTATATTAATTTTCTTTCAGACTGCCACAATTGGCCTTACCAGATCCTCCTTCCATACTACACCCCCCGTAGCCGCTGGTGGTTTTACTGAAGTTACACAATGTAATGGAGTCCGTGAAATATGTCTCAACGAACCAAAAACACGCAATTCCCTATCAATGGATATGATGAATTCCATTCTGGAAGATTTAACCGCAGACTGGCAAAATAAAGAACTGCGTGCTATCATTTTAACTGCCAAAGGTCCGGTATGGTCAGCTGGTCATAATCTAAAAGAATTGGTTCCCGAAAAAGGTGTTAAATATCAGACAGAAGTTTTTAATAAACTAAGTGAAGTCATTCTAAACATCTATAAGGCCCCCGTTCCGGTAATAGCTAAAGTTAATGGTTTGGCGGCAGCGGCTGGTTGTCAATTGGTTGCATCTTGCGATTTAATTGTAGCTTCGGAGAATAGTAAATTCTCAACACCTGGCGCCAATTTCGGTGTTTTCTGTTCCACACCGGGCATAGCTATATCTCGTGTTATGTCTAGACCACAGGCTGCGTATATGGTAATGACCGGTTTGCCCTTGACTGCTCAGGAGGCATATACAGCAGGTAAAGTTTGTTTATCAATTGGTGAACTTATTTAAAGAAACTGTGTTTCACATACACACCATACTAAGTTGATATTGGTATGCATAATTTAAAAAAAAACTATGTTTCATATACATTATACCTATTTGGATACCGAATTCTAACATTGTTTGTTTTTATTATTTTTTTTTTTTTTTTTGTTCTTTTAGGACTGGTTAGTCGTGTTGTTCCAGAAAAAGACTTGGATTCCGAACTTGCCAAAATCACTGATGCCATTAAACATAAAAGCCGTTCTGTAATTGCTTTGGGCAAGGAATTTTTCTACAAACAATTGAACCTGCCAATAGAAGAAGCCTATAGGCTTGGAGCTGTGGTAAGTACAAATGGCTATTTAATTATTCTTTGTCACGTTTGTTGTTATTGCTAATACTATTATTTTTTAGAAAATGACGGAAAATCTTGCCCTGAGCGATTCACAAGAAGGTCTGAAGAGTTTTGTGGAAAAACGTAAACCCCAATGGAAACATGAATGATAAAACCCTTAACCAACCTTCGTTTTAAATATTTATCAAATGAAACATGTGGAAATATTCTAAATATTTATTTATATTTGAAAGGAAACATGTGGAATGCATTTATAAAGTAACATTCTGTGATTTTATTAAAAAAAATCCAAAAGCATATGATTATTTTTTATTTGAATCTAGATCGCTAATATCAACTCACTGTAAGAAAATATTTAAACAGTCTTGTAAATTTTCAAAATATTATTCATTTAATATACAAAAAATCCTCCCTTTCGTTTTGATAAAATTGAAATCAAATTATTACAAAAATTGTAAGATCAAGGTTTTATCCATAAAGTGCACTACCAGTTTAACAGTAAATGATTGTTTTATGATTTTATTTGCCATGTTAAACTATAAATTTTATTACACTACGAATGAATAATTATAAAATTGTTCGGTTTGTTTTTATTTATAGATTTCGTTATCGCCAATCAAAATACTATTTTATGAAAACATTAACACTTAAAACTTGTACATACTTTAAAACTTCTATTGCATCATTGCGTGCTGGTAAAATTGTCGCAAAGCGCAAAGTTTGAAGAAAGTTGAACACTGATTTTACAGTCTTGGGTGCTATTACTATTCTAAATATTGGTCCTTTGAAAGGGAAATATGCAAAGGGATTGACTTTTGATCTCCATTTCATAACAGAACCCAAGATTTATATAAATATTTAGCATATGCCTAAACTGAACTGTCTTGAAAACATCATCTAGTTGTTGAGGGTATAAAAATCAAAAATTAACCCACATATATTATTAAAAACACATACATAACCAAAACCATCGTTGTTGGGACCTCACCATAAACAATGTCTACCATAGAACGTTCCTGAATAAATATTGACCTATCTTGATTTCCCTGGATAATCATAGCATTTAGGGTAAAACAAAAAATAAATAAAAAAAACACATAACTGAAGAAATGGGGGAAAAATTAAATCAAGTGAGGCTGACCGACTTCGGACAAATTTTATTCTTAATTTAATATCAAATTTTATTTAAAAAGTTAAAAAGCTGATTGGTCCTCATATGAACACTGTTTTAACTACTGGAGAGCTAATGACATTTTTAAGTTAAAGTGAGAGCGAGGGAGAGATCTAAATGTATTGTTGTTGGGCAGAAAGACCGGAACTAATGTAGAGAAGAATTGCTCCTGTTTTTATCTTTTTATCTGAATTTTAAAAACCACCGATGATGTCACTGAAACATTTATTTTCTTCATCTCATCTGCCATCTGTTGGCACCTGCTGCAGATCTATATCTAGTAGATGCCCTTCCCTACCTTCATACACAATATTGAAAAGTGAAATTAGTATTTCAATCATTTTTCGTAATTGGATTTTTTATAAAACCCCCAAAAGTCGAAAAAGGGCCATTATGAGGGTCAAAAAATTGATGCCAAATTATTGCTGACACTGTTACCTTTTCAACATGCTGCTGATACCTTTTCTGAGTCCAGAGACCCATCGGGTAGGTGGATCTGGGTCTAGTAGGAAACCGGACTTTTAGGTCAGAAATCTGAGGTCCCGGAAAAAATCAGTTTCCCGGGATCGAAAAAATCGAAGAGTTTATACTATAAATACATAATTTGACAATGAGATGTTGTCAAACACATAATTTGGAAAAAAATGCAAACATATAATTGCATGACGTTACCTTCTTTGTTCTACCATGAGAAAATTCTTTGCAAAGAAGTGCGGCGAAATCCTTTCAGCTGTTCAACTATAATTATTTAAGTATTTGTCGTTTATATAATGCCTGATGTTTTACAATAAAGCTGAAAGGATGGGAATAGTTAAGGTAGCACACATGGTACAATGATATCAAGGTAGGGCTATGATACCATATGATTTTAATTTTTTTATTTTCTTGGCCTAATATGTCATCTTTATTTGTTTATGTATGTGTTTTCTTTTCAATAACAAAAAATTGTTCAGAAAACATTCAAATTCGGGTGTTTTCAAAGTGTTTATTTTAACGCATACATCGACAAAATCTAGAGTTTTTGTAGCGAAATAATCCTTTAGAGATATATAGTACATGATTTTGAAAAGAAGTGTTGAGCTTTCATTCAGTTATCGCGGTTTTCAATTATTTATTCAAAATAAATGCAACAAGTTGTTTGATTTTTTATTGTTTTGATAGTAATTCTGACATTACAAGCCAAACAGGTAGACCTCTATACTTGCAATTTTTTCAAAGCTGGCCCATGGTACAATGAAGAGAAGCTACTCGATTTTTTTAAACTTGCTAAAATCAATTGTTGAAAAATTCGAGTTTTCACTTTTAAAACAAAATTGAAAACTCGAAAAGTTGAACAATATTTGTTTATTCCAGAACTGCAGTAATGTAAAAGTTTTTACTATGATAACCGATTCCGCCTTTATGGTATCGACGAAAATTGCAAAAATAGTAGATTCTTGCAGGTACTGGAACAGAGCATATGTAATTTCAGCATTCTTTGTCTCCATGTGAATTAAAACAGGGTGCTCATTTATTTGTTTATTTTTCCATGCCAGTTCACAATGGGTCTGTATGTTAACATAATTTTTTTTTGGTTTGAGATGTTTTTTTTTGTACCCTTCACCATAGTATGGAGGGTATATTAAGTTCGTCATTCCGTTTGGAACTCCTCGAAATATCAATTTTAGACCCAACAAAGTGTATAAATTCTTGATCAGCATAAAATTCTAAGACGATATAGCCATGTCCGTCCATCTCTTGTTACAACGCTACAGGCCAAATGAGTTAAGATAGGAAGCTAAAATTTTTTCACAGATCAGTCTTTTGTGTGCAGGCAGATCTAGTTGAAAGATGGGCTATATTGATCCACTGTATCGTATAGCCCCCATATAACGGTACCCCCCGATATTCGATATTTTGATGATTTTAGCCACATTTTTCAATGGAGTTGCCTGAAATTCAATACAGGGAGTCCCTTGTAGGTTTACCGCTGGTACGAGAATTGTCTTCATAGTTCCATGATAACGTATATCTCCCATACGTCTCTCGTATTTCAATAACTATAGATACATTTTTCAATGGAAATGTCTTAAAATAAACACAACAAGTTCCTTCTGAGTACTCTACCCTCTGAAAGAGAATTGTCTATATCGTATATCCCTCATATAACGATACCTCCCGATATTCGTATTTTATTATTTCAGCTAATTTTTTTCAATGGAAATTATTCCGTATTTTGATTATATTAGTAACAATGTTCACCGGAATTAGTTCAAACTTTAAAATATTAGGGACATTTTCCTATGAAATTGTTTCAAATTTCATATTTGAAGTTCGGAATCGGTACAACAGGCTATGGCAAAAAATTACTTATGCAGGTCCACGTCTTTGTGGTGGAGGGTATTAAAAGTTCGCCCGGCCGAACTTAGCTACTTTTTTACTTGTTAAATGTTAAATCTCGTTCTTCAAGCTGGGGTTTGCTAATAAATTGTACCATGACTAGCAATATTTAACAATTTTTCATTGACAAACTTTAAAAGAATCTGCTCAACATTTCCGACATTTTTTGCTTTCATTCAATAAAATTAAAAAAAAAAAATAATTATGGCGTTTGACTTTGTTGCAGTTTTTTATCTCACCCTGTATACATGAAGTCAAAAAAAAAAAATAAAACATCCCCAGCAAAAAATTATAACCAGCTTTACTTTACTTTTTTATTGTGCCATGTCTAAAACCAAATATTTATTTTTATGTTAAGATACAGACCCATTGTTGTTGAAAAATAAACGAATATATTAGGCACCCTGTTGTTATTCACTTCCAGGGAATCCCCTCGTTTTTTTTTTCTACTTTCAGTATATAATTGCTTTTCACTGAACTGGTTGCATGACCCGTTGTCTACCGTTTATTAATCATCAGCAAACCACTCGGTGTATATTAAAAGCCAGCTTTTTACGGAGAATATTCTAATGTAAGTTTGTGCTATTCGTTGCAATTTGATTCCAAATATATTCAATAATATTTTTTTTCCTAGTATATACCTACACATTTTTCAAATTAAATATCTAATTGCAGATCAGGCAATCATTGAAAAATGAGTAACGGAGATCGAGTAACGAATAATACGGTTGAAAATTGTGACAATACAAACATGAAAGAACAAGAAATAACAAAAAGGCAAGGTAACCACCAAGTGGCTTCTAAAAAACAAAACATTTTAATTTTTTTCCTATTAACTTGTTGTTCTTCTATTGCAGAAATTGAAAGCATTGGTAATTTTTTACTAAAACTCTATCATGGCAGAATTATTGGACCCCACAATGATTGGTCGTGCAAAGAGAGCGACATTCAGGAGGAATTTCAAAATTATTTAACGCCAGCATTGCGTCAACGTTTTAAGGATCACATGAAAAACGTATTGTAATATTGTTTCGTTACTCGACTCGATTTAATATTTTTTCGTTTCTTTAGTTATATGTTTTATTTAGCCGCAGTGGTTTTATTACTAACGTAACCTCAAATGTGTATACATTTCAATACGAGTGTATACTTAAATTTCGAAGTGAAAAGCTGAAAGAACACGATCAATTGAGAATGAAACCAATAGTTCGAGTTACTAAGAAGAAAGACAATACTGACGTAAAATTGAGTGAGACTGAAGCAGCGGCTATATTGAAAGGTAAATATGTATGGGTTTAATTAATTTTCACGACTTACTCAGAGTTGGAATGAAGGTTCATAGATGTAACTCCCTATGAACCTCGCCATCTCACTCACTTACAAAAGTGGTAGATTAAAATATTCCTGAATCATTTTTCTTTTCTTAATTTTAAGAAAATTTTACAGTTGATGAATATTCTCACCGGTACAATTTGATCTACCAAGGGACTAGAGAAGAAATTCTCCAATCTAACTTCCAACCTACCAATATGAGTTGTTATATATGTAGGGAACAATTTGCCACAATGGAAGACTATGAAGAACACATTGAATATCATAATATTACAAGTGAATTTAAATATCTTGAGGAAAAATTGGAGAAGCGGTAAATATTTCAGTTGTTTCAAAAAACTTGTAGTGAAAACTCTACACAATTTACAATTTGATTTTAGACAAACTTCACTGTTTTCCTTGTCGTATCAGCTATGCACAAATTCGCATCATTTTTGTTTTACCCTAAACACTCCGGCGGGTCAAGGAGGTGAAGATCAGCTGGTATTTGATCGAATAATCATTATTCAGGCACATTCTATGGCAGACATTGTCTATGATGAGCCTCTAACAAAGGATGGTTTCGTTTTCTATGTTGATTCACATCTATTCACCCGTTGTTGGGAGCAACCTATCGTTTTGATTTTCCACAATAAAGATGACAAAAATCGAAATTTTATAGAGGAGCATCATATAATGGTAAGCTAAAACTTGAAGTCTTTGAAATTTGTATAAAATGTTTGGTTTTGTTCAGGTGGACCATGAATATCCTCGAGTGCACCTTGCCATAAAACCCAATAGGTTGCCATCACATTTGTAAGTAAACCACACGTATGTTTACCCAAGCCCATTTTACAAATAAGGTCCTCCCTTGCGGACAAAAGATTTTATTCACAATAATCAGAAAAACACAAAGTATAATAAAAAAAAAATAATTTTATTGAAATGAATTCGTTGCGATAGGAAAAAGACAGCAACTAACCTTTCCTTATCATCTTTCCTACTCAAAACCGTCTCTAGAAGGGGAGAAATTTGGATTTGAATGGATTTATAACAACAATTATAGAACAGTGTTGGAATTTTTAATAAAGTATTAAGCCTAACTATTTTGCAACAACAAAAGAGCAACATGTATATTTTAAAATCTGTTTCAAGATTCAGGAGTAGTTAGCTCCATACAAGGAAAAGAGTTTTGTTGATTTTTGTTCCAAACAAAGAAGAAATACAATGGCTTGATTTCTTTCTTCCCTTCTCAACGTGTCTTTTATAAGAATACGTTTCCAACTTCAAACTACTACGGTATCCCAAACAATCATGCCAACACTGTTCTAATTATAGACAAGGCACCGTCGACGAAAGGGTTTTTGTTGTAACAGACAAAACCAACTTACGTGGTTATGTTTTTTTTTTTTTTTTTTTTTTTTCGTTGAGTTAAAACGAAAGCATAACAAGTGGAGAAAGATGTAAATGTTTATAAGTGCGGTTGTAAGATTTAGAAGATTTTCAAAAGAATTTTAGTTTTATTTAATTCTTTGGTTCCTCTTCTATTGAGCTTACGATCTCGTCACTTGGGTAAAAAAGTTTTTGTCATAGAAGTTATTTTAAAATAACTTCTGGGGAGAATATCCCAGACAAAAAACAAGGGAACTGATAAGGATTGGTGACTCTTTCCGAAACCTAGGTATTACCTGCCTTACCCCCTGGTAAACATTACCATCGTTCTTCACTAATAAACAAACGTTGTTTTATAAAAACAACAATAATGGGATGAAGTCTGACGATTTTTGCAACAACAAAAAATATTTTATTTCTCTATTTAAAAATGTGTAGTTATATATTTGATGGACTATTTAATCAAAAAAAACGAAAAAGTCAATTTTCGAATTACATATTAAACTCTGTGTTATTTTTTTTACCAATATACTCTTTTTCATCTAAAGGGTTTTTGATTCCAAGCTCAAATTGAATTCATACTTTCCGCCGTCAAATGTCTACAAGTGCCTGAAGGATAACAAAAATGTTGAAGCAATAAAAACCACATCGGCCGCCCTTGACGAATATGTTCGTAACGATAGAAGCTTGCAGCCGGAAACAATACATGATGTATTAACGGCACTACTTCGAATCGAAGATGTCGAAACAATTATGCAGTATTTGAAACTGTCTCTCAGGAATGTAAAACTGCGAAGTTTCGGTGACGATTACAGTTTTTCGGTAAGTTAATTATAGCAGATCTACCTAAAATTCGGCGTAGCATACAAGAATTCTCCACTAACATATCGTCTTACGCCAGTTCCACTTGTGAATGTATACTGTTAATTTTTGTTTTCGAAAAAAAAAAACAATGAAAACGAACTCTGTTAGCGTTGAACTTGTTTTGATCAACTATTAAATAACATTTAAATAACCTTTTACCAATGGAACAATGAGGAGGTAAAACCGGTCCGTAAAACTACTGAAATGCAGCTCTAGATCATACCAACCATGGTAGAAAAATACAGGTAGAGGCATCAACGCTTGGGAACATTGATATGTCATAAATTTTTAAATGTCTTTTCAAATATATGTAGATTTTTTTGTTTTCTTATACGACGTCATTCGGAGGTTAGTATAATACGTGTTTTTCAACAAGTTTTACAAATTTAAATAATTTTTCATTCAACATTTTCAATCCCAAAATTGGTTTGTCCCAGCAGCTGTGTCGATGCGTCTACATATATTCTCCTACATGATACCAACTAAGAACCTTATGTGAATGCGTATCAAGGTTTTAGAGTAGTCACAATTTGGGAACTTTTTTTCATCAAATTTGATTTACTCGCTTCTAGACTGAATTCGGTCGGATGTGTCAAATTCAGGTCATTTGGACTGATATTGATCATTTTGTGCACAATTAACCTGAAATCGGATTAAGGATTTATATGGGAGCAATATACAAATCTCAGCCGATCTCGATTAAATTTTGCAAAGATATTTCCAAGCTCTATACGATATCTGGTACAAAATATCATTGATGTCAAATGCATATTACGAATGTGAGGGACTTAAACACCAAATCGGATAATAAATGCGATCTGCATTTTGTTCACAAGAATACATGGACAGACGGATGGGCGGACAGACTGACATGCATAAATCGACTCAGAAAGTGATTCTATGAAGATCCTCAAATGTAACTATGGGTCTATCTCGCTTCCTTCTCCATGTCACAAATAAATGCGCAAAGACATAATAACCTTACCACTATGTGGTGTAGGGTATAAAAAGATTTGTAATTAGCCGTTAGTTGTTCTATACTTGTTATTACACAATGCTTTTACCAATATATCATTGCCGTGCTCTAACGATAGCCACTTGTGGTTTTCTAGTCAAATATAAAGAAATCACACTATCACGCTTGAAAGAAGAGTGGCTTAGAAATGACAGCAGTTTGAAGTTGGTTGCAGTTTTTTCATCTCACCCTGTATATGTATTTTTACGAGAAATGAAATCTCAAGTCGTTCGAGTTTTTTCATTAAAGAATAAGCAAACTTATAATGAAGGATTTTCTCCAAGGACAAAAAAACTCCAATCGTGGATTATAAAAAAAAAAATAAAGGATTTAAGAAAAATTGAGGAGAAATCAATTGAAAATTAAGGACAATCATATCTTAAATCGTTGATTTGCTATAAAAATTAAAGAAATCAATTGAAGATAAAGGACAATATTCAAACAGAGATTATTTATAATAATTTTTCATATACTACTTGTTTAAACATTTACTTTTGTGGCCTTTTCAAACACATTATCGTTAATCGAAAAAAAAAATATATTTTGTCCACCTCTTGATTGAGCCTGTCAGAAACCCGGTATCAAGGAAAATAATTCTTTTTTTCAGATAAGACGTAGCAATCGGTCTAACACTCAATATGAAAATATTTTATCAATTATGGATGAAATTCTTATTACCAATGCCCATTTGCGATTAGATGAAATTTCAGTAAATAATTTAATTTCAAAAAATTCCGATGATTTGGAAGATCTTGGCATTGTTGTTGGTCGCATACAAAACCTTAAATATGGCCGTGTTTCATTTAAAAGTGACATCAAGTTGGATATTCATGCGAGTTACACCGTTATTTTTCGGCCATCACGCTTGCAATTGCGTTATCAATACCGCGGTCTGGAGGGTTTGCCCCAAGCTATGCTTTGTCTGAAGAAGTTCTTATTTCCCATTGAAGTTTCGGCGAGACAACTTGCTCTAGTGCCTGTGTAAGTTATAACTCTTATAAGTACCTTCACTTTTCATGAATATTTTCTTATTATGGAGCCATTTAAGTGGCACTTCTGAGTACACCACGCCTAGGATTTGGCTTTATTTATACTATTTTATTGTTCTTTTTCTCCAATAGTATGGAGTTGTACAATAAATCGATTGCCGACAATCCAGAGCAGTTACAAGCTGTTTGTAATATTGCCCAGGGTCCCCGTAACGATGCACCCTATATCATTTTTGGACCTCCTGGTATGTACAATAACATTTATAATTGTAAACAATCATTCAATCGATATTTCATCACTTCTCCTCCTCAACACAGGAACTGGCAAAACAACAACTCTTGTCGAATCTATTTTACAAGTTTTCAAACGCGAGAAAAGCAAAATACTTATAACCGCTTCTTCGAACAGTGCATGCGATGAGGTGGCATTGCGTTTATGTAAAGCATTCCAAGACATCGATATTCCCGCCCGGGCAATAGTCCGCGTCTATTCAAAATCGAATGAGATACGTAATGAAACAATCGACGAATTACTCTTAGAATACTCAAATATGTATAGTACCCATTTTTATCCGTCCGTTGAAGTTCTACATGAATATCGTATTGTTGTGTGTACCATGTCCATCGTTGCCAAATTGGCCAGTGGTGGTTTCGGCCGTGGCACAACATTCACTCATATGTTCATTGATGAGGTGGCTGCGTCTACAGAATGTGAAGCCATAACGGCCATGTCTGCAATTCTTAAACAAAACTCGTGTTTAATAATAGCCGGCGATCATAAACAATTGGGACCTGTTCTCCAATCAAAACTTGCCGAGGAACTGCAACTAGGCGTATCGTTGATGGAACGTCTTTTAAAATATGATTGTTATCGTGTCAGCGAAGTGACTGGAGAATACGATCGCAGCATACAAACTCGTTTGAGAAAAAATTTCCGCTCCCACCCGGAAATTGTTGATTTGTACAGTGGCATGTATTACGACAATGAACTGGAAGCACGAGCCAATATTGGTAATATGTAATAGCTTTTAGGGAATCTCTTTAATACAGTTTAGACTAGGCGCACTTAATTTGACGAACCTAAAATTGTGTTACTCTCTTTCAGACGATGTGTCCATGACAAAGCATTGGCATTTAGCACCCAACACCAATTATCCCATTATATTTCACTCCGTCAAAGGTAGATCATTTAGCGACAAGAAATCTCCCAGGTTTGTAATTTAGTATCAACAAATCTACAATTCTCATTTATTCACTCCATTATTTCTCACCGTAGTTTGTACAATCCCGATGAACTAGATGTTGTTTTGGACTATGTGAAGGACCTTATGTATTTTGGTGTTAATGACAAACCGCTTAACCAAACTGATATTGGTGTTATATCGCCGTATAAGAAACAATATTTAAATATTCGCGATGAACTAAACTTGCGTAGATGGCACAACATTGAAACGGGTTCGGTGGAAATTTTTCAAGGCAAAGAAAAGGAAGTTATAATTACATCGTTCGTACGCTCCGGTACAGATTCCCTGGGCTTCCTGGAAAGTGAAAGAGTAAGTTACAGCTGAAAATAGTGATATTTAAAAATATATTCAAGAGGTTTTATTTTTCTAGCGTTTAAATGTGACCCTTTCTCGAGCAAAATCTTTACTTATTCTAATTGGCAATGCTGAGACATTGAGTCGAAATTCCGATTTTCAACATATAATTGAACAATGCAAACAAAATGGAACGTTTATTGAAGAAGTCAGGACCAAGGCGGATATTGACTATCCTGCGCAAAGTAAGAGACTTTCCCGAAAAGAGCTGCAAGCTCAATGTAGATTTTACCGGCTTCGGCGACTTCAACAAAAGGAAGCTAGGAAAGCCATTCCCGATAAAGGTAAGTGATCTATGACTTTGGATTGATAATTTTAGGAAATAATCAAAATATTGTTTCTTTTTAGAAAATCTCACAACAAATCCAAAGACTTTGTCTCTTCTGAAGGAACAATTGTCGGGAAGTACTAAAAACATAAAGACAAAAGAAACAGGCGTTGAAATCAACGATAATAAACGCTATCGCGGTCGACATGGTAGACGTAGTAATCCATCAAACATCAAACATATGAAAACTAGCGAGGCACTTTTTAATGTTGATGGAGGCAAATACAGAACTCGTTGCAGACGTAATTCCAAAAAAACTCAAGAAGATAAGGAAAATAACAAGATATCTACCATAAATCCCACCAATCGACCAAAAACTGTCCAAAGTAAGATAATGATTTAATTTTTAGAATTTTTGTTACATTTTACATTTTCAGAGAATAACCAGTCTGTCCCGAATAGAAGTGAAACTAAGCAAAAAGTGGCAACATTTGTAAGAGAGAGAAATAATGGAACGGCTCTTAAAACGTCCAAAAACATAAAACAAAGTACAAAACTACATCAAGTTATTAGTCAACTAAATGATCTGTTATTAAAACCAAATCCATAAGATTTCGTATGGGCTATTTTCCCTCAAATTTATGCATTATAAAATGTAACCCTAAGAGAAAATGTATTGTTTTTAGTTTTTCTAGTTATGTATGTAGTTGTTTATGTAAGTTTTTACACACTTAAATACATTTTTACTTGATATTTTCTTTAAGAAAAATATCAAAGAGACAAATATGTTTCTAGTTTTTAATGGAACATTGTTTGAAAACTAATAAAGCATTCAGTTGATGTAGGTCTTGCCAGTGAAAACTGTCCAGTACAAATATCGCCAAATGTCGGACGTCCGACACGTCTGCTGAAAGTCGGAAGTTTTTTCCAAGGTATCTGATCGACGCGCAGAATCACAAAAAATGGAAATTAATTGAAAAGATGAAATTCTATTAAAGAACAAAAAAAGTGAAGTAAAAATATTTTAAAAATTAAATTAAAAAAAGGTAATCACGGTGAATGTACTTTGATCTAGTTCTTTGCTTTTGTTGTTCTTTTTAAATGAGTTTCTATTGTGTTTTTATCCTATTATTAATGGGAAATCTAAACAATATAAAAACAAGTAAAAAAGCTGTAAGTTCAGCCGGGCCAAACGAATTTGGCAATTCTCAAAAACAATAAAAACCGTTAAAAATTCTGTTAAAATCTTAAAAATATCTAATGTAGCTGTTATATAAGGGACTATACGACGACATGGACCTGCGTAGGCAACGTTTGTCCTAAGCCATTACAATACAATACAAATACGAAACTTAAAAAAAATCTGTCTTACGTAGTAGTACTATCCCTTGCGAGCTTCAAATACCAAATTTGAAACAATTGCGGTAAATAATGCCGCTAAAATCATCAAAATACCGAATATCGAGAGGTACCGTTATATGGGGGCAATACGAAGACGTGGACCTGTACAGACAATTTTGTCTTAGGCTTTAGTATCCATTACGAACTTCAAATACCAAATTTTCACAATTTTCTTTCTCAGGCTGTAGTATAGTAGTACTTCGAACTTCAAATGCAGTACTTCGAACTTCAAATGCCAAATATGAAACAATTCCGGTGAATAATGTCGCTAAAATCATCAAAATGCCGAATAGTGGGAGGTACCGTTATATGTAGGCTATACGAAGACGTGGACCTTCATACGATTTTTTCCATATGTTGTAGTAACCATTAAGATCTCCCAATACGAAATTTGAAACGATTCCGGTGAATAATGTTGCTGAAATCATCAAAATACCGAATAGCGGGAGGAGGCTATACGAAGACATAGAATATATATACTTTCTGTGGTCTATTATGGATATTTCGAGGAGTTACAAACGGAATGTTAATGTTGGGTATATTAACTTTAAGTATATTGGGTATATTAACTATCGACAAAAACGACAACCCTAATATCATTATTGTCGCCTCGACTTCATTTTGCGACGGCGACGACAACCGTAATAGGGCCGAATATGTTTGTAAAAAACTTTGTCTGAAACCCTAAAATTAGAAAGTGATAGGGAGTGAGTGAGAAAGAGAGAATCTGCCGCTGAACTCAAAATATCAAGTAACCCATTATTGAGTTTGAAATTGTGGCCGAAACCTTCAAAACAAAATTTAAAGTAATACATGATTTGACTTCAAATTGGGGTCAAAACATTCAAATTACCTAAAATCAGGAAGTAACGCTTTATTGGGACCACGCTGAAACGTTGACCGATCTGTCCCATTTTTAATACCAAATTTTCAAAGGGATAGAATTCTTCCATGAATTAATCTCCGTTTTCGAGGATCTCGCCCCACTGTGCGACGTAGGTTCGAAAAACAAAACAATTTTTTTTCTTTTGATGCCCTTATTCTGTCAAAGCATATACCCATTTTGTGTATGTGTGTGTATTGTTTTGTATAAAAAATACAATAATTTGAAATTATTTCAAATTTGGTTGCAATATAAATCCAAAATTTCTACGTAAATAGATAGCAAATTGTATAATTTTGTGATCAAAATGTATTATCCTAATATTTTAGATTCCATTTTGTGGAATTGCCCCGAAATTAATTAAATTACATTCTTGTTTCGCGGATTTTTCCCAATATTATGCAAGCCACACACGATACAATTGGTTGTACAGCTTGGAGAGATAGTATTCACGATTGTATCGTTTGTAGCCTGGTTGTACGATGTTGTGTCTCGGTTGTACGAAAAATCAAAAATGTTTGATATTTGACATTTTGTACCAACCGATTGTAACGTTAGTGGGCATGTCGCATACAATTTCATTTTGTGTTTATTTTCGACGAGGCAACACCATTGTTTCGCACATCAAAACAACACGAAATCCAATCAAACGTGTGATTTTTATGTATATATAAAATCGAATTTTATAATGGAATTTCAAAAATTAATACGAAATAAAGGCTATTGAGCCAATTATAGAACATGAATTTTTTCCGGTGCCATCCATCTTAACTCAAATAAAATCAATGAAAAGTGAAGTTGTACAAAGAGGTTGTACACAAAGTTGTATCGTTTGTGGCCGAAGCATACAACTTTGCTACCTTCTTTCGTTTAAATTGTGCGTGGCTTGCATAAGAATTTTGTTAAAAAAAATTAAAATAAACAAAGCCTACTGTTGCATATTTAAAATATTATTTGACACTATAAAACTCCACCACAGTGTTGCATTTTTGTAGTTTATTTGAAGTTGAACAACCTTTCTTATTGAGCCATGGTTGGAGGTATTTGTAGAGTTTTTTCTGTTTGTATGCGTGTTTAGTCTGTTCCAGAACTGCAAGAATGTACAATTTTTCACAACGATAACCGATTTTACCTTTATTATATCGAAAAAATTGCAAAACTCGTAGGTTCTGGAACACAAAACAGGGAAAAATGCTTGCGTTTGTTGTTTATAAACTTAAAGTTTTCATTTTATTTATACCAGATTTTAATAAATTTTTTCGGGGAATGTTTGTAATTGTATTAAATGAACATTAATGTGTTTTTTTAACCGAAGATATTTATGCTATGTTCACAAGGCACTTGGTTCGCTCTCTATTCATTGTTGGACCATTAATTATTAAATTTCTTATTAATTCCCCACATAAAATTAGGAGAGCGAACAAATATTTTTGTTCTTTGTTCCATTCAAATCACTTAAAGAACTAAAGGAGCAAGTACATAAAAAGCTTGAAGTCATGGCTAGGCATATTAATGTCAAATTATAAAGGAAAACGACGGCAGGATTTTAGTGCGGCTCTGTAATTCCTTTATGAAATGTCACAAAATATGCCCAGCCATGACTTCAAGCTTCTTATGTATTTGCGCCCTAAGATTAAATATTCATCGAAAAAATAAATTACGACATTTAAAAATTCAAAATAGAAAAAATTTATGAAATTTTCAACTTTTTTCAGGAAGACTGAAAATTATGAATGAAATAAAAATATAATATATAAATTTGGTTATCTCTCTCATTCTACGCTACGCTTTTGGCCCAAGAGTTGGAATATTTGCAGAAAAGTTCCCATTTTCAAAGATTTTGAATCGACAACATATTGACTGACAAGTTTCTCTCCAGCAAAAATATAAAAACAGAAAACACACAAAAATATACTCAAAATGTCAACATTTACAGAAAAGGGCATGGTAGAAGCATACAGATAAATGATTCAACGCTTGGAAACATTGATATGTCAACAATTTTAAACGATTTTTCAAAAAAAAAATAGATTTTTAACATGTTTTCTTATACGACGCCTATCAGAGGTTGTTAAGATATAAGTTTTTAAACAATTTTTACAAATTTGAATAATTTTTCATTCAAAATTTTTAATTCCAAAATTTGTTTGACAGTTCATTGCCCCAGCAGTTGTGTCGATGCGTCTAACTGTATTCTTCTACCATGGAAAAGGGTCAAAACATGTATGAATATTGTAAAATAATGATAAAATAGACCTTTAGAACGATAATTTCTTCTGTTCATATATATTTTCATACAAATTTCCATTAAAACGAAATTTCCTTTAAAAAGGGAATTATTAATTACGAAGTGTGCCGTATGAACGTGTTAATTGGTGTACCTTATTCTAATAGCGAACAATGTGATTGAAATTGCAATGAGAACATAGCATAAATAATTAATGGTCGAACAAGTGCCATGTGAACTTAGCATAAAAACAGTCTAGCGATTTTTCTTTTGTGAGCAGTTGTTAACATTGATAAGTTGAACGTTGATACATTGAACGTCGATAAGAAACTTGTTTATTGTGTACTTCCCCTTGGAACAAAAACCAGCTATACGGGGAAAACCGCGTAAACCCCGAATGATAACAGACGAATCAAGTTTCGGTACAAATACCAGTTACATTTTGAGAAAATCTCTAAGTATTAAAGTTATTGTCATACGATACGGAACGAAGCGAAAAGACCATAACAGTGTTCGCGTGCAGTGTAAAATTCGAATTCGTGTATTAGTTAATTAGTGAATAGATTGGAACTTCAACGTATCCCGGATAGTGACAAATAATTTTTCTATAGGTATACATATTTGTTTGTGTGTGTGTGAACATGGATTTCATGTGTCGTTCATCTGTTGTCAACAATTGACTATGACCATTAAAAAGTGTGACCCCATTGAATAATATATGGTCTGTTCCAGAACCGCAACAATGTAAAAGTTTTTGCTACGATAACCGATTTTCCCTTATGACATCGGGAAAAATTCTTCTTATAGATTCTGGAACAGACCAATACTCATATGGTGAAGTGAAACCCCAACAAATATAATTCGACATGAATCACATAAAAATTGGTTATTGTAGGTAATGCCTGTGTCAGAGTTATATGTTTAAAAATGTTAACATTAAGTAACGGGCCCGGGACCCTAGATATTTGACCCGAAAACCCGGGTTCAAGATCGGAGCTGGACCCGGATCCACTTACCCGATATAGACAAAATAGGTATCGTTGGAAAGCTTATGAAAATGGTCACATGATTGGTTCATTCATATGCGGTTCCGAAGTTAAAGTCAAATTATTGCTTTTTTTGGACCCGAATTTTTTATAAAAACCCCGAAAAGTCGAAAAAAGGTATGCCAAATTATAACTGACCTTTTACCTTTCCAAAATTCTACAATTTGTGCTAATACCTTTATCAGGTAAGTGGATCCGGATCTAGTCGGGATCTTGAACAGGGACTTTCGGGTCCGCCCCAATAAAAAAAAACAGTTTCCCGGGATCAGGATAAAAATACCTACCACTGGAAAACATTAAAAAAGAGATTTTACTAAACTAGAGTTAGGCCGTGTTCTTTGTTTTCAGGGCTACAAATCGGTTCTGAACCAAACCTCTAAGCAAACCACCGAACCGCGAACCAAAACATTGTCTAAAAAATCTATTGAACAGAACCAAAAACCGTATTTCAATTAAAAAAATGATTCGGTTCGATTCAACAAGTTGTGCTTTCAAAATTAGGAATTTCTACCTTAAAAAGCTTTATTCTTTTTGTATTACTACCTTTTTGGCCGCCTGAAAACCCACACCAAAAACCGAACCATCGTTCAAAAGTCGTGTGAACCATTAAACCAAACCTAACGAAATTGACAAGTAGATTGCAGCCCTGTAATGGGATTCTCCAACTCATTTTTTGAGTTACCGACAAATTTGGGTAAAATTATGAATGAGATGTGTAAAGCGGGAACAGAAACACTATTGAATGGTTTGGCTGTTGAATCAATTCTCGATCCGGCTTGAAGGATCAATGTAGAAAGTGAGAAAAGAAACGCTACTGCTTCGTTAGGGTAGATTCAATTTAGATTTTGTTGTAAAAATATTTTTGTTAAATGCTACAAAAATTAATCTAATTTAGCTTAACCTAATCCCTAAAAGGGAACATTACATGGCTGATTGTCTCTTTATTCAAGTTTTTTATTATTAAATGTTTTTTTTTTTTTTTTCAAATATAAGTAGATTTTTATACGTTTTCTTACACTACGTCATTCGGAGGCTATTATAATTCGCGTTTTTCAACAATTTTTAAAAATTTAAATAATTTTTTATTCAACATTTTCAATTCCGAAGTTGTTTTGACAGTTCATAGTCCCAGCAGCTGTGTCGACGCGTCTACCTATATTCTTCTACCATGGTTATTATCCTACACATTATCGTATGCGATAACGCATAATATTACTGACTTGTACACACGTTTTATATTTTACTAGCTGAACCCGGTGCGCTTCGCTACCCCTTTTGATTTTATATGCATTCAAAATTTTATTTACGAATATATGTTGGTTAAAAAAAAACAAATTTAAAAATTAAAAAAAAAAATTATTGCACTACTTTAATGCGTAAATAACCAAAACCATTAGAAAAGCAGTAACGTGACATACATACACGAAGGGTTTGTCCTTCGGATTTATTTATTTCATAGCAAATACCAAACGTGCAGTAAACTGCAATCTTTTGAAGTTGAGTGGCATTTCTATTGCAATTAGTGAATTCGAGATAGCAACATACTTCGCCGTAATAAGCGTATTTCAAATCAATTGTTGTGTTGTTTTTTTAGTGTTAGCCTAAGGCGTTGTGGGTCAATGGTTCTCATTAAAACCATATCCCAATCTGATCCGATTTAAATATAATTTTAAAAAAATTACTTTTACACCAAACTCCGCCACACCTTTCATATTTCATTGAAATTGGTGCGTCAAATATGTGAAATCGGCCGATAATATATAAATGGGAGCTATATCCAAATCTTAACTAATTTCCAATAAATTTGTCACATTTATTATTGTAACCAAATTCCGCCACAAATTCTGAATTTCATTGGTATCGGTCATATATATCATGTTTGGTGCATAACATGTATGAAATCGGCCGAAATATATATGTTAGCTATATCCAAACCTCAACAGATTTCAATATAATTTGGCAATTTTTTCTGGTGCCAGATTTTGTCTCTCTCTCTTTGGGTGCATCAAATATGTGAAATCGGCTGAGTATATATATGGGAGCTATAATCAAATCTGAGCGTGCCGAATTTCATTGGAATCGGAAATACGTATCGTGTTTTGTGCATCAAATATGTGAAATCAGCGGAAATTATATATAAGAGCTATATCCAAATCTGAACCGATTTTAATATAATTTGACAAATGTATATTTGTTTTAATTTCCGCTACACATTCCAAATTTCATTGAAATTAGAGATACATAGCGTGTTTGGTGCATCAAATACATGAAATCGGTCGAAAATATATGGGAGCTATATCCAAATCTGAACCGATTTCAATTTAATTTGACAAATTCATTTTGGCTCCCAATTCCGTTACTTATTTTAAATTTCATTACAATTGGAAATACATATCGTGTTTGGTCCACCAAATACATGAAATCGGCCGAAAATGTATATGGGAGCTATATCCAAATCTGAACCGATTTCATTATAATTTGGGAAATCAATTTTTTAGATAAAATCTATCACACGTTTCAAATTTCATTGAAATTGGGGATACATAGCGTGTTTGGTGCATCAAATGCTTGAAATCGGCCGAAAATATATATGGGAGCTATATCCAAATCTGAACCGATTTCAATATAATTTGACAAATTTATTTTCGGATTAAATCCCGTCACACATTCCGAATTTCATTGGAATCGAAAATTCATATTGTGTTTGAGACATCAAATGAACGAAATCGGTCGAAAATATATATGGGAGCTATATCCAAATCTGAACCGATTACAATATAATTTGGCAAACTTATTTATGTTCCAAATTCCGTTACGTATTCCAAATTTGGAGACTGTATCTTCAACCAATCAATAGATATGTGCATATAAAATCTAAATTTTTGGGAGGTACCTCCGATTCTGATGCTAAATCTCCAGTTCCAAGTGGAAATTCAAAAATGTATATAGCCTATGTTACTTTCAGGCTATGTTGCAGTATATATGGAAATTTTCAGGAAAATGTATTCAGCGGTTTTCGAGTCCATAAATTACAAACAAACATACAAACATTTTCCTCCTTTATATTTTATGGCCGCTGGGTAACTTTCAATTTTGAAATGTTTAATTATTAAGGATGTACAAAATGTTTTGCACAAGAAGTCTAAATTAAGGTTGACGGCGCTTTTGTTATCGGTCGGACTCAAAAATTTCGTTTACTACCGAAATTATAAGCATTTTAATTTAAAGGATTTTTGTCGGTGACTAAAAAAATGAATTAGAGAATCGCTCTACTGTTTTTGTTCTTTTTATGAGCGAACCCAGTAGGGTTAGTTCGGGATCTGCTAAAGCCAGTAAAGACAATTGAAAGCTTATGGCCCGTTCTTATATCTTTTATTTATAGTCCATTTTTGTTATCCCAACTTTAGGAAAAGGAAAGGACAAAGTTCATATTATCGGCTTTTCATTATTACATCTTTCCGTTAGAATAAATGATTTTTTTACAGAGATATGGTAAGCTTTTCGCAATAGTAACTAATAGTCTCTACATTATTTCACAATAGCATCTTCCTTTTAGTTTAAATATAATAAACAAAATGAATTGGTGATTAATTTCGTGAAATAAATCTATAATTCAGCTCTTCAATATAAAATAAACTAATAGCGTTATCCATGTTTTATTTAAATAAATGTTGCTGCTATTTCCATTCTATCAATAAAAAATATGGCAACAGGAATTCACTAAACTTTACGTTAAAAGATAAAGGGAAGACTGTCTGACCTTTTGCTTATCGGATAGTTCATACTTAAATGAAACTTGTTATAACGAAAAACGATTCATGTGTCCGACAGCATCGCTTTTTCATCTATCGGAAAGATGTAATAATCATCATCAAAAATACTTACCTTAAACTACACAAAATTCTTCTAAACCAACATGTTATTTTCTTAAAATATTATTAGTTTCGTATTTAATAATATTTTCATTTATTCATTTTAATATTATTTTATTTTATAATTTTCTTTGTATACATTTTTTTATAATTTTATTTTATATCAATTTATTTGCACTACTTTTCATATAATTAGTTATTTACATATTTTTATATGTAATTATAAAAACATTATTGTACGTATACTAATTATCACGAGTGTAGCCAAAAATACCTTTTGTTTGGTTACCACTCATTTGCCTATTCCCTTTTCTTCTGTTTAACAACAACAATACATCGATCAGTTGTGTTGTTATGATGGTCGCTTTGATGCTTGCTTGTGCGTCGCGACCCCCTCGCCTACAAGCTTTGTTATTCTTATTGCTTAATAACAATGGGAATGCAAAATAGAAGTAGGCAAATGAGATGGTACACAACCAACTGCACATGCATGCATGCATGGTAGAAGAATATAGGTAGACGCATCGACACAGCTGCTGGGACAATTAACTGTCAAACCAATTTTGGAATTGAAAATGTTGAATGATAAATTATTTAAATTTCTAAAAATTGTTGATATACGCGAATTATAATAACCTCCGAAAGATGTCGTATAAGAAAACATTTAAAAATCTACTTATATTTGAAAAAAACATTTAAATTTTTCTGACATATCAATACTCCCAAGTACCTGTATTCTTCTGCCATGCTTTCTTGTTACAAATCAAATATGTAAGAGAAATGCAATTAGCATGATTGGCTTAAGTAGCAGCCCTACTCAAAACCGAGTTCTAGAACATGAGCCGAAAAAGAGATAATTTAAGAGAAAATTTAAATTCTGTTTTTCTTTATATTTTACGATTCCATTTAATTGTTTTTTTAAACATAAATGTTTGCCAAAATAGTTTATAAAGCAAATGAATAAAAAATATTTGAATAAATAATGACTAAACACTATTTTGTTCCTGATTTAAATAAGCAAAGAGAAATTTGTTTGGAAAGAGATATGTTTTTCTTGAGCAGTGCTGCTTAAGTAGTCATTGACACCATGCAAATATGCAAAAAAAAAAAGATAAATGTACATAAATGCAAACAGCTGTTGCATATTACATACATTTTTTCTGCGACGCGGGTTTCGATCAAGTCGATTCTTAACTTTTCGAACCATCTCAGCTGATGTTGCTGTTTTCTTCCGTCCATTTCCCACTTCCTTGACGTCGGGCTACGCTACGCTAAATGCTGGAATGCTCTAACGATACCCACTTGTGGTTTTCCAGCCAAATATAAAGAAATCACACTATCACGTTTGAATTCCAACACGAATAACTTTTTTTTGAAAAATTTTCACCAAAATGCTTTTGTACTTTGTGCTTTTGCTTGTAAACAATATAATGAGCTGTCACTGGAATAAAATGACAGCAGTCTGAAGTTGGTTGCGGTTTTTTCATCTCACCCTGTAAATACCTGCTTAGCTTTCAAATTGTATCAATAGCGTCTATATCGGTTCAATAGATCCGGGTCTAACACGAAAATTTCGGACTCGGGCTTTCAGGACTAACATCCGGGTTCGTCTACCAAGTAAATACTTTTCCGGAATCGCAATTGAAATAACAAATTCTGGATATTAAAAAAAAACAATTTTTATTAAACAACCACACCAAAATAACTAACAAAGTAATACATTTTTCATAGAATTTTTGCACAAATGCAAAAATTCACATCTTTTTTTTTTTTGAAATTTGAATTACTGAATTTTCCCAGTACAAGTTACTCAGAACACACCTATTATACAGCATAAAAAGATTCAGCGATTTTTTTACTTGACAAAAGTTGATAGCACTTTGTTTGTTTATACGACACGACGAAAGCTAATTGTTGGTAATTCCCCATTTTATACTTTGCAAAAAAGGCAGCCACAACAAAACCAATACAACAGAGAGAATGACACGATTTTTTCTTCAAATATGTGTTTGTGTGTGTGCGCGCACAAAATCCAACTCAGCGAAAATAATCAAACAATACGGGTTGCAGGCATTTATTTTTTCATTCGTCAATTTGTCTCTCATAGGTTCGGACGGTAAAGTGAAGAAGTAAAGCGTCGTTCGTTTATGGTGTACAGATCGTTGTAATAACTATTGAAGTTCTAAGATTAATTTTTGTCATACATCCCGGATTAAATATATCTATTATATAGGTGTGTTTTTGTGCGTTTGCTGGTAAATCAAAACAAAAGCTAGCCATCATGTCGAGTGATGAATCTACAGCTACTCAATTCTCCGTGGCGAGCCAAGCCACAAGTGGTCGAAAACCAAAGGTCCCTCCTCCCGATCAATGGGGTAAGTTGTGTTGTGTGTTTCTGGTTTTATATCTCTAAATCATTATTAATTTGTGATTTTTTTTATTCTTAGAAATAAATTTAATTGGAAACTTTCTATTAACGCTCTATCATCGTTTGGAATTAACACCGGATAGAGAATGGATGTGCAAGAAATCCGATATGAGAAATCAATTTCGACAATTTGTAACACCAGATCTATTGAAACGTCTGCAAAGCGTCAGCGGTTCCGATAATGTATGTATTATTGATTGTTTATAGTATTTTAATATATACATTGATATGCCTTTGTTTCGTTAAGCACTGATGTGAGGTAGTATTAATAATGGACACACATCTATACAGTCTGCGTGAAATGTGGGTGTTCTTGGACATTGTCGCCATATACAAAAAAAATCATTAAAATAAGTTTAAGATTTTTTTGCATTATGCACCGTAAACCGACAGCAGGCGTCAGGTTAGGTTTGTAAATTTCGTATTGCACTCATATAACTATACCTCTCGATATTCGGTATATTGTCGTTTTAGATTACATTTTCTAACAGAATCGTTTAAAATTCCGTTTTTAGACTTTGTAACGGTTTCCACCTCCTGTGACAGAACATTGTCTAAATAGGTTCACGTCTTCTTATAGCCCCCATATAACGGTACTTCCCGATATTCGCTTTCTGATTATTTATGACTCATTTTATAAGGGAGCTCGGATTAACATTCGGTACTTAGGGTTCGTAATGAGTTCTACCTTTTGTGCCAGATCATTGCTTATAAAGATTCACATCTTGCTACAATCACCATTATGTTTCAGTATTTCCCCATATTTAATATTGTGATGATTTTAGTCACATATTTTTAGTGGAATCGTTTAAAATACGTACGCAAAATGTTTGGGTTCTGTCTTCTGTGGCAGAAAATACTTGAAATAGACACATTACTTCTAATACCACTCATAAAGCGGTACTTTCGAATAATTGGAATTTTAGTGACAGTAGCTATCGAGCACTATAGAAGGAAACTGGTACCATCGAAAGCATTTTTATAAGACTATACCAACGAAAATGTTTTTAAGTGTTTGTTTTCTCTTTCGAGACGAGCTTTTTTTCGAGAGTTAAGCTTAGACTTTTCGACGCCCACTGTATGTACACATATGTATGTGCATGTCTAATGTGCCTAAAGATAAGTTTTGTTTACTGCGAAATTGAGCGATCATGCCAGTGTTGCCATTTTTAGAAGGAATATTTATATACCCCGCCAATTCTCTTTCTCTCAATATTCGTCGTAGACCCCATAAAGTATATATATTCATAATCAGCATAAAATTCCAAGTCTATTTATTTCTGTCTGTCTGTTGAAATCACGATCCGGCCGCATTATTTGACGTAGAGCGTCAAAATTTAGCACAACAATTTGTATTGTGTCTAGGATGGTTGGTATTGAAAATGATATGATATATCGGTCCAGTTTTGGTATAGTCCCCATATAACGGTACCTCCCGATATTCGGTATTTTGATGATTTTTGACACATTTTTTCACGGCATTGTCTGAAAGTTTGTTATTGTAGGTCATAATAGGTCCTAGTTCGTGTGGCGAAATATTGTATGTATAGGTTCCAGTTTTGGTATAACTCCCATATAACGGTACCTCCAGATATTCGATATTTTGATGATTTTTGCCAAATTTTTTCACGGATTTGTCTAAAAATCGCTATTTGTTGGTCAGAAGGGTTCTGGCTGTGGTGGCGAAACATTGTATGTATAGGTCCACGTTTTGGTATAGCTCCCATATAACGGTACCTCACGATATTCGATATTTTGATGATTTTTGTCAAATTTTCCCTAGAATATATCTAAAAATGGGTATTTGTAGGTCATAATGGGTTCTAATGTTTCCTTTATCCTAAAGTGCAGGTTATTTAATGTTCGGCCCGGCCGAACTTAATGTTTTTTTTACTTATTATAAAGGCAATTTGATACAATTTGTAAAGGGATGGTGTCAACACCCTGCCAAGCAAGGAAATTACGGTTTGATTTGGAAAATCGAATTGTTTCCACGCACCACCAGTAAATCTGAATTAAAATTAAAAGACTGACGGTATAGACTGCTGGGCGCAGTCAGAAAGAATGAAATGTATCTTTTTATGTCTGCTTGTAATCACAATCTCAGAAGGAACCGATGCCAACTATCAGTTTTGGGCAAAGTTAGGCTCACAATTTTTAGGTGCTAACTTTAAGCATATGCCCACCCATTGTTATGGGAACAATTTTAGCTTGGTTAAACAATTTCTTTGCATTCTTAGTAAGCACAGGTTTAGTGGTGTCAGGCATCACACAGTCGCTTGTAACTAATTTTATACAATATATTCCTATAGATTGGTACATTGCTTCAACGTTGTCGCTTTCTCATCAATACCCCAAGAAAAAGTTCATTATATAAAATTAATATTGGGTCTTTGTTCGAGTTTCGAAATAGAAAATTGTGTGAGCAAGATAAACGACGTATTAACGATGATGAAGATCTGACCGCAATTACTGGTCCCGAGGATATACTAAAAAATTTAGTAGAGACTAAAAATGCACCATCTTTGCAAGGTAATAGAGGCATGATTGATATTATTTGAATTGAAAGTAAAAAATATCAACAATTTCTAGTGACTTATGAAGTCGATGAAAATTCACCCGTACATGCATTGCAATATGAGGGCACCGTAATGCAAGAACGTCGCAAAAATTATTTTCCCACCAATATGAGCTGTTTCATATGCCAGGAGGATTTCTCCACAATGGTTGCCTATGAGGAGCACATACAAATACACAATGATGAAAGTGATTTTAAATATTTAAAGCAGTTGTCAAAATTGTAAGTGTTTATAGAATATGCTTTTAATTGTACTGGTTTTATTTTTTATTCAACTTTTCAGCCAATCGCCAGTATTCACTATAGACTACCAGTTATGTAAAAATTCCCATAATTTTTGTTTCAATCTAAAAACAATTACCGAAGATTTAATAATTGAACGGATTATTATTGTCCAGTCTCGTTCAATGTTTTATGTTCACAACATGCGTGTGCCGTATGCGATGCCAGAAAGCAACTGTGATCGATTCTATGTTGATTCACATTTGTTCACCATGTTTGTGGAACAACCCATTGTAATAGTATGCCATTTGGAGAGCAACAAAAATATACGCATTATTGAAGAACATCATTTCATGGTAATGTCGAAATGTTTCCCTTTGTAGATTATGTTGTAATGTGGGTTTCATATTTCAGCGGATTTCTGAATATCCAAGAGTTAATTTTCCAATAAAACCATATCAATTGCCATCGAATAAGTAAGTACAGAGAATAATGTGACTTTGTTGTCATATAACTTTTATAAATAGAAGAGTTTCCAAAGAGTTTATAAAAGACATGGAAAAAAAATCTTGAATCTGATATTCAATGACAAACCTCATGATTTATCATTTGTATTTTTGTTTCTACAGAACATTCAAACCTTTGATTAGTGTACCCGATTACTTCCCGCCCATGGAAATTCGTGATGCCATCAAAGATGATTTTATTTATGAAAAACTTATGAAAACATCCAATGAATTTCGTGAATATGTCCGAAATGAAAAAATCTTACAGCCACAAACAATTGGCCAGACGTTAACCACTCTATTGCATATTGAGGATATGGACACCATAAAGGAATATTTGGATTTAATGCAACAAAATGTTTCTCTACGAGGTTTCGATCATAACTATAATATAAAGGTAGGTAAAAACTGGATCAGTTATTGTTGCACAAGCAATGGGAAATATTATTTCATATATAAATATAATATAAAATATAATGATATATTTATATAATGCTATTTTTAATTGTTTTTTCTAATTATTTTTTTATTTTAATTATCGTTTTCAGTTACGTTCCAAACAGCGTATACACATTGAAAATCTTTTATCAGTTTTTGATGATGTCATCATTACCACACGCAAAGATATAAAACCCGGTTCAGATATTCTGCTCAAACTTATACTACAGAATAAAGACGACATAAATCCCTGCGACACCTATCTGGGTCACATTGAAGATGTTAGCTCGGGTCGCGTTACGTTTCGTTGCTATAAAAAATTGGATTTAAAACGTAGCTATACGATTATATTTCGTCCATCACGTACGTTACTACGTTATCAGTATAGGGCAATGGAATTATTACCAGTGGTAATACCACATCTAAGTAAATTCTTATTTCCCACAAGACTATTGCCAAAGGAACCGTCAACAATAAGGTGAGCAGTAATTTTGTAAATGTTAATCTTAATCTTCCATCTACAGGGTCAGATAAACAACTGCAACAAAGTCAAACGTCATAATTTTTAAACTTTTTTTTTAAATTTTATTGAATGAATGCAAAAATGTCGGAAATAGCATCAAATTTTAGAATAAGTTTAGATTTGTTCGAATTGGTCACCTTTGTCACGAATTATGTCCTTCAAACGGCCAATGATCACCTTTGGCACGAATTATGTCCTTCAAACGTCACACGCTGTCCGCATGTTGCTCTGCGGTATTTTGGCCCATTCCCGGCGAAGCGCTAGCTTGAGGTGATCGACACTTGGTATTTTTTAATGCCAAACTTGCTTTCCAAAAATAATTCCAGACACAATAGTCCAACGGATTTGTATCCGGAGATTTTGGTGCATTGTGCGCTGAAAGTAAGCGAGAAACCTCATTTTGTAATCATTCTTGGGTGGCGCGTGCTGAGTGCGATGGTGCTGAGTCCTGTTGGAAGATCCAAGGTCTGCGCCAAAATGTTTGCGTGCCCAAGGATTTAAAACACCGACCAGAATATTTTCGCGATAATATTTGGCATTTATTCTGATGCCACGGTCGATTAATATGAGCGGAGAGTGAACATTGGCTATTATGGTGGACCACACCATCACCATGGCCGGCGCTTGAATTTTGGTGGCCAACCGAAGGTGCACATTTTCAGCTGACCTCTTTGGCAAGTAAACACGATCATTTTTTTGTTTACAAACTGCTGGACAACGAATATTTTCTCAACGGAGAAAACCAAATTCGGCAGTTCACTACTTTCGGCCAAGCAAAGCAACTCTTTAGCTCTTTTGAGTCTATTTTCTTTCTGTTGCGGTGTAAGTTCTAGCACTTTTTGGAATTTCAATGGCTTTTCGCCCAGCTCATTTTTCAATATTTGCCGAATGGAATATTGCGATATGTTCAGCTCACGAGCCATTTTTCGGCCACTGCTCAAGTCGCTTCCTTACTTTTCGAACCATTTTTGCTGTTGTTGCTGTTTTCTTTCGTCCACTTCCTTGACGTCGGGCTACGCTACCACTATTACGGTAACGAACTATGGTACGAGACACAAAAGATTATTCTCATTTAAATGCTGGTGTGCTCTAACAATAGCCACATGCCAGCCAAATATTAAGAAATCACACTATCACGATTTTTTGTGAAAAATTCTAAGTAAAATGCTTTTGTACGCTTGTAAACAATATAATGAGCTTTCACTGGAATAATTTTAACAGCTATCGGACGAGTGGCTTCGAAATGACACCAGTTTGAAATTGGTTGCAGTTTTTTCATCTCACCCTGTATATCTGAATTTTCATTATTAGTGTAATGCTACTTTATTGGTCTAAATTACTTACAAAAATTGATCTTTAAGTAGTTTCTGATAGAAATTGATAGAAATCTCTAAATTTTAATATTATTTTTCAGTTTACGATTTTACAATAAGTCCATTGTAAACAATCCCGAGCAAATGCAAGCAGTTCGTAATATTGCCGAAGGACCCAGAAATGATGCAACTTATATTATTTTCGGCCCACCGGGTACGGGCAAAACCACCACATTGGTCGAATCGATTCTACAGGTGTTACAAAGAGAGAATACCAAAATTTTGGTAACAGCCTCATCGAATAGTGCCTGCGATGAAGTGGCATTACGTTTATGTCAAACCTTATCCCACATGGATATGTCACGGGCCATTGTTCGAATTTATGCCCAAACATCGGAGGCACGCTTGGAGAATTTCGACGACTTATTGCTGGAACATTCCAATTTGTATAAAAATGTACACTTCTATCCGGACATTGAGGTGTTGCATGAATACCGCATTGTTGTCTGCACCATGTCGGTGGTGGCCAAATTGGCAACGGGTAAATTTGGTCGTACCACAAGTGGCGGCACTCTATATACGCATTTATTTATTGATGAGGTGGCAGCTGCCACAGAAGTCGAAACTCTCATGCCCATTACATCGGTTCTAACACCGAAGGCATGTTTGATTATTGCCGGCGATCACAAGCAATTGGGACCGATTGTTAAATCGAAACGAGCTGAGGAATTCAATTTGGGTGTATCGCTAATGGATCGTCTGTTGAAACGTGAATGTTATAGTGTCAACACTGACACAGGTGATTACGATCGTTCAATACAGACTCGTTTACGTATGAATTTTCGTTCACATCCAGCTATTGTTAATCTGTATAGTGGAATGTACTACAATCATGCTTTAGAGGCAAAGGCAAATATAGGTAAGTAACCGTAGGAGATAATTGTTAAAAGAGATCTGATTTTCATGCTACGCTGTTCTGTTCTCGGCCGACAGATGATGTCTCATTGGTAAAAGATTGGCATTTGTCGCCCAACAAAGAGTTCCCCATTATCTTTCATTATGTTAATGGTAACTCGTGTTCGGATTTCCAGTCGTACAGCTTACATAATTCGGACGAAATAAATGTTGTAATGCACTACGTCAAGGATTTAATGTATTTCGGCGTTAAAGGTAAACCTGTGAAGCAGAGTGATATTGGCATAATATCGCCATATAAGAAACAATATCTGCGCATACGTGAAGAACTAAACCAGCGACGGTGGTATGAAATTGAAACGGGATCTGTGGAGAATTTCCAAGGCAAGGAGAAATCGATTATTATCGTTTCGTTTGTACGTTCAAACACATCAACACTGGGTTTCTTGGATAGTCCAAGGGTAAGTTGAAAAAGAAAAATTAGTTTTTTTTTTTAAATAATAAATGGCACATACACATTTGTGAACACGGACCTGAATGCTCTTTAAATTATAATAATTACTTTTAGTTTGCAAAAGCAAAATAACTACGCTATTCAAAAGAAAAACAAAAATGCTATGGAGAAAGGGGAAAATGTTTATAAGTGCGGCTGTAGGATTTAGAAGAAAATCCAAAGACATTTTAGTTTTAATTGGTTTCTCTTCTATTGAGCTTGCGATCGTCACTTATGTATAACTGACGAGGGAACAGACGACAATTGTTGGTTCTTTCCGAAACAATGTTATTCCGTGCCTTACCCCCTTGTAAACATTATCATTTATCTTCTGTAATAAAAAACGTTTTTAAAAAGAACTTTAATTTGATAAATCCTGACTGTATTGCAACAACAAAATAACTTCGGTATCCCAAGATGTTTTGTGTAGAAAACTTGTATTGATTTGAATAAGCAAAAAAAAAAAAAAAAACGCGAAAACTGAACGAAAGGTTAAGAGTTATTTTCAAAATCTTGTTCTTTATATGTTGAAAGATTTATTGGTCCCATTTGTCCATATATAGATTCCTCTTTGTGTTATAAATGTAGAAACTAAAGTTGTTTTATTGGTATTTTCTTCTAGCGTTTAAATGTTACATTATCTCGGGCCAAATCGCTGCTTATACTTATTGGTAATGCCCGAACATTATCAATGAATCCCGATTTCGATTACATTATTAAGGAATGTCAACGTCATCAAACATTTGTTGCTGAACTGGACCATCGTGTGCCCACTTCAGCAGCGTATAAATATGGCGAAACTACCACAACTACACCCACATCATCAACGAAACCTATTAATAAAAGCAAAGATGAAAAGAAGCCAATGAAAAATTTCGAAAAAGTCAGCAGTGCATCTACATTGGATCTTCTTAATGATACACTTAAAGAATTGAAATTGAAAAACCAAAATGAAAATGCAAAGAAACCGGCACGAAAAATACGAGCCAGATATCAGAGTCGTGCAGCCAAAAAGCGAAACTCTGCAGCAAGAAAGAATAATGAAAATATTACGAATGAGGAGGATAATGACGACGATGACGATGATGATGTAGATGCTGAAAGTGATAGTGAAGCCGATAATAAGCACAATGATGTTGGCGTTGATAGCGACGACAGTGATGAAAGCGACAGTGAGGACAATGAACCATCAACATCAAAAGCTGCTGGCAAAGCTAAACTATCTCGTTCAATGAAAAAGAGTAAGTTTATTTCTTGTCTTCATTTATTCATTTCACATTTCATAGTAGGGCCATGAATGGTTCCAAAACAAAATCTTTATCAAATAAAGCCTCACAGAAAAAAAAAAAAAAAAAAAAATATATATATATATATATATATATATATATATATATATATATATATATATATATATATATATATATATATATATATAAATATTAACACGTTTCAATTGCTCTGACCAGTAAATTTTATTGTATGCACATAGTGCTATTCACATTTGCTTTGACCAGTAAAAATTGTTTGTACGCGCTAAAGGGGAATTCACTTAAATCTTTAAGCTAGTGTTCGCAAACTATCGATACTATCGATGGTTTCAGACTTTTTTCTTTCATAAATACTTTTTTGTGATATGAACATACTTCGCAAAAATTAAATTTTTTTTTTTTTTTTTGTTTAATTGTTTAATTTATTGAATCTTTCATATATTTAATGAAAATAACAATAAGGTTTCATATCTTATATACTAATATTTTTATAGGGAGGTTGTCAATACAATCACCCCATATTTTTTTCATGCTTTAATTATTATTGTTTTTTTTTTATAATATAGATGTGTGTTATTTTGTGGGCTTGTGGATACAGTTATATCCGTGAATTGATTGGATAGGTAGTTAAGATTAGTTTAGATACAGATATATCTAAGTGAATCGTGGACTACAGAAATAGTCTTACGGATATAATGTTGCTTTGTTTAGATACAGTTATATCTAATCATCCCGCGGACTACAGTAATAGTCTTATCGATTTCTTCACTAATCTTCCCGCGGACTACAGTAATAGTCTTTTCGATTTCTTCACAGAAGCAGCTTCCAATTTAGCATACTACTACCTGCAGAAGTATAAAAGTGGGCGACGTTCAATTGGCCAGACAGGAGCTGAAAATAATGAGAGCGTAAGACAAAAGAATAAACTATATGATAGAAAGAGTGTCACGTCTGCGCAGTCTATCGTGGCCTCCGAATAGTAGGAGTTGGCGGGCCAAGTTATTTGGGTGCTCGGATAGTTTGTTTAAGTACCTGCGGCAAAGCTTCTTTATTTCTTCTTCAACAGTAAGTATATTTAGGTCCTTGTGGATGTTTGCGTTCCTTATGTACCATGGTGCACCTGTAATAGATCGAAGAATATTCGACTGTCTTCTTTGTAGTTTACTTACGTTAGAGGCACTAGCTGTACCCCAGAGCTGTATGCCATACGTCCAAATTGGCTTTATTATAGTATTATATAATAGGACTTTATATTCTAATTTAATAGAAGAACGTATACCAATTAACCACTCAAGATTGGCCTTTTTTAGTTTAATTTGTGTGATTTTTGCATCGATGTGTTGCTTCCATGTAAGTCTTCGGTCCAGGTGCATTCCGAGATATTTTACGGTATCTTTCTGTGGAACTTGAGTATTAAAGATTTTTATCGTGGGGCAAAGTTCACGTCTTAGAGCAAAAGTAACATGTATGCACTTGCTAGCATTTACCGATATTCTCCATTTTGTCAGCCAATTTTCGAGAAGATATACATGGTATTGTAGTTTTTCCGACGCAATCAGAGGATCCTTGTGTATGCTAATGAAAGCAGTATCATCAGCAAACGTTGAGGTTAGAGTTTCATTGGTTGTGGGCATATCGGCAGTAAATAACACGTACAGAATTGGTCCTAAGATACTACCCTGTGGGACGCCAGCCAATATTTTTCTCGAATTTGAAAGTATGTCTTTCGATTTAACAACAAACGTACGATTTGACAAATAACTACAAAAAAGTTTATGAGTGTTTTTAGGTAGAGTTTCACAAATTTTGTATAGAATTCCAAGATGCCAGACTCTGTCAAACGCTTGGGAAATGTCTATAAATAGCGCCGAGCAGTACTCCTTCCTTTCGAATGCCATTCTAATGTTTGTGACTATGCGGTGCACTTGCTCAATAGTACTGTGGTTCTTACGGAAGCCGAATTGGTGGTCGGGGATAATACTGCTATTTGTAATATGGGGAGTTAACTTCCTTAGTAAAGTTGTTTCGAACAGCTTTGAGAGTATAGATAGAAGACTGATGGGTCTATACGATTTTACCTGCGTTGGATCTTTTCCAGGTTTCGGAATCATTACTATTTCAGATTCTTTCCATACAGACGGGAAGTACCCTACTCGAAGAATGCTGTTAAATATAAATAACAATAATTTAACGGCCGGTGTTGGTAATTTCTTGAGCATGTTTGGAGTAATTCTATCTTTACCCGGGGATTTTTTTAGTTTTATCGAGGCTATAGAACTTTCGATTTCTTTTAGAGAAAATCGTATTGGATTCGGAACAATGTCGTCAATTAAAGGTTGAACAACTGTCGATGGTCCGGGATTTGGGGTAAATACAGATTCAAGATGTTCGGCAAATGCGTTTACTTTTTCTTCTGTAGATCTTGCCCAAGTCCCATTTTCTAGGCGAATTGGAGATTCGTGGGCGATAGGTCTTCTCAAGTTTCTTGTGGCTTTCCATAAGCTGTAGTCAGTTCTCTCTGTGGGATCCAGGTTATTTAGGAATATTTTTAGGTTTCGCTCTTCATTTAATCTGAGTGCTTGTTGTAAGAGTTTTTCACATTCTTTTAGTTTTTCCCGAAACCTAGGTGATCGGTGCTTCTGCCATTCTCTTCTGGCCTTCCTTTTATCAGACACGAGTTTTCGAATGGTCGATGGATTATGGGAATTATTTTCTAGTTTTGAAAATTTAGTGGGAGTGGCAACGTTGACAGCGGTGTTGACTATCGAAGTAAATATTTTAACTGCATTGTCAATTTCTTCTCCGGACTTTAGAGGAGTGTTAGAATTCACATGTGTACTGACATATTTTTTGTACTTCATCCAGTTTGTATATTTATTTGGTAGATAATCCGGGGAAGTTGCGAGTTGAACATCATTTAATGTTATTATAGTTGGGGAATGGTCTGACGACAAGTCAAACGAGGGTACCACGGACATTTGTTCCCTCTTAATATTCTTTGTTACCGCAAAGTCAATTAAGTCAGGACGTTTTTGCAGGTCTGAAGGCCAGTAAGTAGGCTGGCCAGTAGATAACACGTCCAGTTTAGCGGACGAAATGGAGTTTAAAAGCTGTCTACCTCTGGGTGTAATAAGTCTAGATCCCCAGAAGGTGTGTTTGGCATTATAATCTCCAGCTGCAATGAATCTACTACCAAGAGATGAGAAAAAGTGTGCGAATTCATCTTTGCTTATACTATGTCTCGGAGGACAATATATTGCAGATATAGCTGTATTCGTTGAAGATAGTGCAACTGTTGTAGCTTGTAGGTGGTCAAACTTATATTCTGGCATGGGGTAATGCTGAATTTTATTAGAAATTATCACCGCGGTGCCACCGCAAGCTCTCCCACTAGGGTGTTTAGTGTCGTATGTACTGTAACCGTTTATTCTAAAACAGTTTCTAGAAGTGAAATGAGTTTCAGATACCAGTAAAATGTGTATGTTGAGTGAGTGAATAAAGTTTTCGACCTCGTGTTTATGTTGGCTTAAGCCGTTTGCGTTCCAAAAACAGATTCGAATTTTATCTATTTTTGTTTTAAAACTATTTGCATAATCATAGATTGATTTCTCACAATATCTTGCATCATGCTTTGCATACTTGTCATAAAAGAATTCATGGTGACGATTAGTTTTTCGATAGATGATTCTATATTTGAATTTTAATAGTTGGGTGAGTCATTTCTCAAAGTATCAGAATATAAGTATTGCATATTCTGTGAGGGGAGATTGTAATTAGGAGCGGTGGTTTCATTCCTCTTGTTTAGCTCGGGGAACTCAGCTGTTTTGATATTAAATTGTGGATTTTCCCGTACCCGGTAGCTTGTAGGCTTTTTTGTGGCTAAGCTAGATTTTGTTAAGTGGATATATACAGGACATCCTCTGTAGTTTGCAGTATGATTTCCACCGCAATTGCTGCACTTTTTGACGCTTGGGTCAGTTTTGGGATGTGGACATTCCGATGATTTGTGGAGGTCACCACAAGTAACACAAACCGATAGCAATTTACAATACGTTTTGGTATGCCCATACTCTTGGCAGTTTGTACATTGAGGTTGGCCTTTTCTTTTTTGAGGTTCTTCAATTTTCACACCGCGATTACAAAGAAGCCTAAGGCTATAAATTGGATGAAATTGTCCCTTTTTCTTTAGTTGCGAAGATTCGTATGTTAGTTCTACTTTAAACATAGGTTGCGGAATTTTATCTTTATTGAAAATGTTGATGATAGACTTTGTTTCGAATCCTTCTGCTGCGAGAGCATCTTTTATGTCCTCTATGGGTGTAGAACTATGAAGGCCTTTAATGACGACGACTAGTCCTTTTGAGCTCTTAATCTGACAGGTGTAATAATTCTTCTTCTCAGAATCCAGAGCACGAACTAGGTCCTTATAATGCGACTCAGTATAGGTTTGTATTTTCGTCTCTTGGAGATTTCCTCTCTTAAGAGATACCACGTGAAAATTAGGTTTACCCAATATTTGGGAGAGTTTGTTCACAAGATTGTTTGTAGTTTCTTCGCGAAGATATAGTGGGGGAGGTTTTTGGGATCTAACCGGTTGTATCATTTCATCAGTCTCGTTATTCGAGCCGAGAATTGAGAATCTGTTGTTGCGGTCATTGTTTATAGACTTTGGGGTTTTAGCTTTTGGTTCCTTGGTTGGAGTTCTAGAACTAGCCTTACGCTTTGTTACTAAGACATATCGGTCCATGCCTGGAGGAACTATGTTTTGCTTCTTGTTTTTTTCAAGAGACGCATGCTTACTTGAAGCGATAGTTTCTTGATGTACAATCGCATCGTGTGATAGCACCTTTATAGAATTTATTTTGGGCGTGTTTACATTGTTTTGTTTATATGACATTTCTGTTGTTTCGTTGGGAGTAGTCTCACCTGGCAAGTTTTTGTCATGAAAAACTCTCGGCGATGCCGACTTAGAACGGCTTTGGGGTTTAGCTGTAAGATACCAGCTTTCGTGGCGTTTTGGCGCGGTTGAGCTGAAATCTGTCGACGTCAACTTAAGGTATACGTTTTGCCCGTTCTCACTTACATTTCTCTCTTCCGTATGAGAGAGTGACATACACTTGTTGTTGTTAACACTATAACAAACCGATTTATGTGCTTGGGGAAAAAGAGGATAAAGTAGAAAAAAAAAACTATTTTGCAAAAATTCTTAATAAAAAGGATTTTTTTAGCAGGTTTTTTTTTAGATTATATTTCCTGAGATTATTTAATAGCGTACTGTTTGCTTTTATATTATTTATTTTGCTTTGCTTGTGAAAAAAACACCTTTCATTAGCAACGAAAAATAAAACGCGTCCGTACTTAACGCCGGCTATCGTAAAAATTTTTCAAAAAAAAAATTAAATTTGACAAAAAATTTTAAGTACATAAAATTTCAAATCGTGCTAAATGGAATAAAATCGTGTAAATAAATTAAAAGTATTCAGTTTTCAAACCGTGTTATATCAAAACCGTGTACAAAAAGACCGTGTAAAAACAGACTTAGGTGTATAATATATATATTTTTTTTAACAACAACTTTAAATCCTGCAGATCGCCCTGCTAACTATACTCTATCTATATAAATACTTTCTTCTCTTTTTTATATGTATCACTTATAAGCTACAACTATACAGGGTGAGATAAAAAAAACTGCAACAAAGTCAAACGCCATAGTTTTTACATTTTTAAATTTTATTGAATGAAATCATGTCTGAAATAGCATTAAATAATGTCGGAAATAGCATTAAATTTTAGAATATGTTTAGTTTTTTTTTCGAATTGGTGAATTTTGGCACGAATTCAAACGGCCAATGAAACTGTTGCTCTTCGGTATTTTGGACCATTCCCGGCGAAGCGCTTGCTTCTTGCTTCCTCGACACTTGTTTTTCAAAATACTTCAGACACAATTGTGCGCCGGAAATGAAGCGAGGAACCTCATTTTGTAACCATTCTTTGGTGGCGCGCCTGTTGGAATGTCCAAGGTCTACGGCCAAAAAGTTTGCCTGCCAAAGGCTTTAATAATATTCGGCATTTATTCTGATGCCACGGTCGATTAATATGAGCGGAGAGCGACCATCTGCTGCTATGGCGGCCCACACCATCACCATTGTCGGCGCTTGAGTTCTGGTTGCCAACCGAAGCTACACATTTTCAGCTGACCTCTTTGACAAGTAAACACGGTCATTTTGTTTGTTTACAAACTGCTGGACAACGAATGTTTTCTCATCGGAGAAAACCAAATTCGGCAGTTCACCACATTCGGTCAAACGAAGCAACTCTTTAAGTTCTTGCACTTTTTGGAATTTCAATGGCTTTACCCCGAGCTCACTTTTCAATATTTGCCGAATGCAGTATTGCGATATATTAAGCTCACGAGCCATTTTTCGGCCACTGCGACGCGGGTCTCCATCAAGTCGCTTCATTTCTTTTCGAACCATTTGTGCTGATGTTGCTGTTTTCTTCCTTCCACTTCCTTGACGTCGGGCTACGCTACCAGTATCACGGTAACGAGCGATGGTACGAGCCACAAACGATTTATTCACATTTAAATGCTGGAGTGCTCTAACGATAGCCACGTGCGGTTTTACAGACAAATATAAAAAAATCACACTGCCACGCTTGAATTCCATCACCACTAAATTTTTTTTCTGGAAGATTCTCACCAAAATGCTTTTGTACGCTAGTAAACAAAATAATGAGCTGTCACTGGAATAATTTTAACAGCTGTCGTACGAGTGGCTTAGAAATGACAGCAGTCTGAAGTTGGTTGCAGTTTTTTCATCTCACCCTGTATTTTTTCCTACGATGAACACAATGGCCCAAGTTCACCGAGTGAAGCAGTTGCTATAAGGCAATCGCTCATGCTTCAACCTAACCAACTAAACCAATATATTTAAGCCAACAACTAAAATTAAAAAAAAATAATGTCAATGAATTTAAAACCAAGATCGTGGATTTTGAAATAGCATTTATCAAGAATCTTCAAAGCCACTATGTCTCTAAAGTATCTCCGATCCTAGAACGTGAATTTTCAAATAATATCTGTCAATGACTAGAACAGGGTGTGGATTTTTAAACAATCTTTGTAAAATATTATTGAAACCAAGAATGTGAACTTTTGTGAAACTCCTTCAGAGCCAATAAGGTATTGTTTTGCTTATCTAACAAATACAAAATTCTTTTAACCATATTTTTATTTCATAAAAATAATATACTTCTTTTCAAGAAGAAGATGACACTTAGAGACCGGTTGTAGGATATTTAAACAATATTTGCCAAATCATGAAATGATATTTGTGAAGAAAACAATAACATGTTGTTTTATTTTTCTAACATATACAAAATTCTTTTAACCATACTTTTACTTAAAACAATATCCCTCTTTTCATTACAGAACAACAGAAATCCACAAATGATGGCAAAACAACTACAAACAATGATTTGGATGCATTCTTTAGTGAGTTACCAAGTGTACCCAAATCTAAAATGACGCCAGCCTCTACTCCGAAGTCGAACACTGCAGGCGATAATGATAACAGAAATGAGCCAACCCCAACTCCAATTGCTGTTGCTAATCCACAAAATCCACATTATAATAACGGCATGAACGTGCAATTCCAGCCGCAAACATTCAATCAATTACAAGGAATGCAACATCAAATGCCAGGAACATATATTCCCCCAAATCAAAATTACAACAATAATTTCCAACAAAATGGTTTAATGTTCATGCAGACAACACCACGGCATCCACAATATCCGCCATCATATTTCCAGGCTGGTCTAATTGGAATGCCACAAAATCCTGGAATAAGACCCCAGATACCATCCACGCCATTTACACAGCGAAACCTAGTCCAAAATCCCCATCAACAACTTTATGTAAACAACATTATGCCCGGTTTCAATCCAATGGTGATGCAACAACAACAACAACCACAACAACATGGAAACAATACTTCATTCGGTAATCAGCCATCGACTAAGGCAGACGATGTAAATAATATACCACCATTAGGAAAAAATGCTTCACGCGCTGGTGGTCGTCAAAAGAAAAAGAAAAACGAAAAGGCCAATAATAATGCAAATGCTGAAGATGCAAATGAAAAGAACAATCAAAAAGACAAAAAGAATGATGAAGCCAAACCGCACTTGGGCCAAACCATGAAGAAAAGTAAGTGGAATTTTTTTTTTCTTTTTTAGAAATATGATCCATCCGAAAAATGTTATAGAGAAAACCCATACAAAGACGAGAATGTTCAAGGCATACATTTTGTATGCACCTTTCTGACACGGACTCGAAAATGTTATATTCGTGACGGTTTCGAGCTTTAATTGTCGATAGAATGATAGAGATAGTATAATAATTCAATGTATTTTGTTATGGGTTCATTGTAGTCTTTTAAATCTTTCGCCAACAATGGGTTAGTCGCCGGGAACTGCATCAGAGGATTTCCGATCATAGTTTTTAAGATTCTCAATTAGTTATGTTTTGCCCCAAAGGTTTCGTTAGGGAAAAGAGCGAACTTATTTTTTTACCAGGAAACTGTATAGGACAAATTGCACACAGACATAGCTTTACAGAGTATATAATAATTAATCAGATCCCTGTCTAATCAATTCGGCTGCTATTCCATTATCATTAATATTGCGGTAGCACGGAACCAGCAACAAGTCATGGGTTTAAAAGAGCGCTAATTGCTAGCTGTTAGGGCTGCCCATAAATTGGCATATGTGGTCACCGGACCATCAAGCAAACCGATTCTATTTCTTATAAATATACAGAGTGAGATAAAAAAATTGCAACAAAGTCAAACGCCATAATTTTTACATTTTTTTTTTTTTAAATTTTATTGAATGAAAGCAAAAAATGTCGGAAATAGCATCAAATTTTAGAATAAGTTTAAATTTATTCGAATTGGTCACCGTTGGCGCGAATTATGGCCTTCAAACGGCCAATGAAACCGTCACACGCTGTCCGAATGTTGCTCTGCGGTGGCCATTGTGTGCTGGAAATGAAGCACCATCCTTGGGTGGCGCGTGCTGAGTGCGATAGTGCTGAGTTCTGTTGGAATGTCCAAGGTCTGCGGCCAAAATATTTGCATGCCCAAGGCTTTAATACACCTTCCAGAATATTTTCGTGATAATATTCGGCATTTATTCTGATGCCACGGTCGATTAATATGAGCGGAGAGCGACCATCGGCTGTTATGGCGTCCCACACCATAACCATGGCCGGCGCTTGAGTTCTGGTTGCCAACCGAAGGTGCACATTTTCAGCTGATATCTTTGAGAAGTAAAAACGATCATTTCGTTTGTTTACAAACTGCTGGACAAAGAATGTTTTCTCATCGGAAAAAAACCAAATTCGGCAGTTTACCACTTTCGGCCAAGCGAAGCAACTCTTTAGCTCTTTTGAGTCTATTTTCTTTCTGTAGCGGTTTAAGTTCTTGCACTTTTTGCAATTTCAATGGCTTTTCGCCCAGCTCATTCTTCAATATTTGCCAAATGGAATATTGCGATATATTCAGATCACGAGTCATTTTTCGGCCACTGTGACGCGGGTTTCGATTAAGTCGCTGCTTTAACGAGCAATGGTACGAGACACAAATGATTTATTCACATTTAAATGCTGGAGTGCTCTAAAAATAGCCACTAGTGGTTTTCCAGCCAAATATAAAGAAATCAGACTATCACCCTTGAATTCCATTACGAATAAAAATTCTCAGCAAAATGCTTTTGTACGCCTGTAAACAATATAATGAGCTGTCACTGGAATAATTTTAACAGCTGTCGGACGAGTGGCTTAGAAATGACAGCAGTCTGAATATGGTTGCAGTTTTTTTATCTCACCCTGTATATAACCGATTATGTTCAATTCTAAATACATCGCTTTTCAATAGCAAAATATTGCGTCTGAAATGTGCTTATTATTATTATTATTATTATTATTATTATTATTATTATTATTATTATTATTATTATTATTATTATTAATATTATTATGTTTTCGAGTTATTTGTAATTTATTGTTCTTATATTTTTCAAGAAAACCCACATCAAAATGTCCCAAAAGCTTCCAAGCCACTGAAGACGGTTGTTCTAACAAAAGACGGCAGCAATACAGTGGAGATAAAAGAACATAATTCTAACATGAATGCAACTAAAAAGAAAAATGCTACTAGCGATGCTACAACTGCAAAGGGATCAGCAAATCAGATAACAACCGGCAAGAACAATGTGGTGGAAAGGGCCCAAGCATCAGCCAAATCGTCCAATAAAGACACTTCTAAAGACAAAAAGGAGGAGGCAGCCTCAAAGGTAAATAAAAAACAGATGAACGTTTCCTTAAATGTCCAGAATACGAACATAAAGTCATCAGCCGAAGAACCAAATCGTCCGATGCCAAAGAAAACATTTACATCTGAAAATGATGCACCTCAAAATCTGTCGTCTTTGCAAGCGCAAAAAATGTTGGAAGACTTGATGAAAGTGGATCGTGTTACAGAAAATTCACATAAACAAAATCAGAAGGCACAGCCAAAACCGGTTGCCAATATAAAACCAGTTGCTTCTATACGACAGGATTCAATTTCAAATAAACCAACATCTTCTGTTAGTGTTGGTCAAAGAAATGCAACAAGAACTTTGGGCGCCACTTTCAATGAAGCCACTCTTAATGAGGGTTACACTGGTACATTAGGATCAAATGTAGGAAACAATATTACGGATAACCGCTCATCTGTAGTAAATAACAGCAACAACAACAATGTTGTAAAATCACAAACTGGTGCAATGGGAAATTCGAGCTATAACAGGGGCGCTGTAAATCCTTTAGCTTCAAGAATGGATGACAAGAATTCAGTAACTTCACAAAGTTCAATCAATTCAATTGCTAATCGCCCATCATCTAGCGTCGTAAATTCTTTATCCTCAAGTTCGGCTATCAATAGTACACCAACGGCACAACAAACAACCAATCCCTTTACTAATTACACATCGTCAAGAACTAACAATGTAGCTGGTGGAACTTCAGCCTATACAAGTGATGTCCTTCATCGTCCAGCAGCAAGAACGAGTTTGTATGCCTCTAACAGCACCGGCTCTGCACTGTCTCAGGAAAGGCCGAATTCGTATGAACAACCAAACCGTCCGGTTAGAGATTTGAACTTTGACAAAAAGCCCAAAAATCCAAAAAATGATAATTGTGTCATTGCCTAGGTAACAGCTGCGCTCAAAATAATTTTTATTACTTTAATGGAAGTGGGTGATTATTGTGTCACACCATATTCTTCGACATGAAATCTAGAATTTAAAGCCACTTGAAAAGTTTCTCCATGGCTTTGCCATAATTATTTTGAGCGAAGACTTTAGTTTGATGTTACTTTGCGATTGTAAAGTAAATTATCGAAATAAGTTGATATTGGGTTGTTGGTGGGGACCCTACTCATTTTTCTTGGTTATTATTTAAAGTTTTAATTATTTTGGAAATCTTTATGGAATTCTACATATAGAACCGTAAATAGATTTTGAATAATTGAAACAAATAATAACCATTGAAAATACAAACCGAAAAAGTAGAATAGTAAAGGGAAACGACGCACGACTAGGAGTTGAAGTGAAGAGACAGTATTTTAGCGGTATAATTAACATGTATAATTAACATGTTTACATTTAACAAAAGTGTGTCTCGTTCGTTGTTCACAGGCAACATTTGCTTGGGAACCTCTCAAAATATCCGGTATATAGTAAGTTATACTATAACGATCGCCATAACATAAGAAGCACAGTGGACCTAAGGCCTGCACAAATGTTACAGGCTTTACATTATGGACCTACTACAGCAAACTATGCCTACGTTTTTAAATATCCCACAATTTCCTCTAAATCCTTACTAATCCATGTTTAATTTTGATAAATTAAGGGGTTCAAAACAATTAAAGAACAAGGAAAATAACATTAACAAAAAAAAAAAAAAAAAAAAAACAAAAACCCTAGTTCATGACCCAAAACATAGAGAGGATAAATAGTCTGTTGTGGTAGTTGTACATTGCTCATATGACTTAGATTATGACGCAAAATTAATCAAAGTTATTTGGAAGCTTTGGAAATCTTAAAACACTAAAAATATCCAATTTTCAATCTAGCAATCATTTTTTGAGGTTAGTTCTGAAAGAGGTAGTCTATTGTAGTTATGTGTCATACGCCTAATGTCGGTGGCATGACGTCGGAGACAATATAAAAGAAAGCTTACGAGCTACGGAAATCATTAAAAAACAACTCCTAGTCCTATGAAGTTTTTATGTTAATTTTCACAAAAAAAAAATATTTGAGGTTAGTTTTGATAAGATAAGCTGTTGTAATAATTGTGCATTGCCGATTGCACATGGGACAAATTCAGCTTAGTTTTATCCAAAACTTTTGTCAGTGTTATTTCTGGGTAGACTTTAACCAAATACAAAACAAACACACAAATATGAAATTTTGGCGGATTTCGTGTTCGTGCAGTCAATTCCAACAAAGTCTACACCTCCTTTGGTTTGGATACCGAGAGCAAGCGCAAAAAATTAAGATGCATTTTTTTCTATCCCGTATTTATCTTCGCGGAGTTTGTGACTCCTGCGCAAAAATACAATATTCCATTTTTCCCCTTATAAAAACGCCTTTGGTTTTACTCTCGACCTTGCAAGCCAAACACTTGCAGTTTTGCAATTTATCTTCGATGGCAAGGTTTTTTTCATACTTCAATTGCATGCAAACTTATAGTTGCAGCGATAACGAGTTGGATGAGATTAAATATAAAAAACGAATAAAATTCAACTACGTAGTTACCCTGGCGATTCATCAGGAAATGAAAAGTACTGGAAAGCTTTTCAGTTTCCTCTAAACATGGATGCAAGTCATATGAGTGTTGGACGTAGAACTAGAATTTTCCAATGGCTGGGCAAAACTAATCGCTTTCTAAAGCAATTTTAAAAAAATTGAATATTTAATCTATGTTAAAATTATTCTGCGGTTTCAGTGTTTAAATGGTAGGTGGTTAATGCACATTAATTCACATGTCCGTATAGAAAAACTCAGCCCTTCTAAGGTGTAAATATATCTCCACCCTATAACCTTTAATAGGTTATATCTAAAATCAAGTTTGAAAACTGTGTTCTAAACACTGTTTTTTAATTCAGTATTCGGTTTTTAACATGAAATGACAAAAAAAAAAAATGACAGCGAAACTTAGAAACTTAAAGCTACCATTGTAATTTAAAAAGAATCGACAGCGGAGACATAAATTTACGAAATACTGCAACGTAATTGCATTCGACTACATTAGATGCCCAAAGGCGTATGGTTTTGGGACTTTTAAGAAACTTAAATATATTTTCTATTATATATCTATATAATCGACAGCAGTGACAGATAAATCTACGAAATACCGCAATGTAATTGCATTCGACTACATTAGAAGCCCAAAGGCGTATGGTTTTGAGACATTTAAGAAACTTAAAAATATTTTTTTTTGAAATATATGTAATGAAAATGAAATAAATTAAAAATATATATGTTTATTTAATCAAAAATATCCCCTATCTATATGTTTACGAATTTGAAATATTAATAAATGAAATAAATTAAAAATATACATGCTTATTTAATCAAAAATATCCCCTATCTATATGTTTACGTATTTGAAATGTTAATAAATGCTTTAAATCAATATCGTAGTTTGTTTATTTTTAACAAACCAGATTCCGCACAGTGATCTGGATTCGATTTTACCGGTTAAAACTCTAATTCTACGAAAATATTGATGGGTTTCGATAGGAGGAAACACATTAAAAATAAGGGGTATTCAAGAAACTTGTCAGGAAATTTTAATTTTGATGGTCTTTTAGAAAATGTGACGTATGTGTCGAAATACTTTCCCGACAACATCAACAGGCGTTGAAAGTGTCGTAAGCTCAGATAATCAATCAGGACTTTGACAGAAACAACAATAATGCAAGAAAGAAGTAAAGGATGTCCATCATTCAAATTCGAAAATTCTTTACTACCCCCACCATTTAAAAACGTTTTTATTCTACAGGGTGAGATAAAACAAACTGCAACAAAGTCAAACGCCATAATTTTTACATTTTTTTAATTTTATTAGCAAATTTTAGAATATGTTTAGATTTTTTCGAATTGGTACCTTTGGCACGAATTTTGGCCTTCAAGCGGCCAATGAAACCGTCACACGCTGCCCGAATGTTACTCTTACCCATTCCCGACGAAGCGCTTGCTTGAGGCGATCGGCACTTTGGTATTTTTTAGTGTCAACCTTGCTTTCTAAAATACTCCAGACACAATGGTCCAACGGATTGACATCCTTAGATTTTGCTGGCCATTGTGCTCTGGAAACCTCATTGTGTAACCATTATTGGCTGGCGCGTGCTGAGTGCGATGGTGCTGAGTTCTGTTGGAATGTCCAAGGTCTGTGGCCAAAATGTTTGCGTGCCCAAGGCTTTTATACACCCTCCAGAATATTTTCGCGATAATCAGCATTTAATGCGAGCGACGCGAGCGACTATCGGCTGTTATGGCGTCCCACACCATCACCATGGCGGGCGTTTGAGTTCTGGTGGCCAACCGAAGATGCACATTTTTAGCTAACCTCTTTGGTAAGTAATACCCGATCATTTTGTTTGTCAAAACATATACAAATTTTGTGTGGGTTTGAATTAAAAATACAATAATTTGAAATTATTTCCAATGCAAAATAAATGCATATTTTCGACGTTAATTTTGGTATAAAACTCTATTGTCCTACTATTTTAGATTAAATCCTGTTGAATCACCGCAAAATCCCATCCTTTTTTTCCCATATAAGAAGTTTGTTATAGGACTCGAGCACAGAATTGCATTTTTCTAGTTTCTTTGAAGTGAGCAACCTTTGTTTTCGGTGAAAAACAGTGTTTGAAAACTGATAATCTAATTAATCGAAATGGGATATTAATTCTAAAAGAAGAAATAAGAGTCCGAAGGCACATTACCATTTAAAATTTTGAATGCCATTGTGGTATTGAACATAATTCGTCTACCTTTTAATGTAGGTAATCGGATTAATTTTAGTTTGCTGGTATAAGGCGGTATTGCAGAGGCAAAAAGCAAAAATTGTTTTTGAACCGCTTCGAAAAAACAAAAAAAAAAAAAAAAAATTTGGCATAATTAGGATCCCATACAACTAGAGCATATTCTATAAACATACGAATCAGAGAATTCTTAAGCCCATCGTCTTATGAATCCTAAAAAACCATTTGCTTTATTAACCATTTAATAATATAATATAATTAAAAGACAATTTAGTATCCATTAGGAGATCAAGAACAACAAAGGACTCCACGGGTGTTTTTTTCTTTTTTTTTCTTTTTAAATGTTCCCGTTAATATTACATGCAGTTGATAAAGAAGTAGATCGTGAAAAGCACATATGTTTACATTTTTTAAAATTTAAATATATGAAATTTAAATTGCACCACGAAAACAAGTTATTGACTTCATATTGTAATAAATCTGACTGTTTACTGGACTTGTGTGTTAACTGGGAATATTTTATTGAAGTCTACAAATCATTTACAAATAGAAGAAAAATGACCGGTCCAAGATGACTTCCTTATGGAACACCCAATGGTATTTTAAAACAACTAGGTTGAAAATCCTCAAATAAAACTAATTGTGTCCTATTTAGTAGGATGCTATCCACGTCTGTTGAACTCTTTCTGTCTGTTGAAATTATGATACTGCCCACATTATTTGAAGTAGAGCTTCATATTTTGAAACAACAATTTGTATTGTGTGGGATGGTTGACCTTTTTTACGGATTTTAGAATAAAAAAGAAAATAGAGACAACAGATATTTATATATTGCATGTTAACGGGCAACAAAATGCACATGGTATAACACAATATTGTCCTACTATCTATCTGTGGATTAAATCTTGGAACCCCTAATATTCCACTAAAATTTTGTGGGTTTTCCGCAACATAAGAATGTTGTCAAAAATATTTAATAAACAAAAGCAATTGTTGCATGTTAAGTATATTTGACATAATAAGACTCCAGTACAAAGTTGCATTTTCCTTTCTTTCATATGTTTACAACTTTTTTAAAAAATTATTCATTTGACAACATCTTATTCCGCCGTTCACGGAAGCATAGCTGAGTGCTATCGGACGCGTCCACGGGTTGCGGATAGTGGAACGTCCGGTAGATATATCGGGCAGCTGCGAATTAAATAAGCAGTCGCGGACAGCTCAGCGGTTTCTAGGGGGAGAGTCTCGGACCAAATATCCGAGTGCCTGTGATCCCTGGACTCGACGAGGCGACACTGGCGCCCCTAAACTACCCAGTCGACGGCCTGGTCCACCGCAACGGACTCCCTAATGCTGGGGTGTTACGTAAACCGTGCCCATCAGTATTCCAAGGTTTGCAGTCAGGGTACCGACTGTATTAGAACGGTTGCCTCGTCGATACCTGGGCGCCTCGACGAGTAACAGGCTTAGTTGCCAAGTCCTTACCATGATATGGAGGCTATGTCATGGCGGACCTCGTCACCTCCGCAGTCCAATGTCGTATGGAGAATTTAGCGAACAACAACACAACAACAACAACCGACAAAAATTCAACCACCTCTTTGGAGGTGTCGACCCAGGCCATGGCCACGGACATGATTTTAACTTCGGGCGGGGACGTGACTCTGCAAACATACAGAGACGTGGTATGCGAGAGCATACAGCGACAGAGCGAACAGCTGTCCGCCCTTCTAGAGAAGACCACTCTGAGGCTCAGCCAAGAGAGTGTGCCCTCCGGTTTTGGGAATGACTCACCCCTCTCTGATGAGGAGCTCGACGTCACCGTCATACCCTCATCTTTGAGGGGTGAGTTAATCCGAAATACTGAAGGGGACACTCAATCTAGTGCCAAAGCGAGGTCAACTCCTATGGAAGGGGTTTCATCGGTATCTACCGGTGCGGCCAACCTCCGGGTCGAGGAGGGCGTCGAGGAAGGGGACACTGCTGCTCCTATTAACCACGACGACTCCGGATCGAAGGAGGGAAAAATAAGGAGGGGATACAAAAGATCGGTGAGGTATTGTAAAAGCTTCATCGGTCGTGATCCCCTACAGAGAGGGATAAGGCCCTGATTAAGAGGAACCTAAAGGCAGTACGGAAGTTCGAAAAGAACCATCCGGAACTGCCAAAATGTTCAATTGAAAAGGACCTTGCCTCTCTTTTTTCAGACCTCGTCAAGAAGGTAAGTCCGTCTGAGGACTAGCCATCTAACGAGGCTGGGGTGGAGGGCAACACCACTCCCGAAGATGGTAAGACAGCTTCGGCTGTTGCACCGTCAACGGAATCAAGTGCAGCCCACCCCCCCCCCCATTTCTAACGCAGGGAAGCGGAAGAAAAAAAGGAAGGACGCCCCTTGCGGAAATGCTGCCCCGGTGGATCCAAAGGAGGCCAAACCCTCTTCTCGTGCAACGATGAAGAGAGGACGGTCAACGGAGGAACCTCATCCCGAGGCAAAGAAACCGTCAACAGGCAAACTTCCTCCTCTGCCAACTGCGTTTTCTGCGCCAGCAGCTGGCAAGAAGACAGTGGCAAGGCCGGTAGAAACGGCCCCTGTGGACCCTAAGTCTGCCAAGGCTAATTCTGCCACCACCAACCCACAACCTTCGAGCCAGAATTCGAGGAAGAGGAAATATTCCCAAACCCTATACCCGGACAATCTCCTGAGGGAGCAGGTTTTCCTAGGGGATGACCCTTCTAGGTTACAATTTGGCAGTGCTACCGTCTACAAGGGAGTGAAGGTCATCTGCTGCGAAAATGAGGAGTCGAAGGACTTTCTTGTGACCGCAGTAGCTGGCCTTCAAGGACTTTGGGATGGAAGTGCACTTGCGGCTGTATCCCTGAAGGAAATCCCCTGCAGGAGGATATTGACAGCATGGGTGCCGCCGCCCTCTGTGGACCCGTCACGCGTGCTGACAATATTGGGGAAACAAAATCCCAATCTCCGTACGGACAGCTGGCGCTTAGTTGGCTCAAGTACGGAGGGAGGAGGCCTGGTCATAAAGGTATCCGTTGATACAGCTGGCCAGGAACACCTTCAGGCGCGTGGGGGGAAACTGCACTTCGGCACAGGATGGATTCGGTTCCGTCTAACGCCGCTCTTAAAGTTGACATAGCCCTGGTCCAGGAACCTTACATCTTTAAGAATAAGGTAACTGGACTAGGGAGTGAGCGGTACATCACCTATGCCACCTCCAACGGGGAAAAGGTTAGAACGTGTATCGTTGCTAGGAAAAACTTAAACTCAATCTACCTCAATAATTTCAGCGGAGAAGACGCCACGGCGGTAAGACTGGAGACTGGGACGGGCAAAATCATCTTCCTCGTCTCCCTGTACCTACCCTTCGAATACCCCGACCCGCCAGGCCAAGTGGTAGAGGAGCTGGTCACAAAATTGGGTGGAAAAGGCGGTCTCATCGTTGGATGTGATGCCAACGCTCACCACTCTCAATGGGGCAGCAGCAACACTAATGCCAGAGGTGAGTCCATTTTTGATTTTATTTTAGCACATAATCTCAAAATTTGTAACCGGGGAAAGGAGGCAACTTTTTGTAACAAGAATAGAGAGGAGGTCATAGATCTCACTCTCACTAACATGGATGAATCGCTCATATTGAACTGGAAAGTTTCGACTGACTGCTCCTTCTCGGATCATCGGAAAATAACATTCCAAATTTCGTTAGAGGGATTGCATCAAAAACCGCATAGAAACCCGAGAAAGGCTCGATGGGACCAATTTGCAGAGCACACTGCATGGATGCTAAAGTCCATAGGAGATCTTCCAGTGGCTTCTGCATCGGATGTGGACGACTCTGTCAGGTTGCTAACAAAGATCTTTATCGGTAGCTACGAAAGAGCTTGTCCGCTAACCTTCCCGGGAAATAGGCACCAGCCTGTATGGTGGTCAAAAGACCTAGCCCAGCTCAGGAAGACAAGCAGACGTTTCTACAACAGGGCCATTTTCCCCGCTATGCTACAGCATGCATCGACGGTGGTAATACCATTCCTGGAAGTGATATTTAAGGCTTGTTTGCGTCTTTCTCACATTCCATTATTGTGGAGGAAGTAACAGTCACTTACATTCCCAAAGCTGGGAAGCCAAGCCATGTACTTCCAAAAGACTACATACCTATCAGTCTCTCGTCCTTTCTATTGAAAGCGTTAGAGAGACTAATAGACATTGAGATCAGAACTCTAATACCTTTGACATCGCTAAGCACTGCTCAGCATGCCTATATGAAAGGCAAATCCGTTGAATCAGCGCAACACGACGTTGTGGGTTATATAGAGAAGAACCTGAACAGCTCATGTTATACGTTGGCGGCATTCCTCGATATCGAGGGGGCTTTCAACAATGTTACAATTGATGCAATTCATAGTTCTCTCGAAAGACTTAGTGTGCCACCACTTCTCATTGATTGGATTGATGTTATGCTTAGCAGCAGAATCATCAACTCAAGCATCGGGGAGTGCTCTGTTAGGAAAACGGTCACTAGGGGTACTCCACAAGGAGGCGTTCTGTCACCACTGCTTTGGCTTCTGGTGATAAACAGCATTTTACTCGATCTGGAACACAGCGGAACAAAGGTCGTGGATTACGCCGACGACGTGGTCCTGCTTATTGCTGGGAAGTTTCTGCAAACTGTTTCGGATCTCATGCAGGGAGCTCTAGTTAAACTATCCAGATGGGCGCGCTGCAATGGTTTGGGCGTGAACCCCTCCAAAACTGAGCTCGTACTCTTTACAAGGAGACGGAAATTACCTGTCTTCTCTTTACCAAAGCTGGACGGTGTAATTCTAAGCCTTTCTTCGGAAGCAAAATATCTCGGTACTATCCTAGACCAGAAACTAAACTGGAAGAGGAATATCGAAGAGCGAGCGAAGAAGGGCTTAAATGCACTCTATTCCTGCAAAAACTCCATAGGAAAGAGTTGGGGGCTTAAACCCCATATTATCCGATGGATATATGAGTCAATCGTCCGACCAATCCTAACATATGGGGGACTTGTTTGGTGGCATTCCTTAAGGAAAACCACCCTCTGCAAGAATATTGATAAAGTTCAAAGAGTTGCATCGCTACTAATTACAGGTGCGGTCAGGAGCACGCCACAATCCGCTCTAGATACCCTACTTAATTTAAAGCCGTTAGGCTTATTTGTAGAGGAACTAGCTGCTAGGTGTGCCCTGAGACTCAACGAACTGGGACAATGGCGGAGCCAATCCATCGGACACTCTGTCATTCTTAAGTATGTGGAGAATGTAAGTAATCAGGCTATACCTAGCGACTATATGCTCCCTAGGCACAGCTTTGAATTACTCGATATCTGCATACCAAACAGGGATATCTGACCCCGTGGCACTCCACCTTTTAACGGTATAGCTGTCTATACTGATGGTTCAAAGATGGAAAGTGGAACGGGGGCTGGAGTCTACTGTGAAAGTTCAGGTATGCAACGATCCTTCAGACTAAACAGCGGTTGTAGTGTTTTTCAGGCAGAGATTTTTGCTGTCAGAATGGCCATAGAGCTGTTGGAAAACAGAATCGATGAGCGGAATGGACCGGTGACTATATATGTCGATAGTCAAGCGGCCCTAAAAGCTCTAAATTCTTTTATAATCAAATCTAAGGCTGTTCTGGAGTGCAAAATTGCCCTGGAAAAGGTAAAGTCGTTTGTTAAGCTCTGTTGGGTTCCTGGACACTGCAACATTTCTGGCAATGAATCTGCCGATGAATTGGCCAGACGCGGATCTGAGTCAGTAGATCTAGAGATTGAGACCTCAGTTTAGCCACCTTTATGCCACTTCTTTCAATTACTTCATAATCACTATCTTGGGAGATTTCAACAAAACTGGCTATCAGGAAGGGGATGTAACATCTCCAAAAAGATTTGGCCAGTGAACTCAGAAAAGAGATCACGGTCACTCACATACATGACGAAGTTGGACCTGAAGCTTGTGGTGGGTCTAATTACAGGTCACTGCAACATAAAGGCCATGACTTCAAAATGGGGGGGTGACGACACTGAATACTGCAGGCTTTGCCAAGATGAGGAAGAAACAGAAACGGTGGAACACTTACTCTGTCACTGTCCTACCCTGATCGGGGTAAGACATAGGCTTTTAGGTAAGCAAATTCTGCCGGATTTGTCATGCTTCTCCGAAACCGAGCCAGTAGTTATTCTTCAGCTAGCCATAAGACTAAAATGGCTAAGGACGACACGCTGACTATAGCGTGGATGCAAACCCACTAACTCTTCTATTTCCTATCTATTCTACTCTAACCTCCTAACTTCTTTCACATTCACTTCTATTCTAAATTAGGATGATCACAATGGACCACTAGGTCTCCGAGTGGAGTGGTTGTTTTTATGCAACCACACATCCTTTAACCTAACCTAACCTAACAACATCTTATTGTCAATATTTGTGTTTATAAATCCATTGTACATACACAAATCAGAGATGGGAACATGTTTTTATGTCGTGAAATGTGACAACGTAAATTACAGAAAATGCACCTTACCTTCTTAATTTTACCATGATAACTCCCTTTGCGATAATACAATGCGTTACGTTACTACTAATTGGGAAATATATCGACACACGAACGTGAAGTAAAAAAGTTGGCAACGTATGAGTACGTGAATGGTTGGCAACTCTATGATGCAGGTATTTTTAAACTCGGGCGGTTTAGTTTACAAGGAAACATATATTGACTTATGAAAATAAGGAGTTCGGACTTTGATTCTCGCTTAAATTCGGGAATTATTGGAAATACATTCAAGAAATTCCACATACGATAAAAACGAAAACAAAATGTCATCTAGTGCCCTCTTAAAATAGTTTAAAAATAAAGGCTTCCTGCTAAGAATGACATTAGCATTTGTTGTTGTTGGTGCCGTCGTCTAAGAAAACATTAAAGAAGCCCAACTCAATTTGCAAGGAATCACGGAGTCGCACACACACGAAATGGAATCAATTGATACATTAAATTTCTCGGAGCTAAGAGATGCCGAAATTGTCGCCCGCATGCGTAGGTGCAATTATGAAAAATTCAAAAGTTTGGTGCGCATGCATTTGTCGTTTGAATTGGATCTAAACACAGATGAGTAAGTGTAGTAGATGACAGGGAATGCAAGCTCTGATGGGAGTAAACTATTGTTTTTGTGTCGTCCTAACAGATTTGATTTGCCCTGTCACGAAATTGTCTATGAAGATAAAGGTAAAGTTCGAAAATGGAATCCTATGAGCAAGAAGCATAAACATGGTGCTGTTGTTGCTGCCCTGGCATCGGGTTCAACAGGTTGTGCCTCGGCTGTTGGCATTAAAGGTTCGAATGGCACGGCTCACAATGCAAATTGCGGTGGCAGTCCAACAGAAAATCTACGGCAACATGTTGATCCTGGATTTCTGTTTCATTTACAAGAGTTAAAGGATTTCCTAATGTCGGAGAAGAGTAAGTATTATGAGGTGTATTCCCAAATGCAGTATGGAAAATGCAATTAGGCAATTCCGAAGTAAAAATGTTAAAAACATTGGCGCTTGTGCCGCTTGTTTAATGGTATCTATAATGGAGAGTGTTCCATTATACTTTCTAAGGAGTCGACATAGTTCAACTACTTTAATATCATAATCTTCCGCATTTAAGTGGGGTTACAACCACCAGAGAAGACCATTTTGTTCAATCAATCTTCAAATGGCATCAACTTTCATTAATTTTATCCACGCAAAGGTTGACTTGAATATTTGAATTTTGGCGTCTATATCACAATGATGATTGGACGGTATTTGATTGTTGCTTGTTGCAACGTTTGTCGATTTTGGACACTGGAAGAAGTTAATTGGGTGTCGATTTGTGATCGAGGTTGTGGGATAAGGGGGTCTTTATATATCTTTGGTTACCGTTACCATGATCTCCTTCGCCACCTTATATTTAGAGCCTTTTAGAGTATTTTGCGCAAACGGCTGCAACTGATGTGGAGACATTAGTATAGGGTTCCTTAAAGACTTGCGGTAAGAGTAATTAGGCCGATTTTGACTTTCTTAAAAAAATGTTCTGCAAAAAGTTTCATAGATCCTTCTTTATCTAGCATGTAGTGCCCCTTCGATATTCTTTCTATATATTCATATATAAAAGTCCCGAACTTCAGCCCAGGTTGGACTTTTTTTATAATGTCTTACATATATGTTTTAGATATTGTGTTGGTACTGTCAAGACAAATTTCCATCACACTCACATCACATTTGAAGTATCAGGAATATTGTGCATATTTTTAGATTGGTGACGGCTCTGCGCTCTTAAATTTAGCGTAAAATAAACTAAACTCGGTATGTTATATACCATTAAACTTGTTAACGCCCTCTTTACGGAAAATGTTGACTAACAAATGGATATGCAAACTAAAAAATATTTTTATAAGTCCATTTCGGATTGAGGAGTATTACTTTTTCAGAATAAGTAAGGTTACATCCTTTGTGTCTAATCCTTATACAAAAAACAGTCAATTATTATGCCTGATAATTTTTTACACAGTGCGGCTCTGTATAGACAGAGTACTACTACGACAGGGAATAAGAATTCTAAAAAAAGTTATTTCGTGCATATATTTCTAATATTTTTGATTTCTTCATCTTACAGGCATTCAACAAGAAGGAATTTTCCGAAAAACTGGTTCAAGTTCTAGACAAAATGAATTGCGACAACAAATACAAAATGATAAGCCTCTCGATTTGGAGGCAAGTGGCTATTCAGCTCATGATTGTGCAACAGTTTTCAAGGGATATTTGGCCGAACTGGCCGAGCCACTTCTTACGGATGCTCATTATCCTGCTCACTTACAAATCGCCCCATTATGTTTGGGTCTTAATCTGCAAATGGATAACTCAAACTCGGATACAAATGAGGAAAAAACTTCGACTTCCACCTCCAGCTCAGGTGATCGGTTAAAAAAGAAATTCATGTTTTGCATTCGATTCAATTGTTACTATTACTATTGCCTGATGAAAATCGGCAATTGCTGCAACACATCACAGATATCCTACATGCGGTGGCTTTAAAACAAGACATCAATAAAATGGGTCCCGATAATTTGGCCACATTGTTTGCACCACATTTAATATGCCCTCGAAATTTACCGCCGGAAGCCCTACACTATTTAGCTAGAAAAATGTCAAGTATTATCTCGTATATGATCATTAGAGCTCATGATATATTTGCCGTTCCTGCTAAATTGGCAACAGACATACGAGCCTATTTCCTGGAGAGAAAACGTAAGAAAACAATGTCACCAGAAATGACACTGGATGAATCCATATCGGATGTATCAACTGTAAATACGGTTTACACCTTCGTTGATCGTGAAAAGACTGCAGCAGCGCATACCACAAATACCACAGATACTGAGCTGGCACAATTGTATGCTCATATACAATCAATGCCGGAATCGTCAAAGAAACGTCGATTGATAAAACAATTTAATAAGCAGAATGGTCAAGGTAAGTTGGATAATGATGGAGAAAATCTACCTTATTTGTTTGGATAATAGATTTCGGAATGCAAAATATTTTCTGCAAAATATCTTAAGAAATCGATTTATGAATATGTTATGATAAATAGTTTATATGCCAAGAATCTAAATTGGGAAGAAAACTTCTACCCAAAAATCTTGTAAATGAAGGACAGGAAGCGCTAAGGATTGGGGCGTCCGGAGCACAACAACTGCCCATGACAAAATAATGTCCTAACCACTGCCAAAATACAAGAGACTTTTGCAGTCAAAGTAATTCCACCCTAAATCGGTCTCAATCGAATACGAATCTCTAAGATACGAATAAACATCTTACAAAACCTACCTTTCGTAAGCCTTTCCTTCTATCCTTCGGCTTTAACACAGGTTAGGGCTATTGTGATTCTCCAAAAAGTGGCCGGTAAACTCCGAAAGGAGATCAAGGTCACTTATTTCTATGACGAAGCTGGACTTGAAGCTTGTGGTGGGCCTAATTGCAGGGCACTGCAACATAAAGACCATGACATCCAAATGGGGGTGACAACACTGAATACTGCATGCTTTGTCAGGACAAGGAAGAAACTGAGACGGTGGAGCACTTACTTTGCCACCCAACTCTTATAGGAGTGAGACAGAGGCTACTGGGTAAGCAAATCCCTCTCCGACATCGAGCCAGCAGTCATTCTTCAGCTAATCAGAAGACTAAAATGGCTAAGGATGACACGTTAATACACCCTGGATGTAAACCTACTAACTTCACTACTTTATATTCAGATTCTCACTTCTTCACCATTCGCTATTCATTTCCTTTTCTTCTCTCTATTCTATTCTCCTATCTTCTTTATTACGATAAACACAATGACCCTAAAATCGAAGGTTCATCATTGTTCAGGTCCATTTGCCTACGAGCCGCCTCGTGACATCAGTGAACAATCTACATGAGACAATGTTTAAATTAAATTTCAAATGTAATTAAAATTGTATGTTTTTTTCCATATTTCCAGGTACTCCATTACAATTACAGGCCATGAACCGTTTGAAAACTACCGACAATTCTCGTAGTAGTTCAAAATCTTTGAGCGATTCGATTAAAAAACACATTTTCAATAAGGGTTTGATATCGAGGACACCGAAACGACAACCACCCGTGCCCAGTGTGGTTCTGGAGGTAAGTTTCAATGATGGCCAAAATATGATTATTTCAATTACTAATACAAACACCTTGCCTTTTGTTTGCTTCTCCCCACTTTTTCCCAAATTGGCCATAATAATCTCTGTTTGTGTTTGATTATTTCTTTTTTTATTTTCAAATAATATCCGTTATAGACCCCAAATAGTTCCAGCATGAAGTATCACAAACAGAGAGTTCTCTTCCAAAGTCCCAATCCCTCGGTGATCAGTGCTGCATCATCATCAACATCCTCTATAATATCATCATCAACTACAACATCCACGTCTTCATGGTCCATGACTAATTCCACAAATTCTGTTAATCTCACTCCATACATTATCAAATCACATCCTTTACAAAAATCCATTTCCTCATCTTCATTACTAATGAGTCAACCACAACAACAACACTTGCATCATTACCAAATAACCGCTGAAGATCAAGAGTCCAACTCTTCGTCTTCATGTTCAAATCCATCGGCATGCGGCAGTACTACGAATACTAATTCATTGCTCAACACAAATAGTAGTGATGGTTTCGTGCACAAAACTAAATCCGTGTCGGCTCCAGTGAGTCGTCAAACATCTTCCGATTTACAATATCATGCTAATACTTCCATAACCTCTACCACATCCTCACTGTCATCTGGTGTATCTGGTAATCCTATGGATCCAACTTGTTGTGTTACTCCCTTAAAATTAATATCGGAAGCAGCTAAACATTTAATTGCCGGGGCTGATAAAAAGTCTGTGGCCTGGGATGACTCCCATTTAATTGACATTGAACGTATCTCGAATCCTTCCACACCGATACAACAGACCCCTTCTAATGATCTAAAATCTCGTTACAAGTCAGAACCAAATCTAAGTCTATCGCATAATATTTGTGAGACTCCCAGCTCATCGACATCCATTGCCCATGATATGATAACACCCATTACCAAGCTAATGCCAGGAACCTATATCAAACGCAAGCTAATGAAAGGTGTTAGTATGGGCAATTTGAAATTTCCCTTTAGTACCCCAGAGTCGACCAAGCGTTTGGTACGCACTGTATCTTCTTCGCTGAAGAGACGTTCAAGTGATGACTCACAAATATTTCAACAAATTGAGGGCAGCTTTGCCTCGGCTAGTCGGGCAGATAACGCCCCGCTATTACAGGATATGGATGATGAAGATTTGGACGATGATACATTTGAGGATGATCCGGCCGATGATTGCGGTGCAGCTAGTAGTGATACAGAGAATGGCCATCATCCCGCCATAGTTGGTAGTAATGAATATTCACATGGAGCGGGCAGTAGTTCCTCCGAATTGCCCAATTTCACGGGTGGTTCTGCAACTTATCAACAGCTTTTGTTGCAGCAAAGTGGTATTTATCGTAATTTGGATTTGATTACAAGCACACCATCACTGCTATTGGGTCGTAGATCAATGTCGCCCATTACAAAATCAACACAACGCATGCCCAAAGCAATGCAGGTAAGGTTACCATTCTCCTCCTTAATATAGCAACATACTCAAGATGGAAGTTACAATTCCCATTCATCAAAATCTCATGGTTTTTATTTCAGGAATCGATTATGACACCACGCTCCCGAAAACCAGTAATGGTACTGACCACAACCACCAGTTCCACCGATCAAAATCAAACCATAAATCAGACTGTTGATATGCTGGGTTGTCACGAAGAAGATCTAGAAGATGATGATGCTGACGAGGATGAGGACCATGGCGACGATGATGATGAAGATGTCGGTTTGGAAGAAGAAGACGAACATTTGGATGGGGATCACATAGATGATGATTCAATTTTATGCGGTGTTGCAACCAAAACAAAACCCCTGGATGTAGACAGTAATCCACCACATCCGGAAGTAATCAATGAAGATGCAACTTCTTTGGGTGGTTATTCGGACATATTGAAAAGGCAACAGTTACTACAGGCCAATCATAGTTTTGTCATGCAACACAAAAACGCTTGTGTTCAAGAATTTCACTCAGAGGAATCATCGTCGGCATCACCATCGAATAGTTGTAAATCTAAACAACGTAAGGATTACCAACAACAACAACAACTGGAACAACAGGCAGCAGATGTTTTGAGTACACATTTTAAGTAAGTATAGATGTGTGTATTTGCTATTGTTGCCTTACTGGAATGGAATTTCCGTTCACCATGTGAAAAACACACATTTTAATTTTGGGAGAAAACAAAAACGATTTCTAATCTGCAAAATCATATTCTTTCGTTGATGGACATAAGGTGCGATTAAATGAAATATGAAATCATGTTAATTTGAAGTATTTAAAATGGGATCGCTTCAATGTACAAATCATTCTTCTTTTTTCTCTATGAAATAGAGTAGAAGCCTAAATGATGGTCCAAAATTATTAATGGAAGTACTCAATTTAGCCATAGAATTCAGTAAGGCTAGATTTAGTACAGTTTGGGATGAGTACAAGGTCCGCAAAAAAAGCGGGATCTGTGAGGGTGAAAAAAATTTTAGGGATTCGTTCCAAAATTAATGGGATCAAATAAATTGAAAGTCTTAATTTGATTGCAGTAATTTCTACCTAGTGAGGAATCCAGGTTGAGGAGGCATTATTATTGCAACTATATATGATATAATCGTGTGCTTCAGCATAAGCAAATTCAATCAAATTCAGTGTTCTAGAACCCACGTAATAAGATAGAACCTCTACATCAAGAAGCCAATCAGGCAGATGTGAATGACATTCACAGCCAGGAGGCCATCCCCATCCATTATATTTGAAGAACGTCGGTCGCCTAGACATAGCAATGATAATTTTCGCACAAGTAGATTCTGGATGTTGACATTGTTTCAATTCCTATTGGGCGTGGGTTGATAAAGATGTGCGAAACGGCTGTTCAGCGTGTGATACAAGCCCGGACAAAACGCTGCATACCCTTGCCTTGCCAAACCTGCCCAACTACCTCCTGAAGATCTTTGCCTACAGCCTGTAATGGTAGCTATTTTTATACCCTCTACCATAATATGGAGGGAATATATAAAAAAATTGTCATTCCGTTTGTAACAACTCGAAATATACATTTTAGACCCCACAAAGTATATATATTTTTGATTGGCATAAAATTCTATGTCAATTTAGCGATGTCCGTCCCTCTATCCGTCTGTGGAAATCACTCTAGCTTCGCACGAAATGAAGTAGATTGTTAAAATTTTACTCAAATGTATGTCTGCAGGACTTTTGGTATTAAATGGGCCACGTAGGTCTACGTTTTTGTATAGCCCCCATATAACGGTACCTCCCGTTATTCGGTATTTGATGATTTTAGCGACATTATTCACCGAAATTGTTTCAAATTTGGTATTTGATGGTCGTAATGGATGCTACAGCCTATGACAGGAGATTGTCTGTTCAGGTCTACGTCTTCGTATAGACTCCATATAACGGTATCTCCAGATATTCGGTATTTTTATGATTTTAGCGGCATTATTCACCGGAATTGTTTGGTATTTGAAGTTCGTAATGGATACTACAGCCTAAGACATAAAATTGTCTGTGCAGGTCCACGTCTTCGTATAGCCCCCATATAACGGTGCCTCCCGATATTCGATCCTTTGTTGATTTTTTTTTTATTCACCGGAATTGTTTCAAATTTGGTATTTGATGTTCGTAATGGATGCTACAGCCTAAGACAGAAAATTGTCTGTCTTCGTATAGCCCCCATATAACGGTACCTGCCGATATTCGATACTTTGTTGATTTTAGCGACATTATTCACCGGAATTGTTCCAAAGTTGGTATTTGAAGTTCGTAATGGATACTACAGCCTAAGACATAAAATTGTCTGGACGTCTTCGTATAGTCCCCCATATAACGGTACCTCCCGATATTCGGTATTTTGATGATTTTGGCTACATTATTCACCGATTTATTACATTTTACAATTACATTTTTAAGCTTCGCATTTGAACATTGTGATGGCTTATGACAAAAGTTACCTATGCAGGTCCATGTCGTCGTATAGACCCTAAAATAAAAGTTACATTCGGTATTTTTAAGATTTTAACAGAATTTGTAACGGATTTTATTCTTTTTGAGAATTGCCGAATTCGTCCAAAATGGTGCTGGGTATTCAAAATTCGGCCCGGCCGAACTTACAGCTTTTTTACTTGTTTTTATTAGATTTAGAACCAGATTAACAGAAATCAACAAGCAACATGTATCACTATTATAATAAGCTGTTTCCTAATCTGCACGTCAATGGGGAGACACTATGTTTCTTGCACCCGAAGCGCTGCCGGTTAGCGACTTGAGAATGTTATTACTACTTTTCAGTGAAAATTGGAGATAGGAATTGTTTATCCAAAGACCTATGCATTCGCTGGTAGTCTCGTCGATTCGTCTTTGCCGGCCGTCGTTAAACGTGACTAGGTTTACACTACCCAAGACCTCTCAACGGCATTTAGCTATGCTTCTCGAGTACAAATTTACCTACCCACAAAATCTTAACGTTTTCACTTATCTTTCAATCCCCAACTATAGCTAATTCAGAGTTGCTAAAGTTCATAAGCTTAATTTAATTCTTGAATTTGCTTTACCTTCCAGAGAGTACTTGTTAACACGCAGTGTTTTAACAGCCCCGCCAGAAGATACATCATTTACTAGTCAGTCAGATGATTTCGAAAGTTCCCGTGAACTCGACGATATTGATGAGAATCGTTTAAGTTCCAGTTTACTGTATTGCTTGGATGGTAATCGCCCTGAATGTGATGAACATGCAGACGATGACAATGATGAGACGACAACGGAAACAAACGATAATGTTGAAATCGAACACAACACAAATGATGCAATTAGTCTTGACAACAATGATCAGAGAATCAAAGAAGATTGTAATTTAAGAGCGGGAATGTTATGTAAAAAGCAAGAAGAAAGTGATACTGATAGCAGCAATATCACACATCTACCATTAGGTGGCAATCGCCTGGCAAACAATCCCTTCGTTATACTTAACAATGCACGTAAACGTGCTGCAACCAATGATATTGAAAAAATGTCTTCAATACTGTTTAACAGTCAACAACGGGAACAAGAAACCAACAGCTCGAGCTATCAAAGTTTCAAAGCATCATCCTCATCAGATCAGACAAATAAGAAGTTGCTCAACAAGTTCAAAGCGAATAAAGAAAACTGTGAGCAGAATGACAATTATGTGACCAATAAAAAGTTAATTATAAGTGAATATCCAGGCGAGACTTCCTTCTAAGAATACATATAAGTTTTAGGCCTTGCCATACAATATGAACGTATGTAGGTGGGAGTAACCGTTGTACGGTTACAAAATTTATAAATAATTTTCAGTTCATTTGTTTATTGATTACTATTGCTATTTGGTAATACTAAGTTCTTCCTTTCTTTCTAAACGACGATTTAGTTTTTAAATACAAAAAAAAAAAAAAAAATGTTTTCTATATTTTTTCAAATATTCATGAACAGATTTTCTGAGCTCTTAGCTTAATTTGTGTTTAGAACGTTTTACGTTCCTCAAAATTGTAATTATGTTTCCCCACTGCTTCCTTGGAGCAGCTTTTATAACGAAATGAATTCAACTTTATACAAAAAAAAAAAAAATATTATTTTGTGAAAATAATTGCAATTATAGCCTCTCATTATTTAAGTTTATAAATTATTAAAACAATCATTTATACACACAAACATTTCCATTAACAATTAATAATCACTGTTAATTAAGATATACCAAAAAGCAAAAATATACGAGTTATGAGTAAAAATTTATATATTTTCTCATTCCATTTGGGTGGCCAATAACAACTACTCTTGAAACTATGGAAATGGAAGAAACTGCGAAAGAGGAGCTACAAAAGAGAAGGAAGAATATCCTAGTTTGTGTTAAGGTCTGGAGCATACAACTGCGGTGAAGAGATGTCATCATAGCGCTGCATCCATTTCAGATAAATGTTTATTCTGCCAAAAATAATTTTAGATCATTAACAAGAGCTGACCAATAATGTGTGTGTAATTTGACAGCAGTACAGGGTGAGATAAAAAACTGCAACAAAGTCAAATGTCATAATTTGTACATTTTTTTAAATTTTATTTAATGAAAGCAAAAAATTTCGGAAATAGCAACATATTTTAGATTAAGTTTAGATTTGTTTGAATTGGTCACCTTTGGCACGAATTATGGCCTTCAAACGGCCAATAAAACCGTTACACGCTGCCTGAATGTTGCTCTGCGATGTTTTGGCCCTTTCCCGGCGAAGCGCTTGCTTGAGGTGATCGATATTTTCGTATTTTTTAGTGCCAACCTTGCTTTCCAAAATACTCCAGACACAGTAGTCCGGAGATTTTGGTGGCCATTGTGCGTTGGAAATTAAGCGAGGAACCTCATTTTGTAACCATTCTTGGGAGGCGCGTGCTGAGAACGATGGTGCTGAGTCCTGTTGGAATGTCCAAGGTCTGCGGCCAAAATGTTTTGCGTACCCAAGGCTTTAATACACCCTTCAGAATATTTTCGCGATAATTTTCGGCATTTATTCAGATGCCACGGTCGATTAATACGAGCGGAAGGCGACCATTGGCTGTTATGGCGGCCCCCATCATCACCATGGCCGGCGCTTGAGTTCTGGTGGCCAACCGAAGGTGCACATTTTCAGCTGACCTCTTTAACAAGTAAACACCATCATTTTGTTTGTTTACAAACTACTGGACAACGAATGTTTTCATATCGGAGAAAAACAAATTTGGCAGTTCACCACTTTCGGCAAAGCGAAGCAACTCCTTGGCTCTTTTGAGTCTAATTTCTTTCTGTTGCAGTGTATGTTCTTTCACTTTTTGCAATTTCAATGGCTTTGCCCGAGCGCATTTTTTCATATTTGCCGAATTGAATATTGCGATATGTTAAACTCACTAGCCATTTTTCGGCAACTGCGATGCGGGTTTCAATCAAGTCGCTCCTTTAATTTTCGAACCATTTCTGCTGATGTTGCGGTTTTCTTCCATCCACTTCCTTAACGTTGAGCTACGCTACCAGTATCACGGTAACGAGCGATGGTACGAGACACAAAAGATTTATTCACATTTAAATTAAAGAAATCACACTATCACGCTTGAATTCCATCACGAATAACTTATTTCTGGAAAATTCTCACCAAAATGCTTTTTTACGCTTGTAAAGAATATAATGAGCGGTCACTGGAAAAAGTTTAACAGCTGTCGGACGAGTGGCTTAGAAATGACAGCAGTCTGAAGTTGGTTGCAGTTTTTTCATCTCACCCTGTATATGTTTTAGAAAAAAAGAGTATCTTTTTATGTTGGGCGTTTCATATTTCCCTATTTACTTCACCTGTGTCATGAAGAAGAAGATCACAGGTCTTCCAGAAGAAGATCCACAGATCTTCCAGAAGAAGATCCATAGATCTTCTAGAAAATCCACAGATCTTCCAGAAGAAGATCCAGAGGTCTTGTAGATGAACATCCTCAGGTCTTCTAGAAGAAGATCCACAGATCTTCTAGAAGATCCACAGATCTTCCAGAAGGAGATCCACAGTGGTTAGTATTGTAATCACAGGGCATCAGACGGCTATTGGCCTCAAACCAGCAATGACAGATCTCTAACACATAGCTCTTTACCGGCTAGAACTTAATAGGTCAAATGTTGACTCCATTGAGGTATAACTTTGTCAGTATATATTTGGCAACCAAGTCGTTTCATTCATTTTTGCCTATGGCCATATTTATTTGGTTGATAATCTTACAAACTAGCAGGAATGGCTTACTGTGCTAAGAACTTAACTATATATAGCTATTCGCTATCTACAACTATTTACATAAAAATTCCGCTATGCTCCTGGCATTTAGCAACTATTTACTTTAAATAAAAAGGAAAAAGAAACTTAAAAACATAAATGCCCCGAAAAATCCAAAGTTAAAAATGGGCGATATCTACTTATTATATCTTAAAACTAAAACTTAAATCTAAGGCTTAAAACTAATTACTATAAACTAATATTTACAATATATACAATTACTGTGTACTGCTGTACACAGTGTTCTCCATATCAAGGGTGTTTTAACGTCGATGGTAGAAACGTAGCTCACCGTTGACGTATAACAGCCCTTCCTCATCTAGCCTTTTTAGTGCACCCGGGGGTAGGTACCCTGCAGTCCGCAGTACGTCCACGTCCAGGCTGCATCGCAGAGCGTTCTCTGTTGTTCAGTCCGTTTATCCGTCTTGTCTAAGAATTCCAGTGCTCCTGAGACCAGGACCCTGTCAATTCTTTCCCCACCTGCCCTGTCATATATGGCCCTATTAGAGGTCCTTCTGACAGTTCCATCCTGACTAAATGTTAGTCCTCTTATGCCTAAACATTAGCCAGGACACTACGCTCCCACTTCCTTTCATCTGGCTGGACGATATGCCAAACCAGACAGGAAAAGCGTAAGCAATAATAGGTCGCATTATTTGCCGATATAGCAGCAACCTAACTTCGGGAGTTAAACCAACCCGCATCTTCATCAGCCCTTGATAGCTGAAGAAAACCTTCCTCGCTCTGTCCAGGATCTATATGTCCATTGAATCTATATGTCCATTGAAGTCAAAATTCTTTTGAAAAAGAAGGTATTTTATCCTGTCTTTTATTTCCACAGTATGAGGTCCAACTTTCACGTCCGGATGGTACCTTGTAAAAATTGGACGAACATATTGTGTTTTCCCGGTAAATATAATTGCCGAGCATTTCTCCTCATTTAGCTTGAGGCCCCATACGGTAAAGAACCTATATAAGACCTCAAGATAAATGTTCAGACGTGCTTCCGCTATACGAGGTAATGGGGCCGTATACGCTACAAGCACATCATCGGCATATGATAATGCTAACCCTCCACGTGGAGGTACAGGCATGTCACTGACATAGATGTTAAACAACATCGGCCTTAGGAGGGAGCCCTGGGACATGCCAGTCACTACAGGTCTGCGACTAGATAGTCGCTCACCTACCCTAACTCCAATGTTACAGTTTGGTGATCAAATCCAAACCGTTGCATTTTAAACCATAATCCTTGATGTCATACGGTATCAAAGGCTTTAGTTGGCATCCAAGTCTATACTAGAAGAAGCGTCCAAGTTTCAATTAATACAAGATAGTCAACGATAATTAATCGACATTTGTCTAGCCATATGGCTAGAGAGAGAGAATATATAATTTGATACAGCCAAAACGTGCCTCGTCGAAATAACGATTTTAGACCCTAAGTCTCTTTGGACGACCTAGCGATCCGTCCGTCATTCTGTCTGTCTGGTTGGTGCGCACGATAACTCTCGAATGGAGTATCCGAATCGGTCCAAATTTGGTGAATCGCAATATTATTATCAAACTTAGATTGAGTTCGGTGATGGGTAATATCGGCCCACTCATTCTGGTATTATCTCCCCCACAAAGGTCGAATTTTTCAAAAACAATATTTTACTGCACAAAGAACGAAAGGATAATTCCGTCTTGCTCCAACATTGCAAATCCTAATATTTGCATCAGTTCTAGGTGAGGTGCGAAAATGGATGATATCGGTTCACTGCATCAAAGTGAATAATTATAACTTTTATTAAATGTGATGTAGGAGACGGTTTATTTATATTTATATTATTTATATATATATTTGTTGTTGCAAAATGGTCAGGCTTAATTCCTTTATTGTTGTTTTTATAAAAACAACGTTTCTTTGTTGGTGGAGAACGATGGTAATGTTTAACAGGGGGTAGGGCAGGGAATACCTAGGTTTCGGAAAGACCCACCAATCCTTATCAGTCCCTTGTTTTTGTCTGGGATATTCTCCCCAGAAGTTATTTTAAAAATAACTTCTTTGACAAAAAAAAACATTTTTTATCCAGTGACGAGATCGTAAGCTCATTAGAAGAGGAACCAAAGAATTAAATAAAACTAAAATTCTTTTGGAAAATCTTCTAAATCTTACAACCGCACTTATAAACATTTACATCTTTCTCCACTTGTTATGCTTTCGTTCTACATGAACGAAGTAGCACAATCATGTAAGTTGGTTTTGTCTGTTACAACATTACCATCGTTCTCCACTAATAAACAAACGCTGTTGTTATAAAAACAACATTAAAGGGATTAAGCCTGACCATTTTACAACAACAAAATACTATGGTATCCCGAACAAACAAAGCCAACACTGTTCTTTTATTTATATTTGACATTAGTGGTCTTATAAATAATGGATATTCTTAAAAATTCGACCCTTGTCCCGAACATGAAGATATTCGAAGTCAAAAAATCTATATGGGTCGTGTGAAAAATATATAAATATATACTTCTTTATGTGAGGGTTTGTTTGTACCAACATTTGAGCAGATATTTGTTGCCACATGCTTTTGCACAAGAGAATTTCCTAACTAATCTCACATATATATATATATATATATATATATATATATATATATATATATATATATATACATATATAAAAATAGTGTTGGATGATAACATTAGAGCCAATAAAAACAAATGACAGATTGTTGAGGTACATTTCCCCAAGTGGCTATACGAATGTGACGTTATCGACTTTGTAGTCTGATATCGCTTGAATTCTGTTTGCCATGGTCAAGGGAAGTATGTTTGGGTATAGGGGTTTTACAATGATGACAGTACGAAAATTTAACGGGGTCGCCTTAAATTTCCACTCGATATCATCAAGATTGTGTGGAAGTTAGAGCCGATAATAGAAGTGTGTATCATTTGCTTCAAAATTATTG